ATGTTTTAAAAGAGGATTCTAACATTGCAAATATTGTACTTACAACAATACACGCAGTAACAACAATAGCCGTGCCAATAGTAACCTTTTTAAAAAAAATAACATTACCGTAGCGATAACCGTTACAATTAGCCCACACTATACGATTAAACTGCGGGTTAATTAGAACAGTACTGTAGTAAGCTAGAACAGTGACACTATTAGCAGACGCAGCAACGGCGGCGTTAACGCGAATAAACCGTCGCGACGACACTCGCACGAGCGGCGAACCCAGCACGAGACGAGGGCAAGCAAATTTACAACGTCGCAAACGCTGTAAACAATTCGCCGTGGTAAATGTTAAACGTCCGACGGGGGCGAAATTCACCTCGGGCGGGCGCCCCTCACACATCGACTGAGGGGAAGCGAGCGAGAGCGCGAGCGAGCGCGCGCACACACCCGGCGCGCGAGCGCGCGCGCGCGGGGCCCCGTTACTCGACGCCCATTGGCCGCGCGCGCGGGGCCCCGTTACTCGACGCCCATTGGCCGCGCGCGCGGTTTTGGCGCCAACCAACGGGCGGCCGTCTCTTTGAAGAAAATTTAAACCGGTTAATTTTGCATATAATTATGGGGAAACCTTTTGATGTTGTTATTGTTGTTGCTGTTGTTGGCGTTGTTGTTGGTGCTGCTGCTGCCAGTGTCGGAGTATGAAACAATAAAAATAAGAGGTGTTCTGTCCCTTTTCTGGCAAATAACATAAGAGTTTGTGTTAAGATGTTCGAACATCAAATAAGGTACCTTTTTGCAAGGAATCAAGTTACTGCATTAGGGGCCGTCCATAAATGACGTCACGCGATTTTGGACGATTTCCCCCCCCCCTCGTCACACGGTGTCACAGAAAGTCAGACCCCCCCCCACCTCAAATATGACGTCACAAAGCTCTGCCCCCCCCCCCAAAACCATATTTCTATTTTGAAAATAAAACATGCTTCACATCGCTTTAAACTATAGTCATTGTAGTGCGTATTTAATGTGGCGCTGCACTCTGATGTTGTAGAAAACATTTCTTTAAAAGTCTATTTAATTACGTAGAACGTGTTGTTTATATTTATTTAAAGTTGCGCATTTTGATATGACGTCACATTTCTCAAACCCCCCCCCCCCCTCGTCACACATCGTCACAAATATCTGACCCCCCCCCCCCCCCAGGTGCGTGACGTCATTTATGGACGGCCCCTTAGCCACACATGGCACTTGTGGTGAACACGCAAACCAGAAGGCTGTCTCTGGTGGAGGCCAATCAGTGTATAAGACAATCCATATAAAATATCAGAGCATGTTTGTTTGCATGTTCACCACAAATATAGTGTGGTTAATGCAGATTTGATGCCTGGAAAAATGTTTGGTGTTTAACATCTTAACACCTGTTTTATTGCCAGAAAGGGTAAAAGCTATTTTTATCTTTTCGTATTTGCATAATTATATTAACGGCTATGCAATTTCGTATTTTGCATTTATTGTGTTCATTTGTATTCACAACAACGTGAATGGTTGTTATTTTTGTTGTTGTTATGGACGGTATATAACTTGCGTCTAAACTCCAGGACCGATATCGTAAGCAATCTAAGTTTTTGTGGTTGTTGTTGTTTGATTTGCATCCCACTGGGATTTTTTGCACACAGCGTTGGTGTACGGTACTTTTTTGAGGAATATTTTTGATGTGTTTTTTCCATGGATTTTCTGTTTGCACAGTCACACATAGTCACTTTAAGATGTTTTCTTGTTCGTGTTTTTGTTTTTTTGTTTGTTGTGGTTGCACCCGCTTCAAGAGCCGAATGGCTCACAGGGCTATACCAAATTAAAGACATAAATAAAGAAATAATACAGAGTTAGGGTCCCTTAGAAGCAACTGGAAGTTCCTTCAGCCATTTGCTGGACTCTGTTGGCGACTCTTAGATGGTTCAAGGTGCACCTAGCCTGGCACAAGAGCCCCCTTATGACGTCACCGCGGTTGTTGTTGTTCGGACACTGAATGTCGAAACGCGTCCGAAGTTTTAAAATATTGTGTCAACCCATACGGGGTTCCCGTATTATTGTACAGGGAAATTGAGTTTTCAGGTCAATACGGCGTACAGCCGTTTTCAATACAAGCAACAAAAATCATACGGCCAAATAAGGAGCCGTCCATAAATGACGTCACGCACCTAGGGGGGGGTGTCAGACATTTGTGACGGTGACGAGGGGGGGTGAGAAATGTGACGTAACATCAAAATGCGCAACTTTAAATAAATATAGACAACACGTTCTACTTAATTAAATAGACGTTTTAATAAATGTTTCTGCTACAACATGAGAGTGCAGCGCCACATTAAATACGCACTACAATAACAAAAGTTTAAAGCAATTTGAAGCATGTTTTATTTTCAAAATGGAAATGTTTTTTGGGGGGGGGGGGGAGCAGAGCTTTGTGACGTCATATTTGAGGGGGGGTCTGACTTTTGTGACGCCGTGTGACGAGGGGGGGGGGTCAAAAATCGTCCAAAATCGCATGACGTCATTTATGGACGGCCCCTAAAGTCGTGGGACAGCTGAAATGTGTACAAACAGGATTGTGATGTACATGAATGTCAGTGTATTGTTAAATCCTTCATAATTGTCTGTGTTTATTGTTGTGAATTTACAACATGAGTGTGCATCCACATATTAAGCATCAGCATGCAAGATCACAGACAGTAGCATAAGTAGCATCATTGACACCAACTATCAAAATTAATACATAAAACAGTTTTTGTTTAGCAACATAACTTTTGCCTATTTGTCGCTTGTGATGAGACTTTGTAGGATGAACGTTGAGATTTATATGGGCAGGGGGTGACCGATAAGGTCTGAATTGGTCTTGTAATAAGGTAGGCACTGATAAGGGGTTGACAGGTGTGATCTGGATACATTGTGATCCTCTTGTATTCGGTAACCAACAGTGAATGCGTTACTTCGTACAGCACGCCGGCAGTGTGTTGGGAGAGTAAACCCACGAGCGTTGGCAATTTGAGTACGACGTTTCGACAGTAATTACAATCAGCATCATCAGGCGACAGCCAGATTTGGAGAGCAAATGTACCGAGCGGTAACTTGGGCACGCCCGCCGTGCGGTTTGGACGTTCGTCGCTCAATTAATCATTCCGACGATGTCGAATACCCGGATCCGAAAGTGCATGTAACATTGTATACAATATAAATCAATTAAGCGTATGAATACTTAATATTTGTACGCTTAATTTACACACCGTCGACCACGTTGATTGCATATCGGATTTGCGCGCCACGTGATTGGTCGAGACGGGTCCGCGGCCGAAAACAACAAGGATCCTCGCTATTGGCCGATATCGGAAGCAACGCGAACGAACGAACGAGCAATTATTTATCTAGGAGCTATCGAGAAGGGCAATTTTACCCGAAACGTCGCATGTTACATACTACTAGCCTTTTGCCCGTCCAAGGACGGGTGTATTGCAGTAAACTTGATGCATTAGTGTGCAATTTGTAGTTCATAGTTCATTTTAGTTCATTTATTTGGTATAGCCCTGTGAGCCATTCGGCTCTTGAATCGGGTGCAACCGCAACAAACAAAAACATGAACAAGAAAACATCTTAAAGTGATTTTGTGACTGTGTTAACAGAAAATACATGAAAAAAATATCAAAATATTCCTGAAATAGCACCGTATACCAACGCTGTGTGCAAAAATCCCAGTGGGATGCAAGTCAAATAACAACAACAACCACAAGACAACTAAGATTAAGGCCAATTAAATTTTAAGGTTACAATCTCTTGTACATCATTATTCGATGTCTCAACAGAGTTACGGAGATCACGTGACGTGAGGGTTCTTCCTTTGTAGTGAGGGTTGTGAGTTGACGCCGAGGAGGGGGGAGGAGGCGCCTCGCCCCCCCCCATGTGGAGTGACGTCACCAGCTAATTTTTATGAATGACGTGGGGTGTCTATTTGGAGGACGTCACCTGCTCATTATTATTAATGAGGGGGACTGTTCGATGTGGAGTGACGTCACCTGCTCGTGATTATTAATGAGGGTGAGGTGCTCCATGTGGAGTGACGTCACTTGCTCATGATTATTCATGAGGGGGAGGTGCTCAATGTGGAGTGACGTCACCTGTTCATGGTTATTCATGAGGGGGGAGGGTGCTCATTGTGGAGTGACGTCACCTGCTCATGATTATTAATGGGGGGGTCCATGTGGACGATGTCACCTGTTCATGATTATTAATTAGGGGGGCTGTTCGATGTGGATTGACGTCACCTGCTCGTGATTATTAATGAGGGGGAGGTGCTCCATGTGGAGTTACGTCACTTGCTCATGATTATTCATGAGGGGGAGGGTGCTCCATATGGAGTGACGTCACCTGCTCATGCTTATTAATGAGGGGCTGTTCGATGTGGAGTGACGTCACCTGCTCATGATTATTAATGAGGAGGAGGTGCTCCATGTGGAGTGACGTCACTTGCTCATGATTATTCATGAGGGTGCTCCATGTGGAGTGACATCACCTGCTCATGCTTATTACTGGGGGCTGTTCGATGTGGAGTGACGTCACCTGCTCATGATTATTAATGAGGGGGGCTGTTCGATGCGGAGTGACGTCACCTGCTCATGATTATTAAAGAGGGGGATGGTGCTCTATGTGGAGTGACGTCACCTGCTCATGATTATTAATGAGGGTGGGTCCATGTGGAGGACGTAACCTGGCCATGATTATTAATGAGGGGGGGGGGGGACTCGTTGACGTGAGTGACGTCACGAGCGTTTCACGCAGACATTCTTGGCTCATTAAAGTCGATAATAATAAGAGGCGGTGTCCATTTGGAGTACGTCACCTGCTCATGAATATTAATGAGGAGGGCTGGTCGACGTCACGAGCGTAAAGGACATTCCTGGGTGATGATAGGATGGTATATTTATTCCACCCCCCCCCCCCAAAAAAACCCCTCCTTTTAAGACCACATCCACAGCGCTATTGAGGAAACGCCCCTTGAGCTCGAACGGAATTGGCCGCTGCAGCGCGCGTGGGGAGGAGACCGGCGGCTCATGCTGCCCTTATCCGCTGTGTGAATTCTAAACCCGCCCCGCCGCTACGCCGCCGGAGAGCGGCAGCCGCGGCGTTGTAAATGATACCGTTAATGGGTCAACGCAGCAGGCCTGGGCTTCGCATGAGCAACCGCCGCACGAGTTTATATTTTGGTTTTTTTAGCGGACACCCCTCGCGCCACCGCCAGTGCAAGCGAACTCCTGCTCCTCCTCCTCAAACCCACCAGAGGTAGCGGTGGCGGGAAGCGGGTGAGGGGAAGTCATAGCTCTCGATAGCTTCGTGGGCATCATTTTTTTCCACGCCAGCAAACGTCTCGGGGGTTAGAAACATAGTGGTGGTGGTGGGGGCGTGGGTAACAACAAACAAAAACGTCGCAAACATCGCCAACAACTTTGAAACCCAAACGCGCTCGACTCGCCCGACCGAACCGGACCCGGTCGACTTTGTGGACCCCGTTCAGTACGTCGGCCGAGTCATGTTTGTTTGTTGTAGTACGGAGTTAAGACTGGTGGCCTTAATCTAAGTTGTCTTTGTGGTTGTTGTTGTTTGACTTGCATCCCACTGGGATGTTTGCACACAGCTGTTTGGTGGTGTACGGTGCTTTTTCGGGAATATTTTGTCCTGGATTTTCTCTTTTGCACAGTCGCATGGTCACTTTAAGATGTTTTTCTTGTTCATTTTTTGTTTTGTTTGTTGCGGTTGCACCCGATTCAAAGAGCCGAATGGCTCAACAGGGCTATACCAAAATAAATGAAACTGAATGTTCACGCGGCTGTTGACTTGAGCCTTCCTACGACGCTTTGTCACTCACCTATACTCCCCCCCCCCCCCTCCAGTAGCTTAATCTACGATCCTGAGCAAGGGGTCGGCCGGCAGTCTGGGACAAGTCTTGTGGATGGGCCTGCATCGTGCGTGACGGCACCTGCATCTTGCGTTCACGCGTACGGCGAGTACACGTCGCTGGTGCTTGCTGTACTTCTATGTTCCCACGGGATAAATGTTTGCCCCCCGACTGCACCCGAGCCGTCGTTGAGCGGCGTGGTGAAGTATGGCCGAGTTATTTAAAACGCCCGCTTGGTCAGCGACGGCGTGGAGGCCCTCACTCATCCAGCGGTGGAGTGAACCTGTTAACAGGCTTAACGTGGAGGGTGTTATGGCACGCCGTAATATACGATGAAAACGGCATTGGTTTCATCTGCACACGCTTGATGTCATTGACAATCCATTGAGTTACGCTTATTAACGTGCGAGGTCATTTAGCATTGATATAAAGCTATTTATATTTTTCTGCATTGGTATTATGACTCAATAATTTCAGCTTGTACATACTTACAACACCGTTTTGAATTAAATCGATGTTATCGACGAGCGGTAATTTATATTTATGGACATGAAGCTCAATATGTGCTGTTCCCTAACGTGCAATGCACGCCCTTCATTTAACCAGATGAGATACCATTGAGATTTATGATTAGTAATTTTATTCCACCAGGTGAGACCCAATTAAAATTGTTCCTGATGGCATTTCCATTGCATATTTTTGTTTAAATATATATTTTACCATTCAGCAGTAGATAGATCATGGCTGATGAATTAAGAGGCTCGATGAGGCTTTCTCTGATTAATAATCACCGTGTGGTTTCTTGTTGTGCAGCAGAAGTCAGCTTGAGGGCCAGCGGCGCCAATGGATGTCTCGGCGCTGAGCAACCAGGAGCTGAGGGAGAAGCTCCTGGATTTGGGGGAGAACCCAGGGCCCATCACATGTGGTGCGCACACCAAGCCAGGCCTCCCAGAGCTCACCTCCAGTCCTCACCGACCCCTCAACTTCCAGTCCTCACCTACCCCTCGCTCTCCTCACATCCAGTCCTCACCTACTCCTCACGCTCTCCTCCTTGCACCCCCCGCCCTGTTATGGGCAGACATCGCCTTACCTCCCCAACGCACAGTATCACCTTTCCTTAATAACCAGGATATGAAATAAACCCATTGAGACTCGTGAAACATTGGATCTACACAGGCAGTTGGGCTAAGTGCTGTTTCGCAAGCACCTCCGAAGGCCAGTATGGTACACAAAACTAAACTATTTAAACAAATATTTTACCAGGTAAGGCCCACTGTGCTATGTAGCTCTATTTCAGAAGCGACCTGGCCACAAATGATAGCTCAACGAAGTGGCTTGTCACGTGGAAATTTATAGCAGCGAAATACTCTAAAACGCACGAGGGGGTGGAGTGCCCAGCAGCATGCTCGACCACGTTTGTCTCCCCATTGCTGTTTACACACAGCACCAGGTTCTCATTGAGACCGAGTCGATTTAGGGGAGGCCCCAAAGTTATTCAGATATTCGTCAATGATGTTGTCCATGAGCAGGAATCGAACCGAGGTCGCTGGGTTGGGAGCGCGGTGCGCTAATCACTGCACCACCGCTCCCTAGGCACGACGCGCACCGTGTATGAGCGGAAGCTGCTGCGTCTACTCGGGCAGGAGAGTGAGGAACAGCAGGATCAGCGCTACCCCAAGACCCACGACACTGACGACTCCGACCCCGAGGAGGAGGGTGAGCATCTCAACACCGACAAGCGCCATCACCTCAATCGCTCACAGAAAATTACGAATACGCTTGTCTGACGAGCTTGCGTGCATGGGCGGCAAAGCTGATGAATAACATCGGCCAGTCAACAACGTGCGGGACAACCTGAAAACACATCACAGAGGCAATGTCCACGATAAAATCAATAAGCAGGCTTCATATCTGTCCTTCCACGTAAACAAATGATAATTTTTGTTTGAAACTTCCCGACAGCCACACGCCCTTCTGAGGCTGTATAATTCCAACGTTGGTTTATGGACTGGCTTCGACAAACAGTGTCTCATCAGCAAGTAAGGCTCGGGGTCGGGGAGGGTCGAGCGATTCAGAGTGGGGGTGGCCACACAAATGTCACGTGATTTGCGGGAGGCTTGAACTGTTTTTGATATAAAGATGACCATTATGAATAAAATAACTAGAGGTGGAATTTGTTTGTCCACATGATAAACTACGCCGTGATCTTCACACCTATCACCTGCGCAGAATCGGCGGTGCCATGGCACCGGCAGGAGCCGCTACGATCGCGAGCTCGGCCCCAGAGCGCCGTGCAGCGGAGGGCAGCGCCGGCGCACGCTATGGAGGAGGGTGGCCGTGGTGGCGGTGCAGTGTTGTCCTGCCTGGCAGTGATACTAGCGCTCGTGCTGGTGACCGGAGTGGTAGTCTTGGCGCTGATGTTCCTGGGCGGGGAGGAGGTTGAACCTCACCTGCTGGAGGCGGACGGCGCTCACGGCGAGGCTGTGTGATCAGCGGTTTGCAAGTTTACCGAAGATAAAAAATATTCCCGCAGCCAAGATGCTCGGAGCGATGGATAAATATCGTTTGTGGGCCATTTCTAAATGATGAGCGGTTTGGTTGTTTTCTGACTGTCAGAAATATTCTCTAGTCCCTGATTAGTTGATTAGCAGTAGTTTGTAATCGTTAAGATTAGCTAAACTTGATACATTTCTTCCAAATGACTTAATTTGCCCACTACTGGCAGACTAAAGGTCGCTTGGAGGCCAATGCTTTGTACACCTTGCGTCGCATAGGGACAGCTGGCACTCGGGGTCCCCCTGGTTAAGACTAGTAGGACGTTGGAACGGTTGATATGAGATGTAAGGCACTTGGGGACTTGCCAAGGCATTTAAGCAAGTGCCCAGTACATGCAAATGCTTACCATTATATTTTCATTGGAGACTAGATCTGCAAAGGTTTGTTATGATTTTCAGTTGTCGATTCACAAATCTTGTCCCCCCCCCCTCCGGTGAACATAGCAGCCTCTCGTAGCTGCAGGAGTCACTTGAAACACTTCTCCCCGAAGGAAGTTTTCGTCGGTTATCGGCCAAACCTGTAACAATTCACTCCCTCCCCCCATCCTCATAATTTAATTAATTGTAATGGTTTGTGATCTGTTTTGGATTACTGTAAATCACCAATAACACATTGTATAGTAAAAAGAACAAGCTACAGTAAAACCTTGGATTGCGAGCATAATTCGTTCCGGAAACGTGTTTGTAATCCAAAGCACTTGTATCAGTTGTGATCACGTGACGCTCGGCAGACAAAGCGTATACGTACTTACTCGTATTGCAAGACCTCGCTCGTTTATCAAATTAATATTTATTTAAAAAATTTGCTCGTCTTGCAAAACACTTGCAGACCAAGTTACTCGCAATCCAAGGTTTTACTGTATATAAAATAAGCTCCATTCTGACAATGTGTTATGTTTAAACGGATCCATGTGAGGTGACTTCGATCTACCACACCACTGAGATCCAGGTTCGAATCTGGGTTTCAGCCACCCGTGATTAGACCGGGTTCTCAAATCGAGCGAGTTAGTGGACTCGCCTCCTGTCACCCAACGACTCACAGACCCCTAGACCCGCAGAGAATGAGTTTTGCTGATACTGGGTCCTCGTGTGCAATGAGTCGATTGTCACAACCCGGTCACCGATGTGCACACAAAAAATCTCATGGCATTAAATGTAGTCTTAAATTGGCTACATTCCACCTTTGAAAATAAAGATAATCTATGGGTTTGTTTTCTGTGCGATGAGCGTTTCCCTGCAGCAGGGCATATGGGAAAGTGCAGCACACGGAACACTCGTAAGATGTCACTCCAAAGAGCTCTCGGAAGCAGTTCTCTGATATCGCCTTTCACGGGCTAGTCTCGAGCACACTGGGGTAGGAAATGCTCTGCAAGATTTCCCAATGGATTCCATATTATGGGACAATTGAAATGGAGGTACTTATGCAAATTGCACTGTTTAATGGAAAATAGCCAAATAAGTTTGGTAATGGTTACATCCCCAAAGGTTTGGCCATGATTAACTTTATTTATCAAAGACACCAAAGCTGTTTTTACAGGGTTTGATAGTTCCGATGTAATCGGATTTGTAAAATATACTAAACTTGCAAGTAAATCTTTCAAAGGTCACCAATGTCATATTTTTTAAAATTAAATATTGCCGTCTGCTTTTGCAACATTCACTATTTAGCATGTTTCGGCACTGGCTGTGGCGATCAACGCGTTACGTGACTTGGGTGGATCACAATACCGCTGAGGTCCTGGGTTCAAATCCTTGCTCCATCTGAATGCTATGACACAAATATGCTACGATGTCGGAAGTGTATTCTATCAGCCCAGTGATCAATGATTTTTAATACACATGATCACATATCCTCCCTAACCAAGTAACCACCCACGCCCCGTGGTTGTGCATGGAGGTGTAACTCGTCACTTACGGATGTTCACATATTTGACCTCTTCACATATGCATCTATAGCTTAGCCCCCATTGAATCAGGTGTCGAACATTGTGCCGTTTGGTTTTGGGAATTAAACTAGACTCGCTTTTAAGCGCTAAAGTATTGTAACATCCTTTTTAAAATGTAGTCTTTGTAAGGAAGTTGTATTAGAATACACGTTTGCAGTTAAAATTGTACTTAATTGGATGTTACTGTCGACTTTGTACCATTTCATACTGTTATTAATAAAGATGACACCAAGAACCTGTGTTGTGGCATTTTGGCATATGCTGCAGTGGTGGTGTGGTAGTCTTCTTCAGCGATACACTCCGCTGCTCCTGACGCGGTTATCTGACTTGACCACCTCAATGTTAAATTGTAGTTGTTGCTCTGCATCTCCATCAGCATTCATACGAACGGTGTGGTTGTGATTCCGATGTTGCTTGCTATGGGTGTTTTGATCGTGGAGGTGCTTTTGTGTCGGAGGAAATGCTCAAAGATCCGCAGACAAGTTCACAAACCCACTTGCATAATCTGGCCACCATGCAGCCCAGTGGGCTTAGGAGCTTCACACATCTCTGCGATTTAAAAACCCCTGCCTCCAAAGCCATAGGGTTAGATGGCAAATCTTAGCTCTTGTCACTTGCCCAGCTAGGGGATAAATCAGCAAATCAGCTTAGGACTGTTACTAAGACCAGCCCACGTGCCCTGATTTAGACCTAAATATCAGAATAACCCCGCCACTTTCCCCGTTTAATGATAAACCAGCGTAGTGCTGTGACCAAGCCTAGCCCTGATTCCAGCATTGACCCTAACTAGGTGATCCAACAACCCTTACCTCTAAAGTACTGTACCAGAGGCGCATGCGCCAACACCACCCCTCCCTAGCCCTGCAAAAATGTAAACGATGCACGCATTAACGAGACAATCCGCGCCGTCGCTTCTCTCGTACCGCCCGAACATACACGACGAGAAGCCGCTTATCTGTTTTGTTTAGATTTTTAATTGTTTTCCTATTTTATCTTTTTTTTGTGTTTTTCGTTTAATCCTTGAACGGCATCTGGTTTTTACTGTACAGGACATCATGTGGGTGGGGGGGGGGGCAGCAGGAATAGGCAGGGGCAGGGGGCTTCGTGGATCTACGGCGAGTTCGACCGAAGACCTCGAAGGACCGAATTGTGCCGCCAAACTCCACCGCTTTCGCCGCGGGGCGCAGCCACTCGCCGGCATTCCCGTCTGCACTTCAGGGTGTGCGCGAGGCAGGCAGGCAAATTAAACTAAAACGATAATTAAATTTTGCCGATGACCCTAATTTTTTTTGTGAAATGGTAATTTCCCCACGAACCCACGGCTGCAAAGCCCTTTCCCTCCGCTCGCTTGGTGACAGCACAAACTCCACCGTAGCCACGGGAAATGTTTTATTCCTGGCGTGTTTGCGAACAAGTCGCCGGGCATGGCACGAGGAGGGGATGAGGGCGAGCGATGAACCCACCCCCCCCGCTCTACCCTGCCCCAAGGTTTTTGGAACACAAGCAGTATTGATGGGCAGGGAGGTCACTGGGTCACTGGACCAGGCCGGCTCAAAGCTTCCTATTCACGCTTCCCCCTGCTGCCGCCCCCTCCACGTGCCTCCCCCTTCTCTCCCCGTGGCGGTATTCCCCACCCTCCCATGTTTTTGGGTTGTGCCGTGCGCCGTTTCGAACAATTCGGTTCCTGAAGAACGCTCCCGGCACGTGGAGCAAAACGTCGGACGTCGTGGCCGAACAACACGCGGTACAAACTGATAACTCATCGAAGCCTTACACAGCACAACCGTGAAAAGCTACATTCCTTCTCTCCACATGCACGCCTGTTCTTCACCAACCCCAATGGCCTGCCACCCGGCCCCAACGTCCAAACACCGAGACATCCCTCTTCTCTTTCCGCCGCACAAAAACAGGATGTGATGGCCCTCTGGGCCCAACTCGGAAAACGAAACGTCGATCACGCACGCGCGTAACTGTCGACCGCTCATACAGGCGCCACCTTCGCCGCCGACATGCGCTACGTCAGCCGGTCGAAATGTTTAAAAACAAACAAAATATGACTCGTCACATTAATAACGCCGACGACGACGATGCCCCTTGCTGCCGACGATTGCAAAAATATGCCCCATGATAAACCGCAAAAAACGCGCTCGTGACCTTCCCCATTTGGTCAGCGCCATTGTTAGCAAACACGGCGTTTGTTCTGGTGGAGCTGGCGCCAGAAACAGGGAGTCTAACTAGGGTGGTGTGAGGTGGGAGGACAGCGGTGATCATGCTGAGAGATTTGGGGGTCACCGAACTCACAGCCAACGATTTTGAAAAAGATTACTTACGGACCTTATTGTCTCAATAATTATTTGCCGGATCGCTGGTCAGACTGAAGTAGGTAGCACGTGGCTCGACCAGGAGTAGCCACAGTCATAGCGAGAGGTATAAATGATGTGGTTGGCGAGGCGAGTAAATATTTTCCTGATCACCGACCCAGACAGACCTGGCCGAAATTAAGCCCCCATCTTAGCCTTCCGTGCTATTGGTGGCACAGTGGCTTCAAAGGACACTGCCCTACAAACACCACGAAACTGGTTCAACCCCTGGCCAAGATGCACGTCAGTTCTAGGGAACCTGTGGGAATGCACGGCCCCCTCTCCAGACCAAGGTCGACTCAGCCTTAAATGAATACAGGGTGTGGTGGAGTGCAGTCGTGAACATATCAGCACTGCGAGAGAAAAGGTGGCCGGCCGTGGTGCTGGCCACACTGTGATGTTCGTGCATCGTGCTGGCTTTAATAGGTGCTCGCCGACCACATTTTTCCCCTATGGTCTATATAGCTGAATGGGTGATCCACCGTATTGTTTGTGTGGGTGGCCGTAAGTGGTTCAGGCGTAGCTTTGTGCGGTTGTGAGTCACGAGTCACGACAGAGGTTTTACAATAAATCGTTGGGAATGCGTGTGTGTTTCTATATTGAGAGGTGGTTGTCTGCTGCTGTATATTATTGTTGTTTTGGTGTGTGTACTTATGCGGAGTGTGCTGGTGTGTGCATGGCTGTATGTGGTTCCAAGTGATTGCGAGTGGTTGTGTGTAGTTGTTTGTGGTCATCTATGGTTGTACGCATGTAATTGTGTGTTGTTTAGCACGGCCCTGTAGTTGCGTGTAGGCGTAATGGTTTCAAAGTGGCTTTCTGTAGCTACATGTGAAGCTGTGTGTAGCCGTGTATGGTTGTGTATGCTATGTACGGCCATGTGCGATTGCGCATGAGTGCGTTTGGTTGTGTATGGCTCCGTGTAGATGTATGTGTAATTGTACGCAGTTGTATATGGTTGCGTGTAGCTATTATGTCATTGTGTGCGGTTGGACCAGACGGTCAGAGTTAGACATCAGTGGAGAATACGGGAGGACGTGTGGGCCAGGTGGACTCCTCAAGGAACCGGGAAGGGCTAGAGACAGAGAGGGGAAAAAAAAAAAACTAGACAAATAAATTTTAATAAAACGCAAACAAAAAAAAGAAACGGATGATAACAAGGACACGTTATCGTGCAGTCTCACGGAACTACTCACGGAAGCTCCTCGGCAGACTCACGAGGCCCGGCGAGGAGTTATAGACGACGAGCGATCGGCGCGATGCCGCGCGGAGGTTTTCCCCGCAAACGAAGATTTTTAGCGCAAACTTAAGAAAACACCGATGCGCTGCGAATACTCCTCTCTCGTGTTCAGCAGTCGCCGTCGTTTGCTTTTGTAATATATTCTGCTGTTAAGATTTCCTCGACGTGCTTATTTTTTTTTTCCTGTTAAACCGCAATCTGCTTCTTCAAGTGTGGTGACGCTGACGAAGACGATGTTTTGGTGACTTAGATATTGTTCATGGCGTATAGTCTAGTCCATGCCCTGGCTGTGGAGTGCACACGCACATGGATGCACAGATGGGCACACGCACAGATGACACGCACAGCCAAACAGACACGCACACACACACACGTACAATTAATTCAGCATGCTCGAGTCAATTGCCCACAGTTCTGCTGGGTATTTGCCTGTTCATCCACCCACCCACCCACACACTCTCTCATTCACTCACCTACCCAATTCACCCACCCAACCACTCACCCACCTCACTCGCTCACGCACTCATCCACCATCACATACTTTACCCACTTACCCAACTACTCTCACTCACACACCTACCCACTCATTCACTGACAGAGTACCCTCTCTCATGTCCATTCCTCTTTAGTGAGAAGCCAGCCACCCACTCACCAGACCACTCGCTCACTTACCAGACCACTCACGAGACCACCAACCCAACCACGCACCCACTCACCAGAACTCACAAAACTACCCACCCACCCAACCACCCACCCTCTCTCACCCGTTTCGATGGCCTGCGCCTCGTTCACCTTCCACTGCTCTGCGACGTCGTTAGCGAGGGGATCGTCTGGATTGGGTGCGCTCAGCAGTGCTTGGATCGACAGCAGCACCGTGCGGATCTGCAGCGCCGGCGACCACTTGTCTACAGGGGAGGAGTGGGGCGGGGGGGGCGGAGAGCGAGGTCGGACGGATATAATGACGATGACGAATAAAATAGTGATTTTTTTTTATGGTGGGTAACTTCCTCCGCAGCTGCTGCAACCCCCGAGCCACCCACACCAAAAAAGAAAACCGCTCACTCGTAACCTAAAGCAGTAGTAGCAACGTAAGGAGTCGTCAATTCACATGAAATGCGAGGCTCGCCATGACGGAGCTGTTGAATGGTGCAGTGAGGATTGGCTTTCCATAACGACAAATGTACGAAAATGGTTGCTTTGAGAGGTTGAACGAGACCGGATAAAATGAGACAGACGGTACACGGACAAGACAGCGCAAAAGACTGGACAGAGTTATCCTCGCAGCGCAAGTGAGAGAAATAAGACAGAGAGACTGCACTAACAAGTCGAACAGAGGATCCCAGGTTAGACCGCGCGCGATGTTCCGCTCCCAGCACTGCATTTAGTTCCTGAAGAAGCAATGTCGGACATCGTGCCACACAACACGTGGCAACCCCAAAAACACAGCGGAGATGCACAGCAGCACAACCACAAAAACCCCAGGCAATTATACAATATATTCCTTCCCTCCGCACATACGCTCGTTCCTGACCGGCCCCTGAAAAAAACCTCCCCCCCCCCCCCCACGTTCTTACAACAAACACAACTTCGCTCAACGCCACAAAAGTACCAGACATTTTATCACTACTTCGATCGTGCCGTTTGTGATGCTGGCCATCGCCGCCGCCGCTTAACGTATTGGGCATTCTGGGCCTGTGCTCATCAGCCCTGTTTGAGTACAAACCAAACCAAACAAACGAAAAATACCATGCAACAGCGAGGGCAGGCAATAGCAGGTAGGCACGCTACCTTTTAAGATGTCCAGACAGATGCGCCCCAGCTTATCCACATTGGGGTGGTAGATCTTCGTCATGAAGCGAACCTTGGGCGGCGCCATCGGGTACTCCTCCGGCAGAAAGAGCTCCAGCTTGAACGTTCCGCCCTCGAAGGGTGAATCGGCGGGGCCCGCGATCACCACATGGAAATACCGAGCGTTGCTCTCGTCCGGTTCCGCCTTGATGCCCGGCACTGGCTCCGCCAGCAACCGCTGCGTCTCCTGCCGGGGCGGGGAGATCAGGGTGCGTGACACAAAGACAAAGATCCCCAGGTTATAGGCTTAATAGATTATTGGAGCAAGTGCTATTCACGAGCACCTTTGAAGGCCAGCTGGCACGGCACGTGAGGGGGTGGGTGGCCAACACCACGCCCGGCCCCCTTTGTCTCCCCAGTGGTGATGTTTACACACCACACCCAGGTACTCATTTGAGGCTGAGTCGACCTAGGGGAGGCCCAGGACCGGTTCAGATAATCGTCACCGGTGTTGGCGATGAGCGGGAATCGAACTCGGGTCGCCGGTTTAGTAGCACCGTGTGCTAACCACGACACTACTGTACAATACGCGCGCAAACACACAGGCACACACACATACAGGCACACACACCCGCATGCACACAGGTTATATCCGTCATAACAAAATATAACGGTAAAATGTTGGTTGTTATGTCACGTGTGGCGGGGTAAACTGTGGTTACTCCTATCTCTTCCAAGACGCCTGGCTAGCATGTCAGAGTAGGTCGACATTACAGCACCCTCGAGTGGACGCCCTTCAGCAAGCAGTGGTGTGAGTGAGCAATTTCAAGGGCTGCCCCTTTACCTTTCCTAAAAATTAACATCGTCCGGCCCTGACGAGACCGCTCCTACCGCAGCCATGTGCGTGACCGGTGACCGGGCGACCTATCACACGCAATGGCCGAGTACCCCCCCCCCCTCCACAATTACGCAGTGGTGGAGGCAGCGGTAGCAGCCTGGCAAAGGTGATCATGATCTCACCCCACCTGGCAAGACAGCCGGCACAGGGACTCCCGCTAAACCCTAAACCGAGATGGGCGAGCGCGTAAAAATTCACGTCGCCGGGAAAACGCGGTGTGCAAGGAGGTCAAGGTCATGAAGTTGTCGTGGGGTGACCCTCTTGATATTATTACTGCTGCAACTCCCCAACGTGTCCTTCCCTCTGCCAGATCCTACAGCTGTTGCAAAGGTGACTGGTGCTTGCCGAGGTCGGATCTTACAGTCTTAACATCGCTACTGCCTGCTTTCAGGAGCGCACCTCCTTACAATATTGACACGGCCTTTGAGCAGCGTTCTTACAGTCTCATCACATCCACCGTCTGGCTGGAGGTGTTCCCTGCATCATGGCCTCGTCACTAAAAAAAAGTAGCTAAATAAACACAATACGACTGGTGGCATTGGCCAAACATCCCAATGCTGAAAACTTGACCTACAAATCACTCAATTTGGATTACCCACAGCAGGAACATCGCCGCCTACCGCAAAAACTCGGCAAGACCCTCCTGAAGAAGAGTCTTGAGATTCGGTGAGGCTTTCCTGGGCCAACGAGTGATCTATTTATAATAAATAAATACATCACCACCCCCAATCCGCCTTCTTGTTATGCAGGTGACCCGTTCTTAAAATATTATCCCTCCGTCATCCGACATTAGGTTTCCCCCTTGCCACACAACGGTGTCCTCTGAAGTTCGAAAGCCACATCGCCACCTGGCTTTTAAATCTTGCAATGTTATGAAGCTGATAAAGGCTGTTATATCTTATCTACAAGATATGAGCTGAAAGTTTTAAGTTGATTTCATTTAACCGGCTGAGAACTCAAGAGACCAAGATATAGAGTATCACTTGCAAGTGATCCAAGACAATAAGGGGGGGGGGGGGGGCTATGCACAATTACATTTGAGTAATTCGCCGTGCAATTTTTCGAATTTGGAAAATTTGAACGCCGACCCTGGCCCATATCGGCTGGCTCTTGTGAATTACGTCAGGCAAATCTTAAGGCATGAACCATAAACTACTAAAACTAAACTAAACACTATTTTTATTATACCAGGCGAGGCTCTTTTTCAGAAGCGACCTGGCCACAAATAATAGTTTAACGAAGTGGCTTATCACGTGGAAATTGATAGCAGCCAAATACTCTTAAACGCAAGTTTTTAAATGTGAAGGGAAAAAACCACAGGACACTGGAGAAACATCCACACGACCACGGGGCGAGAGATGTGCAAACTCCAAATATACAGCAGGCGTCAGGGTCGGGATCGAACACACGATCTCCTGCATGCCAGGCGAGGAAGTTATCATCTTGCCACCACAGCGCCGCTCACACCACTGCGGCGCCTCCAAGGTAGGAGGGGGGGGCTACAGTGAACTCAGTGCTCCTGGGTTCTGGGAAGGGAAGATTGGGCCTCACTGCCTCACTTGCGTAGGACTACGAGCAGCGGTAACAAAGTCTTGCGCTTAGCTGCAAATGCATGGACAATGCGACGCGACATATTAATGGTGAACCAATTAATTTATGACGCTGCGCTGCCAGTGGTGCACAAGCGCAAACAGCTAATATCTCAAAACACATTCATCATCCATCCTGTCGATAAAATGAGCATCACTCTAGATTGGGAAGTTAAACGACGGGTGTCCCCTTTGGCCGGACGAGCTCTCGTCATAGGAATGTGGAAATTCCACCACTTGCTCCGCGGGGCTGTAAACAAGAACTGAGACTCAAATGCCTAAATGCCCAATTGATCAGTAACTCTCACTCCGAATGAAGGCTTTGGCAGAGGGAGTTGTGAAACTCCCAAAACCTGCTCAGCTGGATACCGCAAACGCTTTCCAAGCACGCGTCTGTCCTGACAAGACACCAATGGGTATTAGTCAGGGCAAACAGATGCGTTTGCATATTTGCAAAGAGTCCTTTTGCTCTGGGCTGTGTCGCCATAGCTTTGCACGACGCTCAAAATCACTTTGGCCTTTTTTCCAATAAGGCAACTCCATAAAAAGCAACAACTCGTATTGAAAATATAAGAAGAGGGTTTTACCCTATCTGGCAATAAAACAGGTGTTCAGTTTTGAAACACCAAATAGAAACCTTTTGCAAGGAATCATATCTGCATTAGCCACACACGTACTTGTGGTGAAAACATGCTCAGATAATATATGCATTGTCTTTGAAACCGATTGGTCTACACGAGAGACAGCCTTCTTTCGGGCCTAGTCCCACCACCAGTGTCAGACCAGAGAACAGCACAAAGACGATCTTGATTCTCTGAGTTGCATTACCCTGTGGGATGCCTTTGCATTCACGGGCCGGGGTCTCACTAACATGGCCACTTCTGCTCCCTTAGCCTCGACGTATCGTTGGCTCTTACTGCATTATGGGCTGTGCCTCACTGGCATGGCCACTCTTGCTTGCGGTGGTTCTCTTGCGTTGACGCTCTTGCCTCGTGGAGGCCACTCTTCGATCTCACATTAACATAGCCACTTCCGTGCCCTCGTCGAGGAGGCCGCTCTCCGTTCTTACACTAACACGCTAATTTCTCACATTAACATAACTAGCCCCGCCCACTTATTTATGACCCTTGGGCTACACCCATTTCAAACCTCAGCAGCAGATCATGCTTTCCCACCTGATGGCGGACGCTTGTGTTGCGCCCGAAACGTCGTGATTAATTTTATTTTATACCTACGTGACTTTACCGAAAGAACCAAAGAGTAAGCACAAAGACAGACAGCACAAATACAAGGTACTATAAGATCATTTATAGCTCGTTGATGCTGGCAAAAAGGTCCCGTTTCGTAGAACTCATATTGGCTGATCTTGGCAGGGGGTGATCGTCCCCCTCATTACCGACAGATGGACGGGCGGAGTTGATAGCATTAGCGCTTCAAGCCGCGGGTGTTCTTCCAGTTCCTTTGCCTTGAGGGCCATTAGGGCCCTGGCCATTTCCTTCACCGATATCTGCTTACAGTGGGCTCTCCTCCAACCCTTTATGGCCATCACTGCACCTTTCAACGGGAGACAGTGGAGTGTTTGATGCTTGACGTCCGGGTCAGGTCGTCAATTTCCCCTTCCTCCGGTAGCTTCGAAATATTGTAGTTAACGATTCAGCACCCACTGATTCTCTATAGTCACTCGCTCACAAGGGGTTAGTCGCCTCCTTTTCACTCTTTTATTGCTACCACCACGGTTACTGTTCCCGTGAGCTGCACTTATTGTTTCCTCCATCCACGTTGAGGACTCGGTCTGCCAGGCTGACTGTGTTGTTTCATCCACTCCGTGATTGACCACAACACCGCAGGACACAGCAATACACTCACCCACAGACTATGCCACTCACTCAGCTGTTCACCACACTACAGGTCGCAGCACTTCTCATTCTGCTTCTCTCCTCGCACTGCTCCATCTGGAAATCCCTTCCATAATCTCGCTCAGTTAAAAAAAAACCGTGGTAACTCATCATTTATAACTTTAATAGTGTGCTTTGTTGCTAGCCACTTGGTAATTTGGGCCTTTGCTCAGAAAACCATGAAAAATAGGCCTTTTCCTTTACTTGCACTCACATGGTACGATTGATTGTTATGAGAATTGCTCATCAACTTACAGATGAACCAAAACAATAATTTGCGCATTAAACGCTTGCGCACTGCGTTTCAATTAATCTGGTAATGTCAAGTCTCAAAGCATAAACATGACTGCTGATTTTGCCATTGAGAATGAAACTAAAAACCTACTTGTTTCCTATGCTACGTAAGATAAACTGGATTTGTTTTACTTTACAGCGCTCTGAAGCCCTTTGTAGGGTCTACTGCACCTTATATGAGAACAAATTCAGCCGGATCAATCCGATAGGGTCCAACCCAAAAATTAGTAAGGCATCTTAAGTCACTGTCCGTGTCTGTTCCTCTCAGGACTTCCTTGTTTATGCGACGTATCTTTTACAAGATATTTTAAGAACTCTTCCGGAAGTCCTTAATTTCGAAGGCACGGTGACTTATGTTGTCTTCTTCATTGCAAGTCCAGTGTAGCGGAAAAACGTTCTAAAGGTGGAGTCCTCTTTTTAAAAAAAAAACCCTGGCCACTTGATTTTATTTTCATTATCGTGTTTCCACAGCGTGCTAAAAGTTTGGATGGTAACTGCGATATAGAGCCGATGACGCGAATAATCACGCGATTTCAGAAAAACTTACATTCAAGTAATGTGTGCGTGCATAGACGGACTATATAAGGTAAGGTTTAAAGATTGAAGGTTTGATACTGAAATTACATTTCCAATTAATGAACTAACCCTATGGCAAGCCACTGTTGGATGTCTCTCCATGCACTGACTATGCTTCACCACGCTTGTCAGAAAAGCGAGTTGGAGAAAGGGGAGACCTGCAGGGTTGCGGGGCAGGGGGGCCCAGAACCAGTTCAGATTCACTACGCACCGATGTTAGCCCTGACCGGGAAACCGAGATAACTGTCAGTGGGTTTGGTAAAGTGCGTCAAATGGCTTGCTAAATCGTCAATGGATGAATCGCCGAAGGGGACGTCTCTATGGCAACCCAGCGACGCAACCCCATCAACGACGCCCCACGATGCGTCTCACGGCGTGTACGCTAGCACCAAGGGCTAGTGTCAGGGATAGAGTCTGGGATCGAGTTGAGGTCAGTGACTGGGTTAGAATCATTCAGTCCTAAACTGGCTTAGACTCAAGCTGGGTTAGAGTCAGGACCAGGGCTTATTGCAAGTGTTAGTATCAGGCTTCGAGTTGGGATTAGCGTCAAGGCTCGCATCAGGGCGAGCCATGATTATGGTTTGTGCAAGTCGGGTTATCCCAAAGTTGGGTTAATGACAGGACAAAGCGCCGCTGCCGGTAACCCATGGCCTTGAAGGAAAGGCTTGGTGGCTTACATATAAAGTAGTATATGCCCTGGTATTACCATGTGCCAGCACACATGGTAGCACATGGTAGTACAGCAAATGGGATCTATCTGTCCACAGCATTGCGTGTTACCCCATCATATACGTGGTTGGTTTTCTCCGAGTTTTGCGGTTTCTCCCCTTCATGATACCATGCCAAACACCCCTATATATGGAGTTGGCCAAACATCCCAATATAGCAGCAGGACCCTGCTGAAAGAGCGTTCCGAATGAGTGAGGCTTTTCTATGCAAGGGGACTTCACGATCCAAGTCGTGGGCAGCAGCGGCGGCGGGGCCCTCCCTACTTAAATGATTTCGACCACACAGGCGTGCATGCTCCTCACGAGCATCAACTTGCACGGACCAGAATGTTGAAATACGGTCGAATAACAACCCCCACATGGCGTGCGGGAAGGCCCGCATACAAAAGTGAATGCGGAAAACGGGGCTGTGCAGGTAACTACAAAGTAGTACTGTACTGCAGTAGGCTTCCATTCATCACACCACCAGGGATGTGAATCGGAACACACCTTACGAGGCATCACGACGCAGTTCTTAAAGCTCCGCAAGTTGCCGGCCCCTGTACTAAACAGACTCAAGTATCGATTGTTTAACATCGACGTACGGTGAATGCAGGGCCTCGAGTGGATGCAGGGGTCACGTGGATTTATTGCAGGAAACGCAATAAGTATTAACATAATTACGTGTCCACTGTTAATCCACTGCTGGATGAAGGCCTCCCCACACCATCTCAGCCATGGGAGCTGTTTGACCATACTTCACCACGTTGGGCAGTGCGGGTAGATGAATGCGGTGGGGGATAGACCCTAGCAACTGGTTTAGACGTCACTCACCACTGAAATGAGTCGTGTGAACAAAAACGAACTCGGGTTTTTGGGTTCGTAGTGCAGTGAGCTAGCCGCTACACCGACACCACCCCCACCCCCTCCCGTCTCTTACCGTACACAAAATGAGTTAAACACCCAACATCGATCCTGACAAACAAATCGATACTGGTCATCGATTAACCAACCCATCATTGCATCTCCAGAAAATACAGTGCAGATGTAAGACGCGAAAATATGGATAGTAATTGTGCAAATGTAAAAAAAATCAAACCCAATTCGTTTCCATGAAATGCAAAAATAGCGTGTGTACATTTGGTGACAAAGAGTTGCTGCTTCTTCTCACGCGTCCAGGCAAAGCTGTTTCAACCCAAGAATCACCTCGACCCTTGGGGGAGAGGACAGACTGCGGCACGGATACCGTGCAGGGAACGACTTTCGAAAGTTGGCGCAGTGAACGACACAAAACACGCACACGAAAACGGAAAATTGACACGCAACATTAAACAAATGCCTTACTAACGTTGACTCGAGGCGTGGACATGTGATCTCTATGTATTGTGACATGAGCAAACTAAGGGACGAAGTGGGGGGGGGGGGGGAGACAAAGATCCCCCGTATAGCCTTAACAGACTGTAGGGGCAAGTGCTGTTAGCGACCAGCACCTATTAAGGCCGGCACGGCACACGAGGGCGTGGGTAGCCAGCACTACGCCCGACCCGCATTGCTCTCCGCTGTGGCGATGTTTGCATACCCGGCTCGCCGGGTACTACCCATTTGAAGGCGAGTCGACCTAGGGTGGGGGAAAGGGCAATTTGATCGGTTCAGATCAATAATCATCGCTGGCGTTGGCCGTGAGCGGCAAATCGAACTTGGGTCGCCGGGTTCGTAGCGCGGCGGGGCCAAACCGCTGCGCCGCAGCTCCTTCCCACGAATGGTTGACAGCCGACGGAAGGAACGCGGCCGCGAGGTTTTTTCCCCGTGTACTACGCTAAATCTTGCGGGCACCACAGAGTCCGCTCGCTGTTGCATTGCACTACGTCTGCGCGCTTGCGTGGTGAAGTTATGGGCAATTGACCGGCGCGGTGAGGACGTCATCCAGCAGCGGATTGACACAAGGCATGCTACCAGTGTTACTGTACTTCATCACTGCAAGGCCCCTGGTGGCCTTTGGTGCGGCCCCTGACGTGCGTACTCTCCCCACCCCCCCACGACAACACACAAGTGACCCCCCCCCCCATCATCATAGTGCTGCTGTCAAACCTCCCCCCCTGCCCCCCAATGGTTTCAAATGGTGTGGCGGCTCTTCACAACTGATGGTGTCTTATCGGCGAAAGTGCCTCCCCCCCTTCCTCGCCACCTCTGAAAGTACAGTACAACACTGGCGTAGATGAATCTTGCAGACGAGGCTCGGCCCTGAGCTTTGCTCTACGAGCCTCTGGGGGGGGGGGGGGGGGATGGGGGGCTCTTTAACACACGGACCCGGGTATTGTAGGGGGGGTGTGGGGGGCAGAGGAAGGAAAATTGGTCTCACGTCTCCGTCTTCTGAACCTTGTCAAAAGTGGAACACGAGTGTGGGGGGAGGGGGGGTAGATGAGGTGACGAGCCGAGAGAGAGGATGACGAGAGCGGGGTAGTGGACGAAACGAAGGAGAGGGCTGAGGAAGGCTTGAGACGTGGAATGACGAGAGGACCGGGATGAAGAAAACGAGGTGCGGGAGGACGACGCGATGGCGAGAACAACCAGAAAGGATGATGCCGACGATGATTTTCTCATGATGATGTTTATGAAGACAATGATGAGTTATGCTAACTACGATGACCACGAAACATATAGTTAAGACTTCAGTCGCGATGATGCCTACGACGGTGACGATGATGAAGACGTATATAACGATACGTCTATAATTATAACCGTGACAATGTTTATTTCTCTGATCATGATGAGGAAGGCTGGCGGTGGTAATTCTGAAGGACTACCATTCATCGTGACGCATGCTGTGAAGGCGTCAACGAAAACTGTGACTGATGGTGATGTCTACAATGACTGATGATGGTGATGATACCTCTGAAGATGCCGATTCTGACGCCCTCGTATAACACCATGACGGTGACTGCCCGATTACCACTTTGATACCTCTTAAGGTAACGATTCCGAAACCCCATAATTATGCCTTTTATGAGAACTGTAACGACAAAGATGATACTGATGATGGTGGTGGTGGTGGTGAAGACTTCGAAGCAAGAGGAAACAGGAGGACGAGCAAGGCCGAGGTGGACGGGAAGCTTCTGTCATCATCACGGCCACCATCAACCCCACCACCAACCACGACAACCGCCACAACCACCACAACCACCACCAACACCATCGTCGTCGTCGTCTCTCGCAGCAAAGCAAAAGCGGCTGAGGCCCACCTTGATGATGCGCCGAGGCAGGCCGGTCATTTTGGCGAGGAGGCGGAGGAGGAGAAGAGGAGGAGGAGGAGCGAGAGGAGGAGGCGAGGGCGCAGCTACAATATGGCGGCGCCTCGTTTCCGCGGCATCATCGGCGTACCGTAAACCTGAACACGCCCCCCACCACACACCAGCCACCTTTACGGCAGCGGCTGGTGTCGCGAAAACGTCGGCGTCGCGAAACGTCCGTTCGTTGTAGCCCCTCCCCCCGCCAGCACCCCCTCACCCCCCATTCCCCTCCAGCCCCCCCCCATCCAGCCCCCCCCCCATCCAGACCCCCGCCCCCGACAGCCCCTCTCCCCATCCAGCCCCTCTCACCCACCATTCCCCTCCATCCAGCCCCCCCCATCCAGCCCCCCCCATCCAGCCCTCCCCCGACAGCCCCCCCCCATCCAGCCCCCCTCCCCCGACAGCCCCCCTCCCACGACAGCGCCTCCCCCCATCCAGCCCTTCTCCCCCGCTAGCCCCCCCCCAGCCCCCTCCATCTATCCCCCTCCTTTCAGCCCCCCGCCCCCGCCAGCCCCTCCCCCATCCCCCTCCCCCCAGCTCCTCCAACCCCCCCTATCCAGCCCCCCCCCCATCGAGCCCCGCTCACCCAGCACCCTGCCCCGTCCAGACCCCCTCCCCCAGCAACCCCCGTTCAGCCCCTCCCGCCTTCCAGCCCCTCCCTCCTTCCAGCCCCTCCCCCCATCCAGCCCCTCCCCCCCACCCAGCCCCCTCCCTCCTTCCAGCCCCTCCCTCCTTCCAGCCCCTCCCCCCACCCAGCCCCTCCCCCCACCCAGCCCCTCCCTCCTTCCAGCCCCTCCCCCCACCCAGCCCCTCCCTCCTTCCAGCCCCTCCCCCCACCCAGCCCCTCCACCCCCTCGTGTCGTGATGAATGAATGGGTGAGTGCAGGCCGGCAGGCGTCACACGATTCAGAATCTTTATTTAGACTGGAGGAATCCGATAAGCTATGATGCTCTCTTTTTTCACAGATGTACGGTACGGGCGAGTCAGCACTTAACACAAACACTCAACACATTTCTGAGTTTATTTCTTACACATGCCAATGTCGAGCGACGGCTGCTGGCCGCGACGGGAGGGTGGGCTCCTAAGAGGAAATAAATGTATGTTTTATGAAGGAGGACCATTGTCCGAAACGTCACCTATTATAAAGCCACCACGGTGCATAAGATGTTAACTACCTCGCCTGGTATACATGAGGTCGTGGGATCGATCCCGACCCTGACGCCTGCCTCCACATTTATAATCAACATCACGCGTTGAGAGTGCAGTTGAGATATCATTTGTGGTCAGATCGCTTCTGAAAAAGAGTTACATAGCTCAGCGGGCCGTTCTTCGTACGATAAAAAAAATTGCTTATAGTTTTACTGTAAGTGTATTTTATCTTTTAAAGCCACAAACGCGCACACTGCGTAAAACATGACGTCGATGGCCGCGGAATGCCGTCACACACAGGATGCGGGCGACAAAGTCGGGGGCGTGATGACGTCACAGCCGTGGCAGATTACAAGGCAAATGACGTCGTTGGCTGCGGAAGACGTCACCCGCAGGCGAGCGACAATTCTGAGACGCGATGACGTCACGACAGTGGCAAAATAAGTAAAAATGACGTCTATTACCGCGGAATGACGTCACCCTCAGGAAGCGAGCGACGATTCGGGGGCGTGGTGACGTCACGCCCGTGGCAAAATAACAAGTAAAAATGACGTAGTCGCGGTAGACGTCAGCAGGACGTTCGATGGCCGCGGCCCTGAGTCGGTACCGCAAAGAAGAAGAAGAAGGCGCAGGAGGAGGCGGCGTCGGGTGAGGAGGTGGAGGCTGAGGAGAAGGCGCCGAGATTTTTTTTCCCCCGTGGTTTCTCGCCGCCTTCGCTGAGACGCGAACTCGCCCCGGGAGAGAGGTCGGTCGGTCGGCGACGACGGTGGTGATGGCGAAAGATTGGACCTCGTTTCATTAAATAATGGAAATTGTGCCACAATGTTATCCTTCGAACCATTCGTAACAACGTGATAATGTAAGGACGGGAATTGCTGCTGATTAGCATCTGGAGAGGCTGTCCGGTCGCACCGTACAATTTACGTGTTAATCCACAGCTGGATGAAAGGCCTCCCTCGGCGCCGTGCGGGTCGTGAATTGTGGGTGGGTTTATTTGACCATACTTCACCGCGCCTGTCAGTGCAGGTTGGTGAAGGGGCGAGCGAGTGGGGGGGGGGTAGGGACGCGGATATCGCTCGCCACTGACGTTCGCCGTGGCCGGGAGTCGAACGGGGGGGCCTCCCGCGCGTTCGTAGCGCCACAGCTCCTCATAGTTTCATTTAGTTCCATTTATTTTGGTATCGAGCCCTGTGAGCCATTCGGCTCTTGAATCGGGTGCAACCGCAACAAACACAAAAAACATGAACAAGAAAAAAACATCTTAAAGTTACTATGTGTGACTGTGCAAAACAGAAAAAAACAGAAAGAAAAAAACATCAAAATATTCCTGAAATAGCACCGTACACCAACGCGAATCGTTCGTCGGGGTTTGTTTGACCATACTTCACCACGCTGGATAATCTCGGTTTGGGGGGGGGGGCACGGCGTAGACGTGGGAGCATAGAGGTGCAGAACAAACAAAAAAACCCGCCACTTTTTTTCAAATTGTCTTGCTGTGTGGGGTTTTTCACACCTGATGATGATTGCTTGTGTTGCAGTCGAAACGTCGTGAGAATTTTATTGTTTTATTTTTATTATTTTATTGTTTCCCTTCTACGTGGCTTTAACCGAAAGAACCAAAAATGTGAATCACTGCAGTCACGAAAGCTTTAAATCAAAATTTAACGGATGTTTTGTTTTTGGTCAACATGCCTTTAGTTACGATAAGGCGGGTTTTTTTTATTAGCCCGTTGTGGAAATTGCAGGTTACCATCGTCCCAACGAGTCCGTCTTAACTTAGAACAAGGCAGCGTTGGAGTTTTACAAAGTGGTGTACTTTGTTTTAACGACCGTGCCGTGATAATTGGGTTGAGTTGACCCCTGAAGCGACATTTTAACTTTACGATTGTTACCTCGGGTGTCTTGCCAAAGTAACAATGTTTATAATGTTGATGATTACGTTGGTAATTATAACGGCTTCACCAACCCGCAGTGACCAACGTGGTGAAGTATGGTCGAACAACCCTCGTGGATGACAAATAGGCCGCAAATATAAATTAACTACGAGTTGTGATACTTTCGTAGTTTATTTTTTTAAAGGCACGAGTATTTACACTCAATTACAGGAGTCGTACATATTTAATACGTTTGCAAGCGTTTTGTGTTGCAGGGCTATACCCAAATTGCAGCCACGATCCCAGTTTGCCTTGTATCATAGCTGCCGCACTGAAAATGATTTAGCTTGGTGGTAGAGCATCCACCGTTTGCACGCGCAGTCAGCTCGGGTCGACTCGAATTTTCGCCCCTGCTTCCTCCCACGGACGTGACATCTGTGGCTCATGGAGACAATTGTATTAGGGGCCAGACCCAGGCACAATCCGAACTCAGCTTTGCTTCGGGGAGCCAGAGTTAGGATTAGCCACAGTCTTTTATCCCAGTGAAGCCTCGCGTTGGGCTGGTGCGAGAGTGGGATCCAGGCATTGAATGAGTGTCTTTCCTCTTGGTTCTTTCGGTAAAGTCAAGTAGAATGGAAATAAAATAATCAAAATAAAACATTTATTATGGAAATAAAATAATCAAAATAAAACATTTATTATGTTTTATTATTTTATTTCCATTCTACGTGACTTTACCGAAAGAACCAAGAAGATGAATCCCTGCAGTCACGAAAGCTTTAAATCGAAAATTTGAGTGTCTCTCCGTTTCAGGCAACCAGGATTCAACCTTCGCTCTGCGACCGCTACCGGAGCTTCTTCAGGTCAAGTTCGACACCTGTCGTCGTGAAGCTACGGGTTGGATCGGTGCCGGTGGCAAATCGACTGCTGCTCACCATTTACTCGCCCTCTCTATGCTCGCCCTCGTCCTGCACTTGCTCCCACTTGCTCGTTTTGAGTCTACCCTACCGGCCAATACCGGACACCGAACGCTGCGGCGCTGCACCGGTGTCGCACTGCAATCAGAACGCGACTGGCAGCTGTAACCGAGGGGTGTGGTTGAGTGCTGGTTGCTGGAAGGGCGGTGCCGGTGAACACTGTTAATTAGGGAGCCTGGCGCGAAGTGTGCGTGCGAGGCATTACCACCACAGGCACAACCGACATCACAAGAACCTTCGCCATAGCCACCACAATTCTATCGCACCTACCGTTGCCTCCACTAAAATAATCGCCGCCATAACCCGCACCGACATCACTGCCACCCCCAACACACCCTCCACTGTCACAACCTTCACCGTCACCCACCGGCGCCACCATGCGACACGTGCCAAGTGCACGCCAGCACTGCCTGGAGCTGGCAGCGGGCAGCAGCGTGGTGGTGAAGGCGCTGTGCGCCACCGTCGTGCTGCTCTACCTGCTGTCGTACGCCACGCACACAGCGTACGCGCTGGCCGTCACGCCTGGCTACCTCATCCCACCGATGCTATGGGTGTGGACACCGCTCACCTGCTCCCTCGTCGAGCTGCACGCGTGGGAGGCGGCCGCCAGCGTGGCCACCGTGGCGCTTGCGGGCCGGCTCCTCGAGCCGCTGTGGGGCGCCCTCGAGCTGCTCACGTTCCTCGCCGTGGTGGGCACCGGGACCGGCGTGCTGGCCTGCGCCGCCTACCTGGCCCTGTACGTCGCCACCTTCAACCTCGACTACCTCTTCAGCGTGCAGGTGCGCGGCTGCGCGGGTTTGGCCGGTGGCGTGCTGGCGGCGCTCGTGCAGACGCGGCCCGACGCGGCGGCGCTGCTGCCGCTGCGCTCGCCGCCACGTCTGCTCCTCCGCCTGCGCCACGCCCCGGCCGCGGTGCTCGCGGCGCTGGGGTTGGCGGCGCTGCTGGCGCCTTCGCTGGTGAGCGGCCGGCCGGCGCTGTGTTTCGCCTGCGGCCTGCTCTCCGGCTGGGCTTACCTGCGCTTTTGCCAGAGCCACGCGCGTGGGCGGGGAGACATGTCGGAGCACTTTGAGCTGGCGGTTTTCTTCCCGGGCCCGGCGCGGCCCGCCGTGGCGCTGCTGGCGCGGTTGGCACATGGTGCCATGGTGCGACTGGGGCTGTGCGGCCGCGCCGTCAAGAGGTACGACGTGGGGGCGCCGTCCGCCATCACCATCAGCCTGCACGGTGCCGACCCGCACGACGCCGAGAGGAGGAGGTCAGGCCACGCTCTATGAAATATGGGTCTCCGTGCGAGTCTGTGGGTCTCCGTGCGAGTCTGTGAGTGTCTTATGTACATCGTGATGAGCGGGCCGAGACCATCCGCTCGCTTTACTTGACAACCCAATTTAAACATGGTTGGGCAAACCTCGGCTTCCAACCCATAGCATCTCAGCAGTGCGACCTCATCGTATCCGACCCCCTGCACCAGCTGCTCATTTAATTAAACCAATATTTAACCACAATCCGCCTCTGTCCGTGTCTCAGCCGAGATGTCTGGCCAGCATGGAAGAGTAGGCCAAAAATATCCGCTAATAAAGGGGCGCTCTAGAGCCCTCGAAGGCCCTTCGTGCCAGCAGTGGTGTGAGCAGGCACTTGCAGGGCTGCACCTTTACCTACGTCCCCCAACCCCCACCACAGGCAGCTGGCGCTCAAGGCCCTGAACGAGCGGCTGAAACGCGGAGACGAGCACGCCAACTGGCCCGACATGGACGACGATGGCGACCAGAGCAGTGACGACGAGCGGACGATGGCGCCGGCATCGGGTGGTGGCGCTGGGGGCACGGGAGCCGGCTTCTCCGACTCCCCCGAGATCGTCGGGCAGGCCGGGCAACCTGCGCTCGCCGTGAAGGCGTAAACGCCGCAGTGGCAGAAGCGGCACCAGCAGCGCCAGCAGCGCCAGCAGCGCCAGCAGCGCCAGCAGCGCCAGCGGAAGATCGCGAAAGCTGCGGTTTGCAGCGCCGGCGTTGATTAGGGGGATAATTTTATTTAGAGAAGAGACGACCCGTAAAAACTCGACCCTGCGTGTCCAGCCATGTTCGTCGTGTGAAAGATTTGCCGGCGGTAGTAGCGGTAGCGTTGGCGCCGGTGAGACAGCGACGACACTGGCCCCATGCGGATTGGAGGCAATTTCGGAAGAACGTTCCGAAATATGAAGAAAAACCGCCATAAGAATGGAAATGAAACTGAAAATTAAAGGACGTCGCACGCATACAAAATGGATTTAAGATAACGAAGCTAAGGCTGTGTCCCAGGCCGTCTGACACAAACTAGGCACTTTGTTTAGGTGAGAAAAATATATTTTAAAGTCCCATTCACGTGGTCTATTGTAGCACTCGAGCAATGTTTCATGACACTGACGTATTGAAATCGAGGGGAGTGACATCACCAGAGTGCCATAATGTCACGCCCATTCACAACTTTAACATTCACTTTCTCAAACATCAATTCCTTTTTGGTATTGGCAGATATAATGCCAGTGTAGCCGGACCCTTCAGAAAATGTGTCTTGAGACACGGGCCTTCCTGAGTAAAGGTGGAACCCTGCAATTGTTTGCGTGCGCGACACTGCAGGCCGAAAGGGCCTCCACTAGAGGGTGCTCTAGACAGCCCCTCTTGAGGGTATTTTGGCCTACTTTTCTATTTTGGTGAGACACCTTGAAAGAGCTTTCCTAGGCAAAGGCCATTATTATTATCGAAGCTTCAGACGTGTCGGACAGCCCTAGGGTGCACACACACACAGGCGAGGTGTGTATCTAAACGGACGTTTATTTTTATTTTTGCCGTGCATCTTAAATTTGGTCTCTCCACACGCGCCAGCACAGTCGCGAGTTTAAAGCATTCATCCTTGCTCGCGAGCACGAGCACTCGTCGGTCGTTGTGCCGTATTTGGTCATGGCTGACGTGGCGGGTTGGGAGCTTCAGAAGCTTTATTTAGACTGGAGGAATCGGACAAGGTTTGAAGCTTAAATCGATGGTGCAGGAAGGAAAATATTGTCCACCCACTCGCCACGGCGAACATTCCAGCCCCTTGCGGGCCGGGACAGAACCCTGACATTAGTTTCGTGGTGATGAGGCGGTGAGCTTGCACAGCTGAGATATCCTGGGTTCGAATCCCGAGTATCAGCTGCCCGAACGTGGTTACACCAGGTTTTCACGTCTGGCACTGACGGAGCTGGTGATGCCGCACAAGGGGTGGCGGGGGGGGGGCACTTGTTTTTTGTTAATCATGCGATCACTGCAACTGCTGCATCCTTTACTAGCAAATCTCACGCTGAAAATAAACCACATCCCATTTCAGCCGATTCAGGAAGCCGGTGAGAGTGCACCAATGCAAGGTCAAGTCGACGATTGCTCGCCGCCAAACATGGTGGTGGCCGCCAAACATGGTGGCGTCAACCCATGAGAGAGACCCTGGACTGGCGTTGAAGGATCTAGCGGTGATTAGCAAACCAGCAGGGGCTTGGTGAAGTGGGGTGAGTGCTGGCTACATTGAATTCGGCCGGCCAACGTTCACCACGATTCTCATTTTGTGATCATTGAGGCACCGAAGGTTTCTTGTGGTGGCCAAGTGGAGCAGAGTGGCACTGTCGACTCTGAAGGGCTGAAGTGGGATGAGCTGTGCTCGGGATGGAGGTGTGTGCGTGTGTAAAGCCTGGCTTTGACACCGATACCTGCCCAACACAAAAACATGGGGCTGGGGCTGTCTGTCGACCAGTCCAACGCAGGCATGAATGCTAAACCATGCTCGGGCCATGTTTGGGGTCTAGCCCTTAAACCAGATTTAGCTTCAGCCTATTTAGCACAAACTGGGTTAGGTCTGTCTGGTTTGTTCCCTGACCCCAACCCTGATGATCCGTTCAACCTGATAATAAACTGGGTTGAGCTATGTCTGACAGATACCCGAATTGCAACAGCCCCAACCGAGCCAAATGAGGTTAGGGCTATGCACGGTTGGGTTAGGGCTATGTCTTGATCTAGCCGTAACGTTGATAATCATCCCAGCACAATAAACTAGGTTCGGCGACATGCGAGACTGGTACATACCCTTACTATGACACCAGCCTAACATTGTTAAACCAGGTTAGGGCTGTCTGGGTGGGTTGAGCTACGTATTAATCGAGCCCTCGGTGAACACCAGCCCAACACTATGATGAATTCAGTTCGGGCACTAGCTTTAACTTCTTGACAGTGGTCCTGCTGCAAGACTAAACCAGGTTGTGAGTCAAAAGTGTCACCAAACGTGAAGGTAAAATAGTTAACTATTTGTGCATATGCATCTACTCCCGAGACCAGCCCAACCAGGACAATTGCTGAGGCTGTAACAGTTTAACCTCGGTGATCAAGTAAAACCACCGCACGTGCAAGCAAAACAACGAAAAGACTTTAAATTCACTTTCGTGGCATTCTACCGAACCGACACACCAGTCTGGTCTGCAGTAAAGGGGGGGGGGTTCTTAAACCCCGCGCCAGCCGCCCTTCCCACATGTGCTGACCTCCATTCAAACCACAGCTGTGCGAATCTGGTGATAGTACTCGTGGTTTGTGGTGATGTGCGTCGGTGGAGTTTTAAAAGTACTGTCCCCCCCGGCTGCCCATAGGAATGGCCGACAGCCGATAATAATTAATTGCCAATAGCCGACCACCAGTAGCCGGCCATGGGGATTGGGTGAAGTGGAAGAATTTAGCGTGGATACCAGATCACTGCGTGCCGAAACGGTACGTGTACTCGGTTTTTGTTAAGCTACAAGTTACGGTCAGTTGTGTGTGCGTGAAGAGCGATGGGCATCGTTTAAGATGGATTTAAATAAACAGCTATAGGTGTCACTTTTTTTGCCTGGGTTGAGCGAGTGGAGCTGTAGGGGAGCGACCCCCTCCATCAATGCGCGAGCAGGAAAGCAGGTAGGTGAGAGAACAGAATGGGGTGGGCGGTAAGTCGGTGAGTGAGGAAGTGAGTCAGTTCTAGGGTGGGTAGTTGGGATTGTTGGTGGATGAGTGACTGGTTTGGGCGGATGACTTAGCGAGCAGATGGTTGAGAAGGTGCCTGAATGAGAGCAGACTGCTGGATGACTGTGCGAGTGGGATATTTGGAAAGTGAGTAGATGTGAGCTTTTAAATATGTGGGATAGAGCAGGTTGATGGGTGATTGACCATTGTGGGCAGGTGAATGGGAGAGCAGTGAGTAAAGAAACAGGCGAGTGGGTGAAGGGATAAATAGATCTGTTGTATGAGTGGATGGGCGAGTGTGAGCATGCAGGCGAGTGCCTGCGTAGATGAGTAGGTGTGTGAGGGAGCACTTAGTTCAGCGAGTAAGGATAGCTCTGGGGGTGGGTTGGCTCGTGCATGGGTAAAGTTTCTGGGTGAGTGGATAGGTAAGGAGGTGAGCAAGCATGGAGGGCGAGTTGGAAGGCAGCAGAACATCCTGATGGTAACCAGAATTCTTGGGTTCAATACCCAAACCGATCAAGTCTCCCACCTCCATAACAAAATCAATCACAAATCACACGTATCAGTTCCAACAACCATTCAATGTTGACTTCATCTGCCCACCCAGATGTATAAAACTCTGGAATGTACAAAAGTGCCCTCCGGGGTTCCTTGTAACTGTCGTTACGGATATAAAAAAAAACCCAAACACAATGACCAGGGCTTAATTTCTCTCGGAATTTTTTTCAGGTCGCTGGTAGATCTAGTTGGCATGCGACTAAGTAGCCACAGCCCGCAAGCATGAGGTATACTGGATGTGGTGTGCGATGGACAAATCATTTTCTCCTGTGTCGCAGACCTGGACAGACCCCGGCTGAAATTAAGCCCTGGTAACAACACAAGGTACACAAGAAAACTAAACGATAAGAGACTTCAAAATCAAACAACACGACACCGACGCGTCCTGTGTAGCTCTCCCGCTTGCTTTAGGGTTGTACTGCACGGTGCCGGGCACAGGCCCAAAAACGCCAAATGGCCAGCAACAAACAGACGCACTGCTGACGTGATTAGAATACTGAATCTTTTTTAAGTTCATATTCTTGAACGGAACAAGAGAGGGGGGGGGTGTTTGGGATGATGGAATTGCACAGCAGAGTAGTTGCGAGGAAAGAAGCAGAGAGCATTGTTACCTGCAATGTGCAGAGTGGGGTGAGTTTGTGAGCGAATGAGTGGATGCGTTGTGTGCGTGAATGAGTACGGTAAGTCGTTGAGTTAGTGGTTGTGACTTGCAGCGTGTTGGTTGAACAGTGTGGACTAGATGAGATGAAACAAGCCGCGTCTCGTCGTAGACAGAGTCCTCAACATGGTCAGAGGAGCCAATAAGTGAAATTAACGGGAACACTCAAAATGGTAGAAGCGATCGAAAGAATAAAAGGGGGCGACTGCCAAACCAGGTGAACGAATGACTGAAGTGAATCGGCGAGCGCTGGATCATCAATCAAGTGAACCGTTGGACGTTTTGCGCTACGTGCTGGGAGCCGCTTCTTTAGGGTTGGAGTGAAACGTCGGACATGGTTCGGAACGACACGCGGTAAGCATAACCATAAAACGCGCCGGAGAGGTACACAGCAGCACAACCGCGAAAAACCCTACGCAGTCACGTTTCTCTGTCTTCACGTGCTCCAAACGAGCCAGTTAAATAATCACAATCTCCCACTAACAATACATTCCGGCTGTGTCAAATCCTTCGATTGCTACCGCTCGTTGCACACGTGTTGCGCGTACAGCCCTTTTGCCAATCCACTGCTGGATGACGGCCTCCCCACGCAGGGTGGGGAAGCCGTGGTCACTTGGAACTTCACGCCGGTCGGTGTGGATTGGCGACGGTGGGAAGCGGACGAGCGGCATCGTAGAAGTACGGTACGACAACGGGTTGTTGCTGTACTGCCCTGCTCACAGTCCCGAAGCAGCCTGGTACCAACCTGTTTGAGCAAGATGGTCGTCTATCCAGGTACTATTGAGGCTCAAGCTTGCTTGGCTTCTGAGATCTGATGAGATCGGGGTGTGGAGCAGGTGATTTTGTGGTTTTGCGCTGCGGTGGTGAGACGTTAACTACCCCGCCTGCTATACAGGTGGGTTTGAGCCCGACCCTGAAGCCATATATATTTGGAGTTTGCATGTTCTACCATGCGTATTTTGCTGTGAAATTTCCACGAGCCACTTTGTTGAGCTGTCGTTGGTGGCCAGGTAACTTCTGTGGGCCTTACCTAGTAAAATAAAAAAGTGTTAGTTTAGATTTGGTGAACTCTTAATTCACATCACCGGTCACATCCGTTCGTTATCGATGTCGTTATTATCATCGCCATCCGTTACCGCTGTCCGTGGTCATCACATTGCGCCGCATGCGACAGAAAATAAATCCCAACGAGCTCTCAAGACAGTTAAACAAAGAGACGATGGACGCGTGGCTCCTACATCAAGATACGCCGACTGTTTCGCCCCCTTTTCTGCAAGTGACGACGAATCTCTGTCGACGCTCTCTAAGACGATTAAATAAAGGAGGCCGGTGCAGTAACAATAACCGGGGAAAGTAACGATGCACCGATTCATCAGTTGATATTTTAATGCTTGGGGTAAGCGACGCTAAGCACGAGAATCGACGTTCGTTTTAATTGTAAAGCTGCGACGGTGAGCCAATTACGTTGATTCATCCACTACTTTTTTATGGTCGATCGCTGTAGCACCCCCCCCCCCCTTTAAAAATGGCGGCCGCCCCTACATCCTGCCGCCCGAAGGCGGGAACCCCCCCCCCCGACGATCCACGGCCAGCGTGATGCAGCCGAAGAAGATGCCACCAAGTTGCGTCCATCACCTCCTGTACAGCGGCACACGCTGCAACAAAGGCGAGACTCTTTTCCCCAACTATTTGCGTGCCACCCGGTTGGTCGAGTAATAGAACCGATAACCGGTAGAACAACCGGTTATTACTCAAGTAATCTAATTGATTAACAGCGATTCGTAAGCACAGGGTACACATACCAAACCACGTGCATGAGCACGTTTGGTCAAATCATAAATGTCATACGTTAAGGACTTACGTGTATTAAATAAAGAATTAATTATTGAATCGATTTGCAATCATAAACCATAACTGAATCGCAAAATGGCCAAATCATGACCTGACTGCACCTGTAAAAACCCCTCATTGCAAGAGCTAATTAATCTCATGAGGCTCTCACCTGGTTATAATAGTAATGTACATGGACAGTCCTTTTATTAATCCACTGCTGGATGAGGACCTCCAGATATCATACGTTATCTGAGTATACTTCACGCTAGTAAGTGTGGGGTGGTGAAGGCAGTGGGGCATAGAAGCCGCCACCTTTCAATGACGACGATGAAGATGATGTCACGAGCTGGCGGCCACATCTTGTGCACGCGCCACTGCCAAGTCTCTTAATTTTCTTTTTAATAAAAACTCTGAAAAGGAAGACGATGACGGCGACGATACTGCCACCGATTGCAACAACGCCACCCAACGATGACCTCGACGACGATTTCACCAGCCAGCGGTCACACCGGTGTACGGCAACGCAGTTCCCCCCCCCCCCCCCGAATTTAATCTCAGCCAATTAAAATCCCGGTCGCAATGACGCCGATGACCGTGACGACGATGCCGCCGCCGGACGTCGCCGACACCGACCGACGGTCTTGACGGTCTCGCCGAAGGCGACGACCGCGCCAGCGACCGGCGGCATCGGCCGGCGCTGTCACAGCTGCACGCGCTTCTGGAAGAGGTAGGCGTTGGTGACCTGGTTCATGGCCACCAGCGCGGCGAGCACCGGGCATGCGGCGCAGGCGAGCCACGCGGGGCCGGCGACGTGGGACGCAAACCACGCCGAGCACAGGCCGAGCAGCACGCTGGTGCAGGCGAGCACGTAGCCCAGCAGGCCGTAGGTGGCGTGGTACAGCTTCAACTTGGCCAGAGACACCTTCTTGAACAGCAGCTTCGGGTAGAGCAGAGCCGGGCCGCAGCAAGCCTGGCGCGTGGCACACGGTGCAGGGGAGCGTGGCGCACAGGGCACGCGAGTTTTCACGCGGAACTTACAAAGCCACGCGTTTGCCTTTGTTACCATGTGACAACTATAGGGACCGGGAGGAGTCTCATCCGGGAGAGCGACCCGACGCATATTAAGTAACCTCACCTGTAACTTACTGTTACGACGAATGATGTCCGAAACAAATTTCTCATTTCATCACGTACGTATTAATGTCGATGAATGTTTGTGCACCGTTTTCAATATCTTTTGTAACGTTGTTTTTTTGTTTGCTCAGATTTCTATTCGGTTGCTTTTGCTCCGATTGATGTTTTCATTATTGCTGTATTTTGTTTTCTATTATTTGTTGTTGTTATTTTGGTGATGCAGGTCAAACCAGAAAATATGAGCCTCTCTTAGTCTCTTGCGTTCTCACCTGGTTAAATCAAATAAACGTGGTCTTTTTTGTTGCACACTGCACACGCAAGTGAGCAATGAGCAAGTGGGCAGTCGACAAGGCAGGTGGAGGGATGGATTAGCGGTCAAGAGAGTGATAAAGAAGCGGGCGATCAGATGGGTATTTTAGTGGGCAAGTGAATTGCGAATGAATTGGTGAGCGGGTAGGTGAGTAAACGTGCAGGTCGGTGGGTGAGTGGGTCAACAGATGAATGGGCGAGAGGGTAAGTGGGCCATTGGTTGAGTAAGCTGGCAAGTTGTTGAATGAGTGGGCAAGCGGTGGAATTATTGAACGAGTGGGTGGGTGTGGGTGGATGGGCGAGTGATCAGGGTGGGTATAAGAAGGCGTGTTGGTGTGCAGATGAATGGGCAAGTGGCTGAATGAGTGAACGAGTTGGCACGAGAGCGACAGAATGAGTGAGTGTGCGAGGGTGGGGGGGGGGGTGTAGGTGCATCAGCTGGCAATAGGGAGTGCGAGCGAACGAGTGATCTATAGCGCGCGTGCGTGGCCTCCGACCTGCACGAACACGTAGATGCAGGTGATGAGGCCGAGGAGGCCGTGCCACGATGAAAAGTGCGGCCGCCCATTGCGCTGCTTCTCCCAGCAGATGGCGGCTAGGCCAGCGACGGCGCAGGTCACGGCCAGCGCCTGCAGCACCCAGTGCCAGCGTGCCCGCGCGGCACGCGGCCACGAGCGCAGCGGCGAGCAGTCCGGGGAGAACAGCAGCACCGCCTCCGTCATGAACAGGCAGAACTGCAGGGGGTGAGCGGGTGAGAGAGAGAGAGAACGGTGAGCGGGTGAGAGAGCGTGCGGGGGTGGGAGGGAGAAGGGGTGGGGGGGGGGGGGAATGGATGAGAGAGGGTGGGCGAGACCAGCGGCCGAGATGAGCGAGAAGGTGAGAGGGTGGGAAGGATGAGTGGGTGAGACAGAGCGAGGTCAGAATCAAAAAATTTATTTATACTGGAGGAATCCGATGAGCTATACAGCTCTTATTCACAGATGTCCAGTGAGTGGGAGAGAAGAAAATGGCGCGACTGTGACGAGGGGCAAAGGCGGTAAGTGGGTGAGAGGGTCAGAGCAGGTGATATTGGTGAAAACATGGGGTGAGAGAGTGATGGCACCGTGACGAGACTGAGTGGGTGACAGTGTGTGGGGTGAGAGCAAGTATCAAAATGCGGTGGGGAGTGTGGTTTAAAGTTGAGTTTCCCAAGCTTCAGTCCTCCCTACCCACCACGGTCCAACTATCCACGTTTACCGGTCTTCTCCATTCAAATACTACAAATCAAGTTGTTACATACCTCAGATGAGTACCCGGGTGTGATGTGTAATCATCGCCACTGACCACCCACCCCCTCGTATGCCATTCTGGCCTTAATAGGTGCTCGCTAACAGCACCTGCCCCAAAAGTATGTTAAGACTGCAAGTGTGAGTGTGTGCCATTTCAGCATTCACAAGTACTGTGTAGGCTACATGGGGGATTTATATGTCAGCGACGTATCTGTTTCATAGCGGCACTTCTACAATTACATTCCGACTGCTGCACACAGACAACAAGTCCATCTTAATTAGAATCACCACTCTGTAAGTCACGTGGGACACACAACATCTACATCTTAATTTGAATCAGAGTTCTCTACATATCATGTTTAACAGCCATTAGGCAACGGAACATGTATATGAGACTGACAATAATAGATCATTCTGAGTCACAAGTACTGGATTTTGGGAAATCGCGGGTTAGATTATCATGATGACGTAGCAGTAGAAGCGTCTTACCCCGAGCGACATGAGGAACGGGTGCCAGGAGAACACACCTAGAAGGGGGAGACATCATCACGTGAACTCCGATCATCCTTGCAGGAGCGGCTTTTGGCTAGCCATCAAACAAAGACGGTCACCGCATCGTGCGGCGCTTTCGGATGCGCTTTTGCGGCCGTCTGGAACGCTCTTCCTTTCGATATTAGGAAGCCGATGGGAGCTATACAACTTTTAAATCAAGATTGAAAACTCATTTATTTAAAACTGCTGTTTGTGTTTAGTTTGGCGTCTTTCCTCCGCACCTCCGATTAGCACGGTTGGCTACGTACGCTGAGAAAGAAGTTCAACATACATACAGTACATACAACTTCACTATTTATGCTGTAAGCGTATCCACCGTTACACTTAAGCGACAGGAAGAGCAACACAGGGACAAGGAAATGAACTCACACGGGGCACGTTACACAGACTGCTCAAAAACGTGAGTTCGGGCGGAACACGTGGCGCGTCTGCTGCTTATGAGATCACTAGGTCACTATGTCTGGCTATGCCATTGTGTCAAGTATCCCCATCTACTGCCGAGTATTTTGCGTCAGGGTCATAAGGTGACGGGCTTGTCACTGGGTAATTAAGACAGGTAAACTAATGACGAAATGTGCAGTGGACACCTACGGGCTATCTGCCCATGGATTGTGATGATGATAATGATGAAACTATGGACTATCTCAAACCATTGTAATATGCACTCCTTCGACGGAGGAAGAATAGTAAAACTACGAGAACTCTCCGCAGAGGCTAGCAGACCTCGACACTGGCATATAGATATTGAACGTATTGCCCAAAGAAAAAATAGAATTCGGAACAGGTTACCATTGCTGCCAAAGAGTCCACGGAATCACACTGGACAGGTCATTAGGTCAATCGGTCATCCCAGCACCAAAAACGGGGTCGGTTGGTTTATGTTAATTATTTGGTGGTGATGCTGCGGGGGTGGCGTTGGCAGTGGTGCATAAGCACAAAAAAACCCAAAACGTTCGTCAATAACAACACTGAGTGGCTTTAAACAATATGTAATCAGCGACGTTTCAGGTAATAACCCTTCTTCATAGTACACAAACAGAGAGGCCGGAGAGATAAAGTTATCAGTAAGGGTTGGAGGTTTACTTAAGGTCATTCGGCAAATTGGTTATGACCTGCCGCTTGCCTGGCCAGTGGGTAATTCTATCACATTCCCAATGCTTGCACGTCAGGTGACGACCGGTGGCGAGATATTAACTACCTCGCCTGGTATGAAGGAGGTCGTGGGTTCGATCCCGATACTGATGCCTGTATATTTGGAATTTGCGTCTCTCTCCCCGTGGTCGCGTGTATTTTTCTCCGGGTCCTCTGGTTTTTTCGCTCCAGATTTGTATTCAACATCACGCGTTTAGAGTATGTGGCTGTCAAATTTCAACGTGATGATAAGGCACTACTTCATTGAGCTGTCATGTGTGATAGCCAGGTCGGTTCTGAAAAAGAGCTATATAGCTCAGTGACCCTTACCTGGTAAAATTGAAAAAAATACACTAGACTCTTGATTATCCGCGTGTGGTTTTATCCGATTTGCGGATTAACCGCGCACTTGAGGTTTGACATAAATTAACAACTCATGGCTGTTCCTTTAAGCCCAAATGAATAATCTAAAAACACCTATACATTGCTATTCTTGGAAATCACATGCTTAACCAGAACAAATGGGTCTTGGTTAATCCGAAATCCACGTGATTGCCTCTACAGTACAGTAGTTGTCATATCTTTACAACAGAGTTCGAGTGATTTTGATTGGCGTGGCTCTGCTATCATCCACTTCGTAGGCAGAGTCTTCTGCGCGGGAGCAGGAAAGTGTTATCAATGAGCACGCGCATCGATGGGTAATTTATACCTATATTCACGGAGATCCGCGGAAAATGGTTATACTTTTGGATTATCCGCGAACTTGAATGATCCGCGGCCGTCCTCCGCGTCATTAGCGCGGATAATCAAGAGTATACTGTAGTTTGATGAGAAGTTATTTACGGTGAGTCTCATGGTGAACACACGAATCTAAAGTTAAGGCAGACTCTGGGGCTTTTGGTACAGACGCAAGTTGGCCTGGAATGGTGTCGTGAAGCATCACTTAATTGAAGCCGTGATACTGCCAGTTTTTTAGTCTGCTCACATCATTTTATTTTTGCGGACTTCTTGCCAGGCCCCCTTCCCAAAAGAGATTTTAACCTCAAGGGGTTTTTACCTATTTAAGTAAAGGTGAAATAAATAAAAGAATCTCTCCTTGTGCATCAGTCTGGGCCGATCAATCGCGCTGAGGGTTACTTTATACGCTCGTCTCCGTTTGATGTCAGACACGAAACTTAATTCCCACCTTACTACCATGTAAGATTTTTACTTAAAACTTCCGTCACTGGCAGGAATTCATATCCTTTGGTTATTTCGGTCACGTAATGTAGATAGAAAAAATATATAATAAAAGAACCAAAGAATATTTTTCTCATTTTATTGCTATTATTTTATTGTTATTATTCTTTTTTTTTCTATCTACGTGACTTTACCGAAAGACCCAAATAATATAACTACCACGTGTTTTTTTTTGTATGAACGAGGTCATTCGGGTCACTCACTGCTGCCCGGCATGCTGAGCGCCGCCAGGGTGACGGTGAGCGCCACGCAGCCGACGTGAGCGGTCAGGCACGCCGCCCTCCTCGGCCACACGTAAAGCGCCATCTCCCCTCCTCCACCTCCTCCGCCGGCTCCTCCAGCCTCCATGGCCTTCACGAACGTCTCCCTGCTACAGCCACAACAACAACAACAAATTTCCCCTCCCCCCACCACCGCTTCGTGTAGCCTTGACAAGACGTCTTTTGTAACGCAGCGAGTAGCCAGGCACCTGTGAAGGCCGGTACGGCACACCAACTATTTTCTATTTTTGTTTGACCAGTTAAGGGCCCGTATGGCTCTTGTTCAGAAGCGACCTGGCCACAAATGATAGCTCAACTAAGTGGCTTATCGCGTGTACATTTACAGCGGACAAACACCACATCCCGCCGCCGTTTATCTCCAGAGTCAGCGGCGTTTTAAACACACCGCAGCGGGTATTTATTTTGAGGCTGAGTCGACCCACGACCGGTTCAGATAATCGTCACTGGTTGTTGGGGGGGGGGAGGCCCGTGATCGGGAATCGAACTGGGTTCGAGAGAGAGCAAAAAAAACACAAAGCCTGCTACGACCTACGCCTCAACGCGTCCGTCAACGCCACGCAGCCACAGAGGGGCACGGGGCAAGCGCGCGGGGCCACGTTGGGGCCACGTTTGACGGCGCGCGCCCCACCTCCACGCAGTGGGCACGTGGATTCCCAGACGCGGACACTTCCGGTGAGGCGAGGCGGGGCGGGGCCCAGCGAGCGGATGTTGCCTCCTTCCCCTCCCCTCCCCCCTCATGAATATGTAATGAGGACTAATTAACATATTCGCCAGAAGTGTCCCCGTCTCGGATCCACGTGCCCACTGCGTGGAGGTCTGGCGCGCGCGCCGTGACTGCAGGGTTTCATATTCTTGGTTCTTTCGGTAAAGTCACGTAGAAGGGAAATAATAAAAAAACAATTATCAATAATCTTATTGTTTCCCTTCAACGTGACTTTACCGAAAGAGCTAAGAATATGAATTACTGCAGTCACGAAAGCTTTAAATCAAAATTATCAATAATTTTTATTTCACGTAGAAGGGAAATAATGATAACAAAATTTTAAATACATTTTTTTATTAATAAAACATTTTTTTTACCGAAAGAACCAAGAATATGAAACCCTGCAGTCACGAAAGCTTTAAATCGAAGAATATACAACATATCCATACTCTTTGGTCCTATTCGGTAAAGTCACGTAGGTAAAAAATAAAACAACAAAAATCACGACGTTTCGGCCACAACACAAGTGGCCTTCATCAGGTGAAGGGACCGTGCTGTCACGAAGACAGCGTTGGAATGAAGAAAGGCAAGCCCAAGTCGCGTCCTTTAAGCTGTGTGGGAGGGAACAAAACGCTTTGACAAAGGAATTAGCATAAAATGTTCATAGAGCACCTGACACGGGGGGGGGGAGGGGAATTTACAAATGTATAAATGATGGTGTGCGAGGAAATGACCGTACAGCAACGTAACGGACCGGCACGGGGAGGGGGAGGGGAGTTTACAAACGTTGTTTTGAAGGGAAATAAGCTGCTATGAAAGTTTGGTATATCACTACTTGGATAAATATACTGTACCATTGAAAATTAGTTTAATGTTTGGTATGATTTAGAACATCTTTCCAATGATTGATTAATTTTAAACCATCTTCTCGGTTGAAATTGTGTCTGTGTTTGTAAATCTGAATTGCCTCGTGGACAAATCTCTGATGATAACCTATGGGTTTGCAAAGGACCTTGGTATCGGAGAACACTATATCGTGATCACCCACAGCGTTGTAACAGTGGTCAGCTACGGCAGAAGAATTCGTTCTGCCGTGTTTCAAATCTGATTTGTGCTCGCGAATTCGGTCAGAGACATGTCGCTTCGTCTCCCCGATATAGCAATCACCACAAGTGCAGCTCAATTTGTAAACCCCGGGGTACTGTAGGTCAGGAATTACATCCTTCACGGATGGGATCAGGCCACGGATTTTGTGTACTGCATTGACCGGACCAGGATCTTGTGTTTGTTTAGAATTTTGGAGATCTTTTTAGTAACGCCTGCTATATATGGTAGTGTGATGGTTTTGACCGGAGTATCAAGTGGTTGTTTCTGTATGGAGGGAGAAACAGCTTGGCGGATGGTACGGTCAGAGTATCCGTTTCTATTGAGGAACAGGTGTACATGTTTTAATTCACTGGTCAGGTGGTGTTGGTCCGAAATGCAATGAGCCCTATGGTATAAAGTTTTGATGAGAGAATTATTTTGGGCTGGGTGGTGGTGGGAATCAGGTTTCAAGTTGGAATCTGTGTGGGTGGGTTTCCTGTAGACAGAATGCCCCAATGAGCCATCAGGTCTCCTCTCAAACAGAACATCTAAGAATGGTAGCTTGCCATCTTTCTCCACTCCCATGGTGAATTTGATGGCGGGATGTCTGGAATTGATGTGGTGTAGGAAAAGGTTCAGAGCTGGGAGGCCATGTGGCCAAATGACGAAAGTGTCATCCACATATCTCTTCCACAGGGAAGATCTGAGGGTGGAAGTCTGGATGGCGTCTGATTCAAATTTCTCCATGAAAACATTGGCTATAAGGGAGAACCCATGGGGATACCCTAATTTTGTTTGTAGAAGGTGCCATTCCAAGTAAAGTAGATATTAGTGAGGCAGTGTCTAACCAGCGCAGGTGTATCGGGGTCTAGTCCATGTTGTACCAAATTTTCAATTATTTCAATGGTATCAGGTAACGGGACCTTGGTGAACAGGGAGACCACATCGAAGCTGACAAGGATAAAACAATTTTCTTGCTCTGGTTTTCAAACCTGATGATGATTGCTTGTGTTGCAGTCGAAACGTCGTGATAATTGTATTGTTTTATATTTGTATTATTTTATTGTTTCCCTTCTGCGTGACTTTACCGAAAGAACCAAGAATATGAATTCCTGCAGTCACGAAAGCTTTAAATCAAAATTTAAGTAGAATGTGTTGTCTATGTTTATCTAAAGATGCGCATTTTGATGTGACGTCACATTTCTCACCCCCCCCCCCTCGTCACACATCGTCACAAATGTTTGACCCCCCTCCCCCGCCTAGGTGCGTGACGTCATTTATGGACGACCCCTAATACACTCAAACATGATAACAAATGTATGTTAATAGCTTCAAGTCTCCCACTTGTTCGCCATCATTGTCAACGCATGCCCCCTGGAATCTTCTTCAGGTGATCTCCAGAGCCCGGATGAAGCACATTTATTGTGGTATTATTGCAAATTCTCACAAAGTGTTAACATTTTTTGTTGAAGCACCCTGTATAGGATTTTGTTTTGGGTTAGATCGCGTAAATATATAAATGTTGTGTCGTTAAACCCGCCACCACCCGACACAACCAATTCGTCAGGTTGTGTCATGTAAACAGAACGTGCTAATTCGTGACTAGTACAGCAACACCGGTAGTGTTGGAGAGCCAAGCCACAAACATTTACAATCTGAGTACGACGTTTCGCCAGTAATTACAACCAGCTTCATCAGGCGACAGACAGATTTGTGGAGAAGTTCCTCCTTGTTTGGTTCCTTAAATAGAGGGGTAGATGTGATGACAACATTTGTGTGCTCTTATTACGCGGGGGTGCAGAGCTTTGTGACGTCATATTTGAGGGGGGGGGCGTCTGACTTTGTGACGCCGTGTGACGAGAGGGGGTCAAAAATCGTCAAAAATCGCGTGACGTCGTTATATGGACGGCCGTTCTTTTTTTGTTTCATTCTATTAAAAACGATAGTCCCTTGTAAGTGTTAAAAAAAAAATTAAGCACCCCGCGTTATGAATTTACTTCCTTTAATAAAGGACCCCCTACGTAAGATGGCCGCCACCGCCCCCCCCTCACCCCTCACAGCGATGACGTCACCCCGCCCTCGCGACGCCCTTGGCCTCGACTCAACGCGCAACCCTCGCGCCGTTTCGAATCCGTAACGCGGATAAGCACGCAGCTGGACGTTCCCCGGCTTCCTATTCGTCACCAGCCGCTCAGCCCAGCAGCCAATCCGACGAGCGTTAGGGGGCGGGAATTCGCTTGTGCGGTCTAACAAATCGAATGCCCTCCCCCGCCCAGCCATCGCCCCCCCCTCACCACCACCATCGTCAGTCCCTCCACAGGCATAGCAACTCGCCGGGGTTCCCACAACGTTTGCAAGGGGGGGTTCCTCTCGCGCGTGGTTCCTTTGCACGGTCCCTGTTGGGGAGGTGAGGGGATCTGAGGGCCCTCGGCTCGCCAGATGGCCAACTCGCTCGTGCGCGCCGCTCTGAGGAGCTCGGCGCTCAGAGACGTCGCGACGGGGCCCGCCAAGGTGAGTCGATTTACCATCGCCGCGGACAGATTCATCATCACCATCATCATCACCACCAGCTCGATGTAACGGTAATCTTGCGATAACCTTTTCCTCACGGTTTCGACTTTTTCAATTGTAATAATACACAAACAATTTTTTTTTTAAAACTCCGAATACGTAGCGCGTGCTGTTTTTTTTGCTGACCGCAAGGCGTTGTTTTTTTGGGGGGGTGGGCCTGAATTAAACGAATTAAAACAACCGCGATGAAAATTAAAACTAGTGTAGGGGCCAAAAGGAATGACATCCAACAGATGAGATGGAGCGATGGATTCGTGTCGTGTGGCATCTGCTGGGTGGAACAGGTCCCTGCAGGGTGGGCTGGTAGGAACATTGGAATTTTGCGCAATTTTATTTTTACACCCCAACAGCACGAGATTTCACTTCGTTAAAGTATTGAAAGGGGACGGACGGACACATTAATCTATTGCAGGCTGGTACACTCAGTTTACAACTTCGTTCCTACCAGTATTGTGATAGAGTTCTAGCAGCAGCAGGAGGTGGCGGAGGCGGGTTGGGGAGGCCTTCATCCAGCAGTGGATTGAACGTGACTCATGTTGATTCTAACGTAGACTGTGACCTTTGGCACGAGCAATTGGCATTGCCCCTTGTGACTTTAGGTTGTTTGGAAGAATCGCATTGGGAATGTCGCGTACGTACGTAAGCTGAACTACGTGAATTTCGATTTAAAGCCTTCGTGACTGCAAGGATTCATCTTCTTTGGTTCGTTCGGTAAATTCACCACGTAGAATGAGAATAAAATAATAAATTAATGAAATAAAATAACACAATAAAATTCTCACGACTTTTCGGCCACAACACAAGTGGCCACAACACAAGTGGCCGAAACGTCGTGAGAATTTTATTGTGTTATTTTATTATTTTATTCTCATTCTACGTGACTGAACTACGTAGCCTACATAGCAACATCAAGATCCCCCGTATAGCATTAACAGACTGTTGGGGCAAGTGCTGTTAGGGGCCGTCCATAAATGACGTCACACACCTGGGGTTGGGGGGGTGTCAGACATTTGTGACGATGTGTGACAAACAAAGGGGGGGGGTTGAGAAATGTGACGTCACGTCAAAATTCGCAACTTTAAATATAGACAACACGTTCTACTTAATTAAATCGACTTTTTAATAAATGTTTTCTCCTACAACATCAGAGTGCAGCGCCACATTAAATACGCACCACAATGACAATAGTTTAAAGCGATTTGAAGCATGTTTTTTTTTGGGGGGGGGGGGCAGAGCTTTGTGACGTCATATTTGAGGGGGGGGGTCTGACTTTTAGTGACGCAGTGTGTGGGGGGGGGGGTCAAAATTCGTCCAAAATCGCGTGACGTCATTTATGGACGGCCCCTTAGCGATCACCTATGAAGGCCGGAATAGCACACGAGGGGGTGGGTGACCACGCACCACGCCCGGCCGCCTTTGTCTCCCCCAAGTGGCGATGTTTTTACGCACCGCACCAGGTACAGTGCTCATTTCAGGCGACCAGGACCGGTTCAGATAATCGTCACTGATGTTGGCCGTGAGCCGGAATCGAACTCGGGTCGCAGCGACATAGCCCCACCCCCGCAATCATCATCATCGATGATGATTGTTCACCGTTCAGTGGCGTCACTAGGGGGGTGCGGACTTCACCGGGTGACACCATCAGAGGGGGTGACACCAAAATGACCGTCCATACAATGTCTGTTGCAGTGTTTAAGCAGAATTTTTGTTATAAAAAAAAATGCCCCCGCAGTTAGTTATAACATACATTTTTTTCGTAAGCCCAGCTTGCATGTACTGTATAAATATATCTACAAACTCTGTGTGCTAATTTACGTTTTTGAACCTTCTAATGCGCTCCGGTCAGAGCAGTCATTGTTGCCCAACTGCAGTGACGCTTCGAGTCACGTGGTTTCGTCTGCACGCGCCGCAAGCACGCGCTGTTGTGTTCGTCGCTGCTCGTGGTTTTTTTATAGTCGCTGATTTTGTCAAGTTTTCTGGTGTTTTAGCTACAATATTGTGGTAATTAGTATTTGTGAACCTATAGCAATAACGTTTTTGAGAATTAAGTAGTAACTAAAGGAAATATTGTAATTCCAAGCTGTGATTTAAATTGTGCTAGTTGTTTATGTCACTACTTATTGCCATTACTTTCAGTGATATACGGGAATTACGATTTACGAGTAACATTAGTACAAAAAACATTACGAAGGATTCTATATGGTCTGGTGCGGGCGGGAGGTCAATGGGGGGGGGGGGGGGGTGACACCATGAGTTACCGCAACTGGGTGACACCATCCCCAGTGACGCCACTATCACCGTTGTTTCGGGTGAACCCTGTAATTAGCTCGGCGAGCACCCCCTTCGTTCGTGCACCGCAGTGGCAGCAAAAACAATGTTCGAATCGGAATTCAGGGTGAAAGCGCGAGGGAGACCATCGCTTCGGTGCATCATTTCGAGCAAGAAATCGCTGTCCACACACGATCGTCGTTGGTTGATGTTGTTTATTATTGTTGCAGTTGCTGGTGGCTGGAGCCTCATCGCAGAGATGCAGCGTCAGCTCTGTTGTGAGTCTTGGCACTCATGACCTCGGCCGATCTCCGTGACCCATTGACCTTGGCACACATGACCTTAGCACTGTTGTGAGCCTTGGCACTCATGACCTCGGCCGATCTCCGTGACCCATTGACCCTGGCACACATGACCTTGGCACACATGACCTTAGCACTGTTGTGAGTCTTGGCACTCATGACCTCAGCCGATCTCCGTGACTTAATTGACCTGTGACCCTACCAGTTCCGTGACCTCTCCACGGCCTCTGCCCGTTTTCCCCAGAATGTTGACCACCTAATTATTTGACCACATTTCTGGCGATCCCAGATTCGTGACCCCTGACTATGCAGAATTTAAGACCGGCGCCCCGAATTGCATGACCAGGTGGCTCTGCAACAGGGCAAGCGGCTCACAATCGGAAGGTTTTGAGTTTAAACCCTGATTGGGGGCGGGTGAGGGTGACTCGGGCCATCATCCCCTGCAGGGTCGGTAAAATCTCCACAAACTACAGCTCCGTCCCACAATTTGTGTGTTGCCTAATAACCGCTCCAGGCAGCCATGCAGAAAATATCTCATTTATGCGGGGTAATTAATGGGAGAGATGGACCGGATAACACTAAAAGACGTATCATACAAAACGTGTCCATTGGCACGTAGTCCGACGTTTCGCGGCACTCTCTGGGCACATCCATGTGGCACAGCCTGAAAACACGCAACCGCGAAAGCCTACGCAGGCAGTGTCCAGCGCCGACGACGATTGTCGTCTACCCACGTCGAGTTGGGGGGGGGGGGGCGACGACCTGGAACGCGTCGCCCGTGTTCTCATCGTTTCTCACAGTAGTTGGTTAACTCGACGACGTGTTTGCGGTCACGCGAGTGACTGACCCCTCGACGAGTTTAGGAGCAGCGCATGCAATGCCGAGCGCGCGTTTAACCCACAAGCCGGATCGCCCGCCCGCCCGCCCGCGGATAACCGAGAGCTAACTGGCAATCTCGCAGGCCACAAACGCACCGTTAATTCGCTGCTGCGTTCGCTAACACGATGGAACGCAATTGCTTTGTTTTCATTGGCTAACGTATAGGGCAGCCATGGCGCTGCTATGACCTCGCGGCTTTTGGTTAGGTAATAATTATAATGTCCCTTTATTTACCAAAGAAAGTCTTACCGAATCTCGTGACTAGTCTTCAAGAGGGTCCTCCCTACATTGGAATGTTCGGCCAAATCCATTCACGAGCGTTTGGTTTCGTGTGGGATGAAGCCAGAGAACATGGAGTAAACCCTACCAAACTGTATGGGAGGGTGACATTTAAAGCTTCACAGATGGATATAAGAATCCACTGCTGTTTACATTATGAGACCTCCTTTGCCAGAAACAAGATATAGGAATAGGTTTTACCCTTTTAACTGGTCCAACACCAATGGAGACTAGGCTCTAAGAAAAGCTGTCTCGGGTGTGGACCAATCAAATTCAAGGACAGTGCATATTATTATCAGAGTTGTCTTTTTTCTTTGCATTTTGACTGCTTGTGTTGTGGTTATTGCAAACATGATGCCTTGAATAAAGGTGTCAGTTTTTGTGCCAGTTAAAAGGGTAAAACCTATTCCTAAATCCACTGCTGTGTTGCCACCTCGCAGCATAAACCCACAACACCTGGTATTCCCAGGCGAGTGGCATGGTTGACATGGGCCCTGGCGCAAGACCTGAAATGAGGGGTGCCCCTGTCCAATTTCCTATCCAGCCTGCAAATCTGAGCCCCTCCAGCGCAGTTATGCCACCTGCAGACTCGACAGGCAGTCTCCCATCCAAGTATGAACCAGGTTAAAACCTGCTTAGCTGCGGAGATCTAGCGAGGTCATGCACGTTCGGGGTTATGCGGTCACAGACCCCGAGCCAAATTAAATTTTTCCATAATATTGGTCGCGATAGCCGACGTGTTAAAAAATTTCCATGCAGGCAAAACACTCGGTCTAAATCTCACCAACGTGTGTGACGCTTTCACCGACTGACTTAATTTGTGAATTAAACCTCAAATTGATAAGTAATTAATGGATTAACAATGATTGTGTGATCAGGGCTTAATTTCGGCTGGTTGTGTCTGGGTCAGTGACCCAGAAAAATATTCCCTTTGATTCTGTATGGGCTGTGACTACTTAGTCACGTGCCACTTAATCCAGCCTACCAGTGACCCGGAAAATATCCAGCATGAAAATTAAGCCCTGCGTGCAACTAATGCTGTTGTGATTTCCACAATAACCATTTTGACCCTCTCCCCCCTCCTGTTTTCAATGCAGTCGCGATCAAAGATGGTGAGTGAGTGAGTGAGCATGTGAGCGAGCGAGCACACCGCCACTAACCCATACACCCGCGCAAGCCAATTCACGGTCAATGTTTCGGGCCTCTGCGTTGGCAGCTGTGGATTTTTGTGGGCGCGCGAAATCAAATTTATTGTGCGCCTGCTCTGGTGACTGCGCCGAGACCGTCAACCGGCCGCGCTATCTAACGATTTGAAGAATGCGGCTTCACGTTCAGCGTTCGGGGGTCTGCGGTGCGTGACCACGGTTGTGTTGAGGGCGCGACCGGACCCACAATAAAAATGGGAACAATGGGCTCGTTGAGCATTTGAGACGTTACATTGCAGCTCTACAAGGAGGCTGGGTGGCTCGCGTGGCCAGACGCAGTGAGCCGACACCGCTGACATCCTCAGTTTGAATTGAGTTTGAGCCGGCCGTCCGAGATTAAACCGGGTTCTCAGGTACAGCTGGTTGTGGTCTTAGCCCGGTCACCGATGACTTGCGCAATGCATTTCCCCGCCAAAGGTATTTTGATTTGAAGAGTCTCCACAGCACAAACGAATGTTTTAGCGGCGTTGATCTTCATTGGTGGCCCGGCGCCAGTTTATGGGCAGACAAGTGTATGTTGAACGTCTTTCGCACCGTACGTAGCCAACCGTGCTAATTTGAGGTGGGGGGGAAAGACAACAAAGTAAACATCAAAATAAGTTTTAAAGAAATGAGTTTTTCAATCTAGATTTAAAAGTGCATAGCTCCAGCGGCTTCCTCATATCGGAAAAGCATTCCAGACGGCCGCAGAAGTGCATCCGAATGTACGCGATGCAGTGACCGTCTTTGTTCGATGGCTAGCTAAAACCCGCTGCGAGGACGACCGCCAGAGAAATGTGGAGTTTCCACCACAGACTCGGTCGCCAATGGAAATTTGTGCCACTGCGTGTCCCTTTGAGCAGGAGGACGGTTAACCTCGTTCATGCCGCCAACGCAGACTCCCGTGGTTGATAATAATATTAATAACAAGTGACATTTGTAATGTGCCATCTTGTCAAAGACCAACTCCAAGCTGCTTCGCGACAAGCCTGTACAGCACATGGCATCATAAAGGCCGATCTTGCAACACTGAGCCATTTGTCACGCATTTTGTTCTCACCAGCCTGTAATTCGTAGACCACACTTCAGTGGTTTTACGTGCAGCATTCAACCATTTATCGCACTTCCTTTTCTCAAAAAACGATCTCACTTGTTTATAAATCCCTTACAACGGCGCAATGTGTGGCCTGATTTAAAACCAGACAACAAACGGTGCGACCCAGTCATGCCGCATGTTACAATGCGTCGATACGCCGTATGTTTAATTTCTTTCGCACCGTACGTAGCCAACCGTGCTTATCGTTTGGCTAGGTTTAAAAGTGCGTAGCTCCGGTGGCTTCCTAATATTGTCTTCTCATCAGCTGTTCAACATTTTACTAAAAAAAAAACTCCTTACACAAGAGCCATGTGGGAGAAGTCTGCCTTAAAACCAGACTGAGAAGGGCGTGACCGAATCGCTCCCGTATGTGACCATGTGTCACGAGGCTCTCCTGCCCTTGACCTTGGATGCCCTCCTTTGATCCGAGCCGGCTCTGGGTCGCAAAGACCGGCGCTGGGGGGACGTTGCGTGTGTGCCAGCCGGGGCCGGTGTCGCCAAAACAACTAAAAACAAAAGTGCGTGTCTTCGCGGGACACAGGGCTACAGCTTGTACTCCGAGTTTCCCCGAACCGCCACTTTATCCCCATGCTTGTAGTCGGCTCAAGGTGACATCCGTGGCTGGCCGACTAAAGGTTATATCGTGACGTGGCTGATCTCTGGGGTCACTTTAATAATGGCGGCCGCCCCCTGAAGGCGGGAGATCCACGGTAAGCCACGGCCAGCGCGACACAGCTGATGATGCCAATGACGGCAAACTCCGGCCATCACCTCCCGCCCAGCGGTACACACGGGTGCCGGGACAGTTTTCTTTCAACAGTTTCTGCGTTGTTCGATTAGTCGAGGAATCGAACCGAAAATCGGATCTCAGCTGCGGTTACATCCCGACCAGTCGCCCTCCCTTGACCTCCTAACCCATTGACCTGTTGAACTGTGCAGCCCCCGCCAGCGCGGTACGGGGGGCGGCACACGGTCGCCATGATCGCCGGTGACGGCATCGGCCCCGAGCTCATGCTGCACGTCAAGGAGGTGTTCCGGTGAGTGTGGGAAGTACAGAAATGATTGTTACGGCAACGTGGACGACCCCCCCGAGCGGGACCTCGTAACCCGAGGTTGGAACCGCTCCCACATGAACTCCGTCGGCCTGTAACATAATGCGAGCGGGATTTGGCCACAACACCGTCACACCACTGCCAGCCACGATCCAATAAGAATAAGACTTTACTCCAAACGTGTTGCTCTTAGATACTTGCCCTGGATAAAACCGGCAGAGTGGATTAAACGGTTGCCCAAAATGTGGAAACTGCGCTGCCGGGACCCGTCTCGGTGTCCCTGCCTTGCCGGACTGGGCACATCCTGCCTGGCAGAGTCGCTAAGCGAGCCCCATGGTCTCGTCGTTGGTTGGGGGTGGAGTCCTATCGTCACGGCCGAGGACAGAACACATGATCATTCGTGATCACGATGCGTTACTCGATCCATGCAAGTGCACGATTGTTCCCGACTTAATGAGAGACGTGTGGGCGACGGTGTTGTCAGTTGTGGTGCTGGTGGTGGTAATGATATTGATGGTGGTTGTTGTTTTATTGGCTTTTATTCCGTCAATCGTGTTCTCTTGACTGGTGATGATGGGAACGGTGTCAGTGATGTGAGTAGCGATGGTGCCGTTTTCGGTGCTCAAGTCGGTTTTACTGTTTATGGCGACGACGATGACATGGCAGGTACGCCGGCGTGCCGGTCGACTTTGAGGAGGTGATCGTCAACTCGTCCTGCGTGGAGGAGAACGACATCCGTAACGCCATCACCGCCATCCGCCGCAACGGGGTCGCCCTCAAAGGTGCCGCCACCATCGCCGCCGACATCGCCAGAACTACCACCACCATCACCAGTACCACCATCGCCACCTTCGATACCATTCCTATTAATATGGCTATCACAGCCACCACCGCATCCGCCCCACTCATCATTGCCAATACCACAACCATGGCCACTGCCAAGTCTAGCACCACAGCCATCGACATCTTCACCGCCATTCGGCGCAACACCACCGGCATCACCACAGCTATGGCCGTGGATATCCTCTCACCGTCCCCTTCCCCTTCCTCCGCAGGAAACATCGAGACGAACCATAACCTGCCGTCGATCTACAAGTCACGCAACCTGCTCATTCGGTGAGCGCGACGGGGCAATCCACTGCTGGATGTTGACCTCGCCAAGCCGTCGCCATCTCTTGCGTCGATAGCGATGATGGTGGTGGTGTTGTTGGTGTTGATATTGATGGTTGCATCATTGGTGGCTTTGTTGAAAGTGGTTTAGGTGTTTGATTTTGACGATGACGGTGATGATGTTGATGTTAATGTTGGCGATATTGACATCGGTGTTGGTGATTGATGATGATGATGTTGTTGATGTCGCCGTCGGTGATGGTTGATGATCGTCGGCGGCGTTGGGTGCTGTTAGCACGAGCCTGGACCTCTATGCGAACGTGATCCTGTGCAAGAGCGTGCCCGGGGTGAACACGCGGCACCGCGACATCGACATCGTCATCATCCGCGAGAACACCGAGGGGGAGTACAGCAACCTGGAGCACGAGGTCAGCTCGCTCGCTCGCTCGCTCGTGCAGAGACAAAGGCCCCCCCCCACGTGCATCGCGCTGCATCACGAACCCCGGCGACTCGAGTTCGATTCCCGCTCGCGGCCACCGACACCAGGTCGCGGGCTTTCCTGCTCTCGACTCGGCCTCAAATGAGTACCTGGAGCGGTGTGTGAACACTGCCACGAGGGAGACAAAGGTGGCCGGGCGTTTTGTGTGCCCTACCGGCCTTCAGAGGTGTTCACTAATAGCACTTGACCTCAGCAGTCCGTTTCGCCTATTCGGAGGATATTTGTATTTTTTTTTAACCCTCGCCCGACCTAACCCAAATGAGTACCTGGTGCGATGCGTAAACATCGCCACGCGGAAGACATGTCCGAGTAGCACTGTTAGTTCAGTACGGTGCAAAAGAAGCTCAACATACGTATATATACATACGTATATATACATACATACAAAGGCGGCCGGGCGTGGTGCTGGCTTCCCATCCCCTCGTGTGCTGTGCCGGCCTTGATTGGTGCTCGCCAACAGCACTTGCCCCGCTAGTTTGTGAAGGCTACATGGGGGGGGACCTTTGTCTTTGCGTGCGTGCATCTTGTGTAGGGAGTGCCGGGTGTGGTGGAATGCCTCAAGATCATCACGCGCAAGACGTCTTTGCGCATCGCAGACTACGCCTTCAAGTACGCGCAGACGCACGGCCGCAAGAAGGTGACCGCTGTGCACAAGGCCAACATCATGTGAGTGAGAGCCCAGCCACAACACCTCGTCACCACCGTTGGCCATGATCCAGCCACTGTTGGATGAGGGCCTCCTCAAGCCACTGCCATCCTTCATGGCGCCGGCAATGGCACCATTGCGGGTTTCCTCCCACATTCGTGAAATTTGTTTGCAAACATCTTGATATGTAGAGGACGCAGAGCTCGGGCAACTATTGCTGCCGGCTCAATGCCTCCCCCGCTCGCCTGCGGTTCCTCGCGCCTCCCGATTCGCCCTCCGTTGTGTTGTTGACAAGTTGTGTTGTTGTTGTTGTGTGCGCGTGAGTGGTGAGCGGTAGTGTCGCGGTTAGCGCGCTGTGCTGAGACGGCACGTGACAAGTTGTGTTGTTGTTGTTGTTGTGTGCGTGCGTGCGGTGAGCGGTAGTGTCGCGGTTAGCACGCTGTGCTGCGAACCCGACGACCCGAGTTTGATTCCCGCTCACGGCCAACACCAGCGACGTATTTTGGAACCGGTCCTGGGCCTCCCCTAGGTCGACTCTGACTCAAACGAGTACCGGGTGTGGGTGTACACACCGCCACTGGGGAGACAAAGGCGGCCGGGCGTGGTGCTGGCCACTCTCACCCCCCCCTCATGTGCTGTGCCGGCCTTCATAGGTGCTAACAGCGCTTTACCCCAAAAGTCTTCAGGCTATACGGGGGATCTTTGCCTTGGGTGTGTTTAGGAAGCTGGGCGATGGGCTCTTCCTGCAGTGCTGTCGTGATGTCGCCAAAAACTACCCGGACATCGAGTTTGAGAGCATGATCGTGGACAACACGACCATGCAGGTGAGAGGGCGCAGGTCAACCCGGGTTCACGGTCCTAGAGGTCACGACCACAGAGATCTCATGACGCAGGGGGATCATTGGTTGCCGCACCGAAGTGCTGTTGGGCAGTTGAACCGGCGTCGCAATTTCATTAGAAACAAATCTTATTTTAGGGTCTGGTTGTTACGGTCTCACTTGTAATGTTTCTCATCTCATCGATAACCACATGGGACAGGGGGGGGGGGTGCTGTTGTGTGTGGGTTCCCTTCCTTCCCTTTGCCTCCTGCTGTCCAGCTGGTGTTGCAAGCCGGGCCAGTTTGATGCGGTGTTGAAGCATAAATCATGAACACCCCGAGTCAAGAGCCGCATGGCTCACAGGGTTATAACTAATAAATGAAACTGAAAACCATCATCATCATGTGGACAGCAGGGTAGAGGCACAGTGGTAACTTGTATCTCACAGCAACAAGGACCTGGGTTCGACTCCTGCCTCGGGCACCTGTCTATTTGGCATGGGTTTCTTCCCCCCGCTGTGGGGGGGGGGGGGGGGGGGGGGGGGAACAAGCAGTCTGTGGGACTCGGGTGGGGCTTTCCTTCACAAGTAATTCACCATTATCACGGTCTCGTCGAGAAAGCCACGGGGTGGTGGGCTGCTGTTCTATGTGGGGTGACTCTCTCTCCTTTCCCCCCTGCAGCTGGTGTCCAGGCCGAACCAGTTCGACGTGATGGTGATGCCCAACCTGTATGGCAACATCGTGAGCAACGTGTGCGCTGGCCTTGTGGGCGGGCCGGGCCTCGTCGCTGGCGCCAACTACGGTGAAGACTACGCCGTCTTCGAAACGGTGAGCGCCAGGGTGGCTGGGTGAAGATGCTCCCCCCCTCCCCCACCACTGCGAGTAAGCGCATGAAAATGTATCCGGCGGGGAGCAGCGGCGCAGTGGTTAGCGCGCCGCGATAGGAACCAGGCGAGCCGAGCGCGATTCCCGCTCATGGACACCAACACTGGTGACGATCATCTGATCCGGTCCTGGACCTCCCCTAGGTTGACTCCGCCTCAAATGAGTTACCTGGTGCGGTGTGTGGTAAAATTTCAGCACTGGGGAGACGAAGGCGGCCGGGCGTGGTGCTGGCCACCCCCACGCCATCTCTCATCGATGCTGCTCGCTAACAGTAATTGCCCATCCTGTCTGTTAAGGCTTCAGGGGAGGAGGGCGGGGAACCTTTGTTGTGTGTGTGAATGTGCGCGCGTGTTCACAGGCGACGCGCAACACGGGGAAGAGCATTGCGAGTCGCAACGTCGCCAACCCCACGGCCATGCTGATGGCCAGCTGCCTCATGCTGGAACACCTCAAGTGAGCACCCATCATCATCAAACTCATCATCATCACCAACATAATTGTCACTGTGACCATCATCTTCATTAAGTAGCGCCAAAGAAGTTCAACATACAGACACTCACCACTGTCATCACTCTTATCACATCCATTCACCACAAACATCGCCGTCGTCCCATACATTTCCCATTCATCACCGAATATCTGTCTTCCTTCCTGCGTCCGTCCCAGGTTGGGCAAATATGCCGAGCTGATCCGGAACGCGGTGCTCAACACCGTGAGCGAGTACAAGGTGCGTGGCGGCGCTGGCAGAGGGGAGTTGAACGTCACTCTCGGCGGCAGGGCGGGTGCAGCGTCTCTAGTTTGCCGATGAGGTCACTTGAAGGGATCTCAGAAGTAGTTATGTGCGATGTCTCCTTTCGCGGGCCGCTCGCTCACACAGGGGTGAGCGTGCCGAATGTGGGCACCACCCCCGTCTCTCTTCGTGGCGAGAGCAGAATGTTTATATTTTACAAAGCACGAAAACGTCAGTAAACGCTTTCTTTCGTCCAAAGCCAAAAGTTATATTTTTCCTGCTCTTAATGAGCCTCGAGGTATTGGTGCTTATGGCTTGTTTACTGCCATGCAGAGCCAGTGGTGGAAATTTCACATTCCTACAGTGGGGGTGAGTCTCTGCATCAGACAACCATTGTTGGAAGGATGATGGGCCTTCGTAAACCCAAACAGGATGTGAACTCACAACCTTCCGCCTGGGGGGCTTCTCACTCGATCGCTGAGCCGCACGGCCGTGATAAAAAATGTTTATAAATAAAAACCCTGGGAGCGATAGGGAAAAAATTATAAGAATTAAAAAAACGTGGTCGAGTCTGCGTGGATTTGGCAACCCGAGTGACACTGCCGCTTTCCGCCGTCACAGATTCACACTCCGGACATCGGCGGGCAGGCGACCACGGTGGACATGGTGCAGTCGGTGATCAAGCAGGTGCAGCGCAACGACCTGCACCGCACGATGTAGTGCGGGAGAGGGAGTGAACGAGCGATGTAGGAGCAAACACGCACACGGTTCAGCAGCCAGATTGTGTGCCAGATCGCACACAACACAAAGATCCTCTCCCCACCCACTCCCTCACAGTATAAACGTAACGGATTGTTGGGGCAAATGCTGTTAGCGATCACCAATGAAAGCCAACTGCACAGTCGACCTCGGGGCAAGGCCCACGACCAGTTCATATATTCCTGGCAGACGCGGGTTGGGAGTGTAGCCTGCTAACCACTGCGACACAAAGGCATACACTTGCACACCTGGGGTGCACATGCGTACATCCACTACAGCATACTCGCACAAGATTCACACAGCACACACACAAGCAGATTTCCACTGTCAATGCATTTGTCTAAATCAGTCTGGCACACCCCTCCCCTAACCCCACACAGCTTCATGTCTACATCACCCCAACTGTCTCTCCTCCATCTTCCCCCACTCCAATGCAGCTGGCTGTCGTATTCAAGTACTGTTTTGCATGAAACGTGGCTATAAACTTTGACTGCGAGTCGTTAACCTTGGCAGGCTTTGGGGTTTTGAACATCGCAACGCTTTTAAGGCTTGCACCGTTCTGCACATGTAACCCGTTATCCCGATTATGTAACTTAAAAAAAATAAAAATCACTGCTCTGGACAATGGAAACGTGCTGCGTGGATACAAACTGAGCAATCATTGCAAGGACGTTATTAACCAAGTAAAGTCTTAACCGACTGTGACGTTTCCATCCTGCCTATGTCAGCTGTTATTTCCGACTGAGTACATCACCAGGCTAAATATCTGCGAGGCAGCCCAGGCACAGGAGGATCCCCGCCACCTCCGCTGGCTGGGATTGTCTCGTATTGACATTCTAATCTCTCACATTCATGTGCAAGTTCCTTCTCTAGCTCCGCCCACTTACCCTTGGGTTGAGCCCACCAAAATCCGATATAAACTCTTGTTGCAGCAGCAGCTCCTATGTCAGCAGTTCTCCTGCTGTGTCTGTTACACCTGATGACGATCGCTTGTGTTGCGATCGAAACGTCGTGATTTATTTTATTTTCTACCTACGTGACTTTACCGAAAGAACCAAAGAGTTGGATTCCTGCAGTCACGAAAGCTTCAAATCAACACTGACGTCAGTCTGTTGGTCTCTACTTCAGTAGGAGGGTGTCTAGATGAGTCTAAACCTGAGTGCATCTCAAGACATATTTACTTTAGAATCATCCCAAGTTGTAAAGCGCTGCACAGTTTTCACTCAGAGAGATGACAACTCTGAGGTGCGAGAAGGAACCACAGACAAGCGGGAAGGCGGTAGGCCGTCACCACCAACCACTGCCCAAGTTGTGCGGTCCTCTATATATCAGTGGTTTCAGCCAATGAACGAGTGTTGGTAGAGTAAGAGTCAAGTCTGTCGTGGGCAGAGGAGAGGCGAAAGGAGCCTCTCGCCTAAGCTTGCTGGGAGGCCTACAACCGGTGGATAGCTGCCGACAGGTCCAGACAGCAGGGGGCAGCAGAGGAGGAGGAGCGACCACCCCACGGCGGGCAACATCAGTACGATATTTATTCACGAACACGACGGTGTTTGTACACGCGGGTTATCTTACACGCGCCGACACGCGGAGGAGGGGGGGGGGAGCTCCGTCTGCGGCACAGTTTTATCCTTTTTGGTAACTTATAAAATAAGAAGAGTAACAGCTTAAACTGCACGAGTTTTAAATAAAACGTGAAAGGGAAATCTAATGACTCTTTGCATAATAATATAATCATAATAATATGCACAAAAGTAGTGATGAGAACGGTATGGGGTTAGGAATATAATAGTAACAATAGTAATACACTCGAAGTTGCTCTGCTGCACCTGCCATCCACTTTTCTGTCCGGATAAAACCACCAACACTACCACGAGCAGCACCACCACTTAGCACCACCAGCACCACCACCAGCAGCGGCGGCACCACTGGCACCGCAGCAGCACCACCACTTAGCACCACCAGCAGCAGCGGCGGCGGCATCACTGCCATCACCAAAGCACCACCACCATCACCACCAGTCGACCACCAGGGGGTGGGGGTGTGCGCCTGCGTAACGTGAGGCTCAGCCGACTGCGATGGAGAGACGCTCCCAACCCGCACCCGTCAAACGCAATCCGCAAAAACCACCGCTGCTGCTGCTGCTGCCAGACGGGACATTTATATCGAAACGAGATGTGTCCCAGGAAACCGCGACAGGTTACACGCACGCAGAACATTCCGTTACATTGCATTGCCGTGAGAGGTGGCGACGGCTCACGGGAGGCCTTTATCCAGCAGTGGATAGACCGCTGCTGCTGCTGCTACAATAACACCGACTGAATTGAACTACCCGAGTCTCCAGACACTGGGGTCACATTCACAATCCACCTCCTCGACCAAAGAATCCTGCTTCGTGAACACTGGAGCCACAGTGGACCATCCAGGATAGCCCTCTCGTGTGGATCAAGGGCTGCGGTGATGCGCACAGGAATCTCACCAGCTCTGCGCGTCACACCAGCCGTGCGTATCACAATCAGCCTTGCGCGTCACACCAGCCGTAGGAGTCACACCAGCTGTGTCACACCAGCTCTCCGTGTGACACCAGCTGTGTCACACACGGCTATGTGCGAGTCACGGTAACATCGGCTGTCTTACTACGTGTAACACTATACGTTACATCAGCCGTCTGGGCGCATGTCACACCAGCCGTGTCCGACACCAGCTGTCCGTGTGTGTGTGTATATATAAAACACCATGTGCGGCACAGCTGTACGAGATGCCAGCTGTGTCCATAGGCGACACAACGGGGATGGGGGGGGGGGGTGCAGAGTGGGGGCTACCTGGCAGACCAGTGGGGCGGGAGGAACAGCAGATTTCACAGCCTTCAGGTCGATGGAGAGCAAGCAGCCCCCAGTCGTACGAGCAACACGCTAAACAACACCCTCGTGTACATCCATAGCACACTCCTCGTGTATTATAGACCACCAACAGCGCGACAACCGCGACCGCCCGCACAGCGTCGCCGTCCCGCTCCTCCCAAGTCCCTTTGCGCGCCGTGTGGAGCCGCCTCCTACCCAACCCCGCCCCCCCCCCCCGCCTCCTTCGCCGGCCACAGCACGGGGCCGGTCACGCGCGGTCGCCGTGCCGTGGCAGCTGCTGTCCCCCCGACGCCGCGCGTTTGGGGGCCGTGCCGAAAGCGGCGCGCAGCGCGACGTCCGCCGGCGAGGAGGCCCACGCCACCAACTGAACCTCGGGCTCCCCGGGAGAAGCGCCCGGCGCTTCGTCGGCGAACCGTCGGGCGCCGGTACCCACCACCGGGCGTGCGGGAGTGGAGAGCTGCACCGAGGTTTTGCCGGCTTCACGTCGGCCGTGTTGCCTGGCTCCTCCACAAAGTGGCGATTCCATTTAGCGCACACCCCCACTGCTCCACCCATCCCACCGAGCGTGTCCACTACTGGTGGTACCACCCCACATGGCCAGTGTCCCACACAACACAGCTGGTGACGTCAGCTCGGGTTGCCACCTCCGAGGTACCAAAACAACATATCATGGGCAGAAGAATAACTCGCATTGCCAGAAGAGGGGGAGAAGAGCGGACTCCATGTGAATATATGGCCTCGGGTAATTGGTGTATCGTCATTATTGTTGCGCAGCGACAAAACAGCGCGACTGTTAATGCCCCGGGAAGACTTTTGACAGATTTCCCAGGAGAGGCAGCTGCCACTCAAGCGACAAAGTACCGTCCTGGGAAAACCGTGACAGGTGGCAACCCCAGTTGTCGCGGCGTGCACTCCTCCGCTTAGGGGTTGGGGGCGTTCTAACACTGCAAGGGAACGGCGACACCGATTCAAACACAGCCGTACGCCGCCACTCCTCTGCGCCGGCAATGCAACAACAAAAAACAACACACAATCCAGCTCGGCACGCGGTGGCCTCCCAACACCGGAGTGCAGCCTCGCGCCTCACCAACTGGCAACCGGGCGCCGGTGAGGAAAGCGGCATTAGACCGGTGCACGGGCACGAGAGGGCTGCAACAGGCCCACGAGGCGACGCTAATGCTGCTAAACGGTATAAAAGTGAACAACACTACAGCGTGGGTTTTGTTGTTATTGTTGCGGTTTTGCTGCACAGCTCTCCGGATGCACTTACGGGTCAAACCACGCGTTGTTGTTGTCGTCGTCGTCGTCCTCGCTCGGCATGCCGCGGCGCCTCCCGTGGCGCCTCCCGTTTCCCTCCAGGTACTGGGAGCTACTTCAGGAACCGAACAGGAGAGAGAGGCTCCAAAGAGCAGCACGTGAAGAGAAAGGTCGTCGGTTCGTCGTGCTGAACAACGCGCGGCTCGACCCGGAAACGCACCGCAGAGAGAGCTGACGGAAGTGAACGTCGTTAGCTTGTAAAGCTTTCTGGAGGGAGTTTTTAACAGCCGCGATCTGCTTTCCGCGTACGTTTTAACCGTCTCCTTGAACAACGTTTCGTTATCGGCGATGCCGTCGCGAAATCACCAATGCGAAGAACACTTCCCCCGATCGGCGACGACCGCTCCCCGTTCCCGCCGCTGAGCGAGGTTAAGACGAGGCAGCCAAGTAAAAACAAACTAACACGACAATAAATGACAAGAATAACGATGACAATAACGATGGTGACAAGGGCACGGCGATTCTACGGGGCGTGCGAAACCCGGCGGACGAAAGCGCGGCTAAACCAAAACCCTCGCCGACGAGACGCTACACTCGGCACGCCAAACCCTGCGGCGGCGGCGTCTTCTCCCGGCGGCCGTTCCTCCACCCACCACCACCCCCCCCCCCTGCACGCAGGTTGACGCACGGTGGCATCTGCCGCTCCGTTGGGGAGTTCGGCAAGCCCCCGGGCGCAGCCTGGGAGACACCGGCACTCGCCGCGACCGAAGCGAGAGTCCGATGGTAGGCGGCGGCGCTGCCGTCGGTTCGTGTTGGGTGGATCTTGTCGCCTGCCTCCGTGTTGTCGCCGTGGCATCCCGGATGATGACAACGGAGAGCAAACGAAAGATGTTTTTCCGACACCTAAAAGTGCTCCTTTTTTCTCTCTCCCCCACACGAATGTCGGCAGCCAAGCAAGGCGTGGCGAGGGGGGAGAGGCTTCCCGTGGAACTCCCCCCCCCACCCCCACCACCCTTCCCCCAGACGGCGGCAAAGCGACAGTGACGACGAACGGGTTTAAATTAAAACGAGGAAGCGGCTCCCACTTTTACGACGACGTCACTCAGCGCTCGCGACCGGCTCGCCACTATTCATAACGACCAAACAATCGTGACAATTGTAACCAAATCACAGCAGCCAGCGGTGTCTGTCGCTGGTTTTAAAGCCACGGCCGGCAAGCGAGGGGGCCGAGCACCTCTCCTCCCCACTTCCACTTCCACCTTCCCCCCCCCTCCTCCGGCCATGTTCTTTTTTAGTAGAGGTTTTGACAGAGCCAGCGGGTGTGGGTCTCCACTATCGGTAGAAGCAGCAGCGAAGCAGTTTGCTTCAATGTTGGCGCTAGACTTGCATGATTTACTCTTTCGTCGTTGCGCCCGTTGCTGTTGTGTCCGTCGAGTGTTCATAACGCGAGTGAAATAAAAGCTGAGTAAGCGTGGCGGTTGATTCTACAGTGGATAGGTCCATGGCAGCTGCTCCGTCTCGCTCGCTCGCGCGCACACGCACACCAAGACAATGGTCCCTCGTACGGAGTTGACGCACGCTGCCGAGGCAAGCGCTGTTAGCGAGCGCCTATGAGGACCGGAACGGCGCACAATGGGGTGGGGGGTGTAGCCAGCACCACGCCTGGCCGCCTTTATACGTCTCCCCCAGTCCTGATAATAACACAATGCACCAGGTACTCATTTAAGGCTGAGCTGACCAAGGGAAATTGAATGCGGGTTGCAAGGCTCATAGCCCAGTGCACTAACCACTACACACTATGGTTCCCCATCCCCACTTCCACACACACAGAGTCATTATTTGGATATCGTTTGGGCGTCTGGTAGACCAGGTAGGTTAAAAGTGACGGAGTAGCCACAGCCAGCCAGAGCGACAGCTATCCTAGACGTGGGTGCGGAGACATTTCCGGGTCGCTGAGCCAGTAGAAAACGGCTGAAATTAAGCTTTGGGCAGCAGAGGGAACGGGCACACCACTCGACATCTATGAAAAAGAGCTTCATAGCTCATCGGATTTCTCCAGAATAGAGATTCTGATTCACGCCGGACGTTAACACTGAAGCACCGAGCGACCCCTTCCACCGCACCCATCCCCGCGAGCGTTGCGTTCTGAAGTAATCGGAACTATGAGGAGGAAGAAGGGAGGTCACAGTTCTGCATCGGTATCACTGACGTCGTTTGAATGCGGCGAAGCCGTGCGCCGATCGACGGACCGTCCCCGCTGTCTCTCTTGCGGCATCCCCCGCGCGACGCCGATCGACGCCATCGGACCCCCCCCGTGCAGCAGCTGCTGGCTGCTGGGGTGCTTTTTTTGCATTGTGAACGATGGGAGACTTATGGGAATGTTTCTCTGGAGAGTTCTCCTGATGTTGGAATATGGCTGAAATGATTTCTGTTTCAGGCAAACACTGCTAAATAAAAGTTTTCTATTTTTCTTTTAATATTACGTTCAGTTCACTCCTCCTCCTACTCCACACCCCCCCCCCCCCCCCCCCCCCGTGCACCGAGGCCGGCACGCCGCACGGCTCACACGGCGCGGCTAGCACCAACGCCTCTTACAAAGACAAAACAGGACCAAGACGGCGGCGGCGGCGAACCTAAAAAACAAAATTCACGACGTCGGTCCCAAAACGCTTACCCCGGCCCCACCCCCCCACGTGCCGCCCCCCCCCCCCCGCCCCCGTGGACCCCCACCTCTTCATCTCTCCACGCCGTTGCACACCCCCAGTGGCCGCTGCAGTCGGCTGGGCCCGCCGTTGTTACAAACCTCCCCCTCCTCCTCCTGTTCGCGAGCCGGACGCTCGACAACACCGCCGGCGCCCCCCATTGCCGCCGCCGCCGTCGCCTCGTCACCGTCACCGGTCTCCGTGTCCTGCCGGGGCCTCTTCAGGAGGGTGCTGGCGGCGTTGTCGTCCTCGGCAGCGTTGCAGCCGCTGCTGTTTTTGTCGCTGTTGCTGCTGCTGATGTTGCCGGCGGCTAAGGGGCCGTGCGTGGCGGCGGCGGCACGCGCGCCCGTGCCGCGCTCGGCCTTGCCGCGCCGCTTGCGCCGGTGGTCGCCGCCGCTGCCACCTGCTCCCTGCGCCGTCGCCGTGCCCGCCGCGCCATCCTCGCCGCGCTGGAGGGAGGGAACCGGCGAAATGCCGGAATCGCACCGTCAGTCTCGATTGCTCCGTCTGTCTCGCTCGTGCGCATGACGCCTCTCCCATTCACTGCATTGGCCCAACGGGAGACCGTTGCGGAGGGCACAGCGAAAGGTGCCGCAGATGTTCACTCACGCCGCGGCTGGCGGAAGGGCCTCCCATTTAGAGGCCGCTCTAGACAGCCCCTCCAGAGCGTATTTGGCCTACTCTTCCAACGCTGGCCAGAAGCAATGGAAGACGTCGGAGTACCCACACTATCTGTACACGCGACCTGTCGATTGACTAACTACATCGTACCAGTTTCACATGCAGGCTATCGCGACCAATATTATCCATAACAGAGATTTAATAGAGTTTTTAATTTATACATTTACACGATCTAACCCAAAAATATATCAATATATTTACGCGATCTAACCTAATAACCTTTATTACGTCGTAGCAACTTATACACTGCCGGGAGATCAAACCGGTGCCGTCTGGATCGCTCACATTTGCACCTCGGTAGCATCCCGCGATGTGGGTTTAAGTCAAGGGTCAGGGTTCACTCTAGAGGTTACCTATAGGGGTCAGGGCAGACCCTATGGCGCAGAGTTCAGCCACAGGGCTTTATGTACGTATGTTGAACTTATTTTGGACCGTACATAGGTGCGGGGATGAGCGTTTATTGTGGGGATCGTGGTTTACTCTCCATGTCCCCTCTAGGGGTTAACTTTACCCTTAGGGGTCAGGGTTTCATCATCAGAGGATCACATTTTATTTTAGACGTCCCCTCTAGCTGTCATGAGTTTGGGGGTCATGGTTTGTCCTCAGGGTCAAGGATGCCCTGGGGGAAGGGGATTAAGGGGTTGATGCTAGAGGACAAGATTCAACGTAGGAATCACGTTTCCATGAGATGTCACCTTTAGGGTTTGGGGCCAGGGTTTGGGGCCAGGGTTTGGGACCAGGGTTCCGGGTCAGGGTTCGGGGTCAGGGTTTGGGGCCAGGGTTTGGGGCCAGGGTTTGGGGATCGGGATTGGGGCCAGGGGTTGGGGCCAGGGGTTGGGACCAGGGTTTGGGGTCAGGGGTTGGGGCCGGGGTTTGGGGCTGGGGTCAGGAGTCGGGTCAGGGGTCGGGTTCGGGGCCAGGATTTGGGGCCAGGGGTCGGGGTCAGGGGTCGGGGTCAGGGTTTGGGGCCAGGGTTTGGGGTCAGGGTTTGGGGCCAGGGTTTGGGGCCAGGGTTTGGGGTCAGGGTTTGGGGTCAGGATCCAGGGTCAAAGATCGGGTTCGGGGTCAGGCTTCGGTAACCAGGGTATGCCCCCGGGGTCAGGGTCCGGTGCAGTCGGCGGTGCTCACGGGTCCGAAGGTGATGTCTCCGGGCAGCTGCTCCGGCTGCGCGGCCTGCAGCACCCTCCAGATGAGGCACGTCTCTTCCAGGCTCATCTCCAGCAGCCCGCCCTCCACCAGCAGCTCCGTTAGTTCCCGTGTTGTCTCTGCCGACAGTCGTCCCGACCCTGCCCCCGCCGGCGGTGGTGCCGGCGCCGGGGCAGCCGCGGGGTCGTTGTCTGCCTGGTCGGCCGTCGTCATCAGTGGCCACACCTCGTCCTTTGCCAGCGCTTGGCGAGCTTGCTCCTGATTGGTCGGAGAGTCAATCACACGGGTGGGGGGGGGGGAGAAGGAAGGGTGAGGACGGCAAAGCTACATTCGTCAATTCATTCGCTCAGGAATCATCCATTAAGATTTTCCAGCTGACCGCGTAAATTAATTTTGTGATGCCGGGCCACGTGATGTCAGACGTGTGTGTGTGTTAGGTGTTTATTGCCGTGCTCACTGCACAAGGAAACTTCACAACCGCTTCCGATCCACACATACTGACGATGGCGTTCTATAAAGAGCATTGGTCAAAATGGTATTTAATTACATCTTTTCATTACTTAATTAATTTCGCGGGCAGTCAACGGTGACCGAGCTGAGACCGTCACCTCCCGGTTTAACTGAGGGCAACGACCAAACCCCAGATTCGAACCCAGGGGTCACCTCGACGGCTCCGAGCCGGCGTTTTCCGTCACGCCCATTACGAACCCAAAATGGCCGTTACAAACCGCCCCCCCCCCCCGCCGCCGCCCAGCTCGCCCGGTGCCGCGCACCTGCCACCCGACGGCGCGCTCCGTGAGGTGCTGCAGCGCCTCCCCCTCGGCGAGCCTCGCCGGCAGCTTCTGCAGCGCCAGCAGCAGCGGCAGGATGGCCACGAGGCGCGGGCGGCGCGAGCGCTGGCAGCCGGGGCACAGGAACGGAGGCCCCGGCACGCGCAGCAGTCGGTAGCCCGGCCCGTGGCGCCGGCCCGTGCCGGATCGCGGCACCGGCACGCACGTGCCGCAGTGGAACCAGTCCCCGCACAGCTCGCAGTGCAGCATGAGGCCGCGCGCCGGGCGCCGGCACAGGCAGAACTCCGCCGCGCCGGTGCCGGCGGCACCGTCGGCGGCGTCGCCGTTGTTAACGGCGACGCCCGGGTCGCCCGGTTGTTGCGGTCTCGGCGTGGGACCGGCGAGGGCCTTGGGGGAGTGACGGTGCGGGCTCGAGCCGCTGGTGGGGAGCGGCAGCGCCAGTTTGCTGGCGTTTTTGGCGCGCAGCCGGCGTATGGCTTCCACCTCCCTCCTCTCGGCATCCTTCAGGGACTGGACCTGAGTGGGGGACGGAGAGCGTTGTATTCCGGTGAGGCTCGCTTAATAGCGGCGGTGGTGGTGGCAGTGCTGTTGTTGTGTAGGTGTGCGATTTGAAAGTTGACCTGGAAAAACTCGATAACCCATGAAAATAAATATATTAAGCCAACCAATGATCGTGACAAAGCAAGAATTCAGCCAAATAAAGTGCCGGAACTAATTTAACGTGATGGTTTCAGACAAAACCGCTGTTTATCTTACAGACACACAGTCTGCCTGTGCTGGGCTGTCTGACACTAGTTCAAATCTTGATTTACGAGAAAATGAAAAATACTTTAAAACCGCATCGTAGCACTCTGGTGACGCCACTGTATTGGGACTTTCTACTTTGCCGTGTCTCCTGTCAGACCTATTTAGTCTTTTCACAATATTCTGCAGAGGCCACCGCTTCTGGTGTTGGCATTGCCAAATCTTGAGGAGTGCTGCAGGGCATCTCAGGAGATCCACGTGGTTTGCTTCTCCTGACAAGCACATTGATCGGTTGTGCAGAAGTGCCACTGCGTTGGTGAAAGAACGTCGCGATGATGCCACTGGACGGCCATAATGACTCGCACTAAAATAACCTAAAAGACTATTTTCCCATAAAGGAAGCTTCGCGCGTGTCCCGGACAATCCTTGCAAACGTGAAGTTTCATCTCAACGCATTTTCCAGGCGAAAAATGTTATATCAATAAACATTAAAAAAAAATTTCATCTGAATTAAAATTATGGCGGACCACACCCCTCAAACAGAATGGCGCCTTCCGCCAGCCCTCCTAACCCCCAGCGAGTGATGGCGTGCAGTCGGACCGTACCACCGCGTCGGGGTCGCGTGCCTCCTTGATTTGCCGCTGGAGGTCGGCGATGGTGACCTCGGCGGGCGGCGCTGCCTTCGGGTCGCCGGCCACTACTCTCGGGCGCCGCTTGCCGTACTCGCCGATGTCGGTGCGCGGGCTCAGCACCTGGTTTGTGCGAGAGTCGCGGACTCATGGGAGGGAAAATACTGGAGGCGGTTTTTGTATGTGAATGTCACACGAGATTGGGTACGGGGGGGGGATCTCACTTCATCACAACCTCACTCGTGAGCGAATGCCACTTCTGTCAGCCAGTTAAACACGAGACACTGCGCCCAACTTGGACTCTGCTCAACAGAGGCGGCGGGGTCGCTCACCCACTGGACACGCCCCGCTCACCTTCCCACACACGCTCAACGTCTCACCCACTCACCCTCCTAATCTTTCACCGGCACACCACCCCCTCACCCATCCACTCACTCTCTCTCGGCCTCACGCTCACTCACTCAAGTCAACCATCTACCATCTAAACCGTTCGCTCACCCATCAACCCTTTTGCTTATCATCCTCCTGCCCGCTCAACCGTGCACGCACCGTCCCATCCTCTTAATCACGTACCCGCTCGCCCTCCTCTCACCCTGCCAACCGCCAACTCACTTGCTCTATCACCCACCCACCCTCTCACCAACTTACTCAGTCGCCCTCCCACCGACTCGCCCACTCGCTCACGCGCTCCCACTCCCCTCACCAGCGCGTCCCGGACCCTCGCGGCGCTCACCTCCAGCACGGAGTACGACGAGTGGCGTCGCAGGAACGTGCGCTCGGTGCGCTCGCGCCAGGCGCGTGCCAGCTGCACCTGCGCCTGCAGCTGGGGAAGCGCGTCCAGCCTCACCGCCACGTCGGCGCCGCACCGCACCGTGCTCTCCAGCACCTCCAGGTACGGGAAGTGGTCCGCGTTCTGCCAAGCGCGCCGCACAACCGCACGGCGCAGGGTCACACCAACACGCCGCTCACGCCACACGACCGCGCCGCACCCGCCACATTCACCACACTCCGTGTTTTTTTTTGGGTTGGATCGCGTAAACGTAATCGGTATTCGCTAATGGCACCCGCCCCGGCAGCCCGTTAGGGGCTCCGCAGGGAAGGGGGGTGGGGGGGCGATGTTTGTGTTTTTGCGAGTGCCGTGCATGCCGCCACCTGCATGGCCTCCAGGAGGTGGCTCCACTGGCGCGCAGCGGCGAGCGCCGCGGTGAGGGCGCGCACCTTGGGCAGCACCGCGGGCACCTGCTCCGCGTCGGCCACGATCGCCTCCAGCGTCGCCGCGCTGTGACGCTGCCTGCGCCGCGTAGGGAGGGACGCACGTCGAGACGCGCCGAGGGAAGGAGAGGGGAGAGAGAGAATGGTGGCACCGGGAGAAACCGGATGAGGTTGCGGGCACCGCCAAGTGTGGAGACGCTTAACCCGCGCTTCAATCGGGCTCGCTCGATCGTTCGCCCGCCAGCTCGTCCAATTAACCGCTCGCTCGCTCACTCACTCACACCATCACACGCTAGATAATCAGCCAGGTCACTGGTTTCGCTCGCTCGCTCTCTCTTAAAATGTTCCCTCGCCAATTAATTCACTCTCATCCTTTTTCCCACCTGTTCACCCTTTCGCTTGCCGATTAATTAATTTTCTGTTTCATCTGCTCACTCACCTCTCTCGCTGTCTAACAAACCCTCTTCACATGCTGAATCACTCTCCCACCTGTTCACCGACTCAATTAGTCAACTGCTCACTCACTCACTGGAATACATGCGTGCTCACTCGCTCACCCTCTCGCTTAACCACTCGCGCTATAAATAGCTTGTACACGCTCTCAACCACCCTCTCTCCACCCGCCCTCCGCCTGCTCGCTCACCCAGACTGCAGGCAGAGCGCCGCCTTCTCCTCCCAGCGCTGGGCGATGCTCTGCAGCTCCTGCAGCTCTGACAGCGCCTTCTGCACCGACGGGTTAGCTGGCAGCGCCAGCCCGGCCCTCAGCAGGCCCCGCACGGCGTCTAGCGGCACGCGCCCCCCGCCTTGCGACAGGTTCTCACGCACCTGCGGGGAGAGCGACACCATCCACCACCGAGAGGGGGTTCTCTCCATGACCTTAGTAGTCGCACCAGGAGCTGTCCAAGTTGCTGAACGCTGTGTCTAGTACTATGAGGTGTCCATGGTGGATCTGTCCATGGTGTCCATGGTGCTAAGTGCTGTGTAGAGTACTAGTAGTTGTCCATGGTGCTGAATGCTGTGTCAAGTTCCAGGAGCTCTCCATTCTGTGTCTAGTACCAGGGGCTGTACTGTGTCTAGTACCTGGATTTGTTCATGGTGCTGAATGCTGTGTCTAGTAGGAGACGTCCATGGTGCTGAATGCTGTCTAGTAACAGGAGCTGTCCATGGTTCTCAATTGTGTGTATAGTAGCAGGAGCTGTCCATGGTGCTGAATACTGTGTTGAGTACCTGGAGCTGTCCATGGTCCTGAATAATGTGTCTAGTACCTGGAGCCGTCCATGGTGCTGAATGCTGTCTAGTAACAGGAGCTGTCCATGGTGCTGAATTCTGCGTCTAGTACCTGGAGCTGTCCATGGTTCTGAATCTTGTCGCGTGAACGGAGCTGTTCATGGTGCAGAAGGCTTTTGGCTGATTGGTATATGTTTGTGTATGACCCTATGACCCAGACAACAAGGAGAGGCCCTCATCCAGCAGAGGATTGACAACAGAGGCTTTGTGTATGTGGAGTGGAAGCCGTGCCTGGTGCAGCCAGCGTGACCGGGGCAGGGCGTCGCGCAGCGTGGCCGCGTGCGGCAGGACGATGGTGGGGCCCAGCCGCTCGATGTCACGCAGCAGGGCCTCCACGGTGCTCGCACCGGGCGCCGCCTCCTCCGCCACCTCGGTGGCGCGCACCTCCAGACGCTCTGCTCGCTCCAGCAGTTCCTGCACGGCGCAAACACACGATAAAGGCATAGATCTCCCGTACAGCCCTAACGGACTGTTGGGGCAAGTGCTGTTCGCGAGAACCTATGAAGGGCCGGCACGGCACACGAGGCGGTGGGTGGCCAGCACCACGCCCGGCCGCATTTGTCTCCCCAGTGGCGATGTATTAAACCAGGGACTCATTTGAGGCTCCCTAGGGGAGGCCCAGGACCGGTACAGATAACCGTCACTGGTGTTGTCGTTGGGCTCGTAGTGCTATGCGCTAACCGCTGCACCACCGATCCAACAAGCAAACAAAGATGCACACACACAAGCATGCAAGGATATGCCAGCGCACACCTGCACCAGACAAAACACCCCCCGTGTGTTGCCGTTACCTCCACCTGCGCGGCTTCGGGTACGGCGCAGGGCAGACTCTGCATCTGCTCCACCAGCTCCCGCAGCTCCACCAGGGTGAGTCGCTCCACCGGCTCCTCACCGCTCCTGCCACACGGCACAACCTCCTCCTCGTCAGCATCACCGTTGCTATCATCATCATCATCATGGGCAGGGTCATCGGCACGGTTACGATCATGAGCAGCGTCATCGTCGCCATAACTATCACTCATTATTATGCATGATGGTTATGGTGACAATCGTCACCATCATCACCATCACCACCCCTCACCGTCGTTGCCATCATCTCGTTCTTTACAAAGGCTTAACATTCCACTGACAGTTCGATTGTAGCTCTGCCAAAATTATTCCCGTTAACCACATGCACAGCTCCCAGTTCCAGATCTAGCTCCCAGTCAGTTCTCGCTCTTGCCGACGATGACAGCGGTAACACCGGGGGTCACCGTCACCGACACTACCACGCACCCGTCGGCGGGCCGGGCGTGGAGCAGCGAGCGAACCAGCGCGAGGCAGCGCTCCGTCTCCGTGACGACGACGTGCAGCTGCAGCGAGAGATCGTTCTCCGGGAACTTCCTCTCCTCCGCCTCGGCAGCCAGCTCCTGTAGGTGTGGCAGCTCTGCAACCACCACGCGGAAGCACGGAGGAGACGATGTGCCCGAAAGAGGCGCGGGCAGGGGTCAGGTCAGAACCACCTGGTAAGTAACCGGTGCGAAACGTGGCGAAGCGGGGCAAAAATCCGCGTGCGACGTGCGCCCGAACCTTTCTTGAGGGCGCCCTCGGCTTCCAGGGCACGGCGCGTGCGCGTGGCCCAGCTGTCGAACGACTCGGCGCACACCTTGAGTCGCTGCAGCATGGCCGGCAGCTCGTCCAGCGTGTAGCGGTAGCTGAGGAGGAGCAGCGATGGTAGCCAGGGTAGACAGAGAGAGGGGAGTAACGCGAGAGATGAGGTCGTCAGGTAAGAGAGGCGTGGGGGGGGGGGTTCAGAAGCTATCGTGTAGAGACACGGACGAGCAACCCTCTTATATTTTTTCGAGTCGTTTTTAGAACTGATCGTCCAAAAGAATAGTAAAATCGATGATTGAATCCAGTTCTTTTGAATAATTATATCTTTAGAACAACTTTTTTGTCTTTGTTGTCCTTACCACGCACCGCAGATCAGCACGGTTGGCTACGTACATTTAATATTCGTCCACACTCTGCTGTACCGCTTCTCCTCCTCCACGCCCACCCATGGGTAAGAAGGAAGTTTCGCAACCCTCGCTGCCGCCGTAGCGCCAGGTCACAAGGCAGCCAGGTGCAGCAGCGTAGCCGCCGCCACCACCGCCGCTACCGCCTTCCCGACCACTCCCCGGTAGGTGCTCACCGCAGGTAGTGCTTGGCGGGCGGGCACTTGCAGAGCTGGGCGGCGTGGTGCAGGCACACGAGGCGGTTGTGGCAGCGCGAGCACGCCAGCGCCGACAGGAAGCACGTCGTTTTGCACGTGTCGCACTGCCGCTCGTCGTCGGGAAGCAGCTCAAACGCCTCACGCTCTGCCTCCGTTGTGCCCTGTGCGCGTGCATGCGCGTATGTGCGCGCGTGCGCACGCGATGGTAGCGGGGCCGCGGGGAGTGAAGGGCGGGGAGGAGAGGGTGGGAGGGAGCATGGGTGGGAAGGAACGTATGCGGGAGGGAGATGATAGGTGACAAGAAATGACAGCGAATCAATAACGTAATATCACATCTATAATGCAGCCCCCACCTCACATTGTACAAGATGTCAGGTCGTGTTTTCAGTCGCGCCTCGCTCCCTGTTGAAACATCTCCTGAACCGGCTTCTCCCGCACGATCCTGACCTGGCTGTTAAATCGTTGCCCTGATAGCCCCGCACACTTGGCAGATACACCATTCTCCTACATCGCGACCCCAAGCTCCTTTTGTTACAACTTATCTCCCATTTCACTAGCCGCCCCGAACTGTTGCGCTATCCCTTACATCCATGCCCCCCCATACTTTGCTCTTACATTACCCCCTGCGTCGCTTCCTTCCTTCCTTCCGCACCCCCACCCCCCCCCCCCCCAACCTGCACACACACTTGCAGTTCCGCTATCGCGTGCAGCAGGCTGACCGCGGCGGCGCTGGCGTTACCCGCTGCAGCAGGGCACGGCGCAGCTTGCGCTCCTCCTGCACCATGATGAAGAGCTCCTTGTGCACGGCCGCCGCCAGGTTGAGGCCCAGGCCCTCGGGGTCCGACGCCATCTTGCAGATGAGCTCCTCGTGCGAGAACACGCAGTAGCGGTGCAGCCGGCGGTAGTGATCCACGCACAGGCGGCCCATGGGCAGCTGCGGCGACAAGGCACCCGACGCTTAGCCCCGCGGTGACGACTGTTGGGGGCGAGCGGCCATCGGCGAGCGCCTTTTTAAGGCCGGCACGGCACAACCAAGGGGTGCTGCGGCCATAGGCAGCTGCCGAGATAAACATTTCCAACCGTACCACCCCCACCCCCAACCCCCTGGGTAGCTTCTTAATTGGTCGTTGCATTCTACACTTCACATTGCGAAATGGCGTTAAAATTCCAGTTCATATAGGTATAGGGCATTGTATTTCACAATTCCCATGGGCAGAGGGCATCACATTTCGCAGTTCCCACTGTTATAGGGAATTATACTTCACAGTTCACATTGGTATAGGGCATTACATTCCACAGTTCACATTGGTATCAGAATTGCATTTCCACATGGCCTACGTTTAGACTGTTGGGGCAAGTGCTGTTAGCAGGTGCCTATTAAGGCCGACACGGCACTTGGAAGGGGCGGTGCGGGCAGCAAAACTACACCACCCTCTGGCCGTGATCGTCTCCTCGAGGGGGGGGGGGAATTTGAGGTTTTTAACAAGGCAACCTTGAGAAGGTCCAGCCACCGGTTCTATCGAATATCGCTTGCCTGTTCAGCTATGGCCAGGAATCGAGGGGGGGGGGAATAACAAAGGGCAAGAGGAGGACAATGAACAGAGAAGAAGAAAATGTAGAGCAGAGAGGACAAGATTATCAGAATCAGAATATTTATTTTTACTGGAGGAATCCGATGAGCTATAAAGCTCTTTAATACAGATATCCAGTCGGGGCGAGTCTGAACGTGAAAGCAACAATACAAAAACGCCATCGGTGTACAAACGATAGAAAAGGTAAACAAAAATCCGAGACCCACCCAGTCGGCGGTGCAGAAGTTGACGGCCTCGGCAAAGTTGTACCCCTGGTTGAATCCACTGTGGTAGGCCCGGGGGAACGTCACCACAAACTCTCCCGCACATTGGTTCGTCCGCACCACCTGCTCGCCACGCCGCCGCCGCCGCAACCACAAAGTCACAAACGGATCTCGCCCTCGCAAGCCACAACCGCAACGTAGGCTCGTTGTTAGTATGAGCATTGTTAACAAAGACAAAGGTCCTCCCCTGTAGCCGTATAGGCCCGTTGAGGCAAGTGCTGTTCACGAGCACTTGCGAAAGTTCCCCCCGGGGCATTTTCAGTTCCACTGCGGTTTCATTCCGGAATTTACTCGATTGGTTGAGTATCCGAGCCGGCGCATCGGTGGAGTTAATCAAATGCTCGGGATGCCCGGACGGCCCGGGCTTAGTCTGGTAGCGCACTTGACCCTCTAACGCGAGAGGCTCCACCACGGGGAGAGGCTCCACCACAGGGGGAGGTGGTGCCGGCCTGGCACTCACCGGCACGCCGTGCGACATGAGCAGGTTGGGGTTCATGATGGTCACCAGCTGGTGCAGGAGGTCAGGCTGGGACTCGAACAGCTCCGGCGCCAGCTTCCTCATCACAGACTCCAGGTGCTCGGCCGCGTGCGACGGCACGCCGTACCACGTCTTCGGCTCGCCCCTGCCCCCGGGGGACGAGGTGGAGACGAGAGCAGCAAGAGGAGGAGGTGAGGACACGGAGGAGGAGGAGTTGATGTAGTCGAGGAGAAAGAGTTGACGATGTTGTTTAAGGAAGAGAGAGGAGGAGTTCATGAAGTTGGAAGAGGAAGGCCAGTAGGAGGATGAGGTTGGAGGAAAGGGGGGGGGGGAAGAGAAATGGAAATTAAGGAGGAGTTGATGTGAAGGAAGAAGTTGTGGAGGATGAGAGGTGGTGGTGGAAGGGGGAGGGATGAAAAGGATGAGAAAGAGGGGGGTGTGGGGAGGAGGAGATGAGTCACAAACAATCCATGAAGACAGGATTGGGAAACCTGTGACCCACTGGCCCCTATTCAACCCGTGACGTCATTTCCACAAGGCACCGCGGCCACATGAGGCTAACCACCTCGGAACAGCCCGAAAGCATCCCAGCGGCACTGATCGTCTACGAGAGACGGGACACCGTCAGCCAGGCAACAGCACCGAAATGTCCAATTTCGGCGAGCTAAGTCACCCGTGCCACGGCGCGCAAGTATTGACGTGTGGCCGCCCCGCCAAAGGTATTTGAAAGTCCTTATTCGTCACTCGGTACCGACGAGTCTCCCGCCCCCCCCCCATCTCTGGTGTAAGTGTCATCTCACCAGTGCAGGTAGTTGATGGAGTAGCTCCAGTGGTCCTCAATGTGCCAGCAGAAGGCAGAGAAGCACATGCCCACGTACAGCCAGGGCACCTGCGTTGACAGCACATGCCCACAAAAACACAAAAAGGCACACAAAGAGCCACACGCACAGGTCACCCGCAGGTTAGCATTGCACGCTTGCAATTTTGCGAGCACCTATTGAGAATAGCATGGCATGGAAGGGGTGGTGTGGCCAGAAACGACGCCCTGGCCGCCTTTGTATCCCCAGTGCTGATGTTTACGACATACAGCACAAGGTACTCATTTAGGGCTGAGTTGACCCAGGACCGATTCAGATATTCATCACTGGTGTTGTTCGTGAGCCAAGTTGGTAGAACAGTGCGCCAACCACTACGCCACCACGACCCACACTTGCACACACACGTACATAAACCCACACACAACACGCAGCACACGTGCAACAAAAGACGTGAATCACACACCACACGCACCGCAACAACTTTCTGCTGTCCTTCCCTCCACCTTCGATTAGCACGGTTGGCTACGCACGGTGTGAAAGAAGTTCCACATACATACACAGCACACACACACGCATCCCACAGCACGCATACACGCACCCCCACAGCACAGACACACAGCACACACACAACAAACAGATCAGACCGCACACACGTGTGCATGTGCTGGCGAGCACCACCTTCATGCCGGAGATGTCTGCGTTGATGAAGCCGAGCACCGACTGCCCGTGCACGGGGATGATGTTGAGATTCCAGCCCGACTCCACGTACGTCTGGGGTACGCACCCACACACAAAACACACCACGTAAACCCGTGCACCAGCACAAGGCACGCATGCTGACACACGTGTACGCGGGCACGCAAAACAGGTGCAAAAAACATTCGCGCACAAAGCACACGCAAGAGCGTGCCCGCACGATCACCAATCGTCGTGCCATCAGCTGACATCTCAGCATCGTGGCAGCGGTGTGCCATTTCATCATCGCACGGTCAATGTGCCATCCCATCATCGTGCCACTGGTGTGCCATCTCAGCATCGTAGCACCAGTGTGTGCGCTCAGCATCGTGCCATCAGTGTGGCTTCTCATCATCATGCCACCACCGCGTTATCTCATCAAAGTGCCATCTCATTAGCCAAGCCGTCAGCGAGCCAGCTCATCTTCGCGCTGTCCCTGAATGTGCCGCCGTCACTGATCACCACCCCCCGATCGCCGGTGGCGGTGTCGGCGGCGTTGTCGGTGCTGTGGCCCCTACCTCCTCCTCGGGCGTGAGGATCCTTTCTTGGTCGCGCACCGGGAAGCCGCTGCCAAACTCGCGCGAGTGTATGTCGGCGCCGTACTCCACCGTCACGTCCTCCTCGATGCTGTTCACCAAGCGCCAGAACTCGCGCTCCACCAGGTCCGTCGGCACCATCTGCGCACGCGCCAGCGAGTGAGCCGCCACAGGCGAACCCGGCACGGAGCAATAATAAAAAAAAAAGCGGAGGTGGAGCAGACATTACGAAGACTGGACATGGAAGTAATCGTAACAAAACTTGTTGAATTTTTTGGGGACTGGTACATTGCGCCCAGTGTGTTGGCCTCCCTCCTCCACCCCCCCCCCCCACCGACATGCCAGGAGAGGCAGCGGAGCCACTCACGTGCACGGGCATGTTGAAGTAGTCCGCCTTGAACGTGTCGGCCATCTCCCCGAAGCTCTGCAGCGTGTACTCCTTGGTGGCCTGCTCAAAGCCAAACGCCTCGTGTGGCTTACTGCACTCCTGTACGCAGACACAACGACACAGACCCCCCCCCGCCCCCCCCGGTTAGGCTGAGCAGACTTTTGAGGCAAGTGCTGTTGGCGAGCGGCACCAATAAAAGGTCAGCACGGCACACGAGGGTAGCCAGCACCACCCCGACCTATGGGGAGCCCAGGATCGGTTCAAATAATTGTCACTGGGTGTTGGTGGCCGTGAGCGGGAATCCAACTCAGGTCGCCGGGTTCGTAGCATGGCACGGTAACTGCTGCGCCACTGCTCCCAACGTGGACACGCGCACGCACACACCCAACGCGCGGTGACACTGCCGCCACCCTCATCATCGCTGCCTTAAAGAATCACGATAACACAAATACGAGGGCGTATTTGCATCAAAGTGTCAACGAGAACTGCAATAAATTCTGTAAACTCAATCCGTGAGACATTTTGGTGAGTCGCGTGCGACAGGCGGTACCTCGGCGATGCACTTGGGGCAGCGCCAGTGCGCGCTGGCGACTTCTGGGGGGGGCGGCACGAGGCAAGTCCTGTGGTACCCGTCTCCGCAACGGCTGCACCGCAGCATCGTCTCCACGGCAACGGCGCTCTCGCACACGAGGCACGCACCCTCTGCCTTCTGCGTCAAGACGGGAACACAGCGACCGGACAACCGGTGATTTACATTCGGCAAACGGGCATTGGGAAAAAGTAATCGACAATGGGTATATAATCGGCAAGCGTTAAGCACGTTACCCTTAACCACCACGACGAGTCCACAAGTGGTCACGATTCGATCCAATCATCGACTCTGTTTTTCCTGTTTTGCCCATCTTCTGAGTATCCTCCCTTCGTTATGCCTCCACTCGTACAGCCTCGTTCGCTTGGGCCTCAAGGTCGCTTGCGTATAATCCACAATTTGAATAAATCGTGAATAACCCCGATCACGCACACAAATCGACGTGTACATCGTTCTTGCGCCGAGTGCCCAAGTCGATTTTAACCGACGGGTCAACAACATCACTATGTGTTGAATGGAAATTCCACATTGCTATGGCGGAGACAAGTCATTTCCAATTTACTATAATCGCAACGACAATCACTCGTCACGTCACATCAGACGTTGAGAATCCCACATGGCACAAGTTGACAAGATATCAGCCACTACCGATTGGCCCCAACCAGACGGAATCGACTAACCTGCTCCACGGATCCATCAACAGCAGCGCCACCGCTGCCACCGCCGCCACCAGCACCCTCCAGTTTCTGTTCCTCTGCAGCGCCAGCGCCTCTCACTTCGCCGGCGCCGCCGCCGTCGTCGTCGTCATCGTCGGAGATGACAACCGGGCTGGACGGAGGCTCCGGCTTGCAGGCCTGCTCCGCGCGCTCGGCACGAGCCAGTACCGGCGGAGAGGGAGAGGGGCCCAGCGATTGCTTGCCGGCCCCCGCCGAATCTTCCCACTTGGAAGAGTTCTCGCCACCGTCCGCTGCCAGCGCCGGTGGTGGTGTTGGCGGCGGTGGAGGCGGCGGCGGTTCCAGTTTTGGCGCCACTGTTGGCTCCTGCTTCACGTCACCGTCTTTGAAAGGCAACACACAAAACGAACAGCAGACGGCTCTCATTGTGTTGTAGCCACGCGCATCGGTTGGGTGGCTCCGGGCTTGTGCCGCATGAGCTTGAAGAGTCACGGGCGAGAAACAAATGACTTTAAAGTGAATGTCAGGCACTCTAGTAATGTCAAAGATGCTTCCAATGAATTGATGTTGACAAAGATGGCGATACGACAATGGTGACAACGACGAGACTGACGGCAACAATCATGACAATGATGCGATGATGACCGTGAAAATTTACAGCGATGCTGAGAGTGATGGGAACAATCTCAACGACACGACTATGAGGATGACGAGCATAACGATGACGGCAATCCCGACGATGTTGACGACGAGCGGGCCATGGCGCTCACCCTTCCTCCTGCTGGCGCCGAGCTTCTCACGCGCCATGAGTCCGAGCCCCATCATCTTGGGCCCGGCTCCGTAGATCTGCAGCTTCTTCAGCTCAGGGTTGCTCGCAATGTCGGCCTCCGTTGGCTCGGGCTGTCGCGGCACGGGTGCGGGACAATGCGCACGCACGCACAGACGTGCAGGCACACGCACACACGTGCAGGCACACGCACAGACGTGCAGGCACACGCACAGACGTGCAGGCACACGCACACACGTGCAGGCACACGCACACACGTGCAGGCAAGGACAGGCACACGCAGGAAAACACGGGTCACGTTTACACTCTTCGTTTGTGTCTTAGTTGTTCGGGTGACGGAGGCAATAATAATAAAAGCGAAGATGATTAATTTTATTTTATACCTACGTGACTTTACCGAAAGAACCATAGAGTATGATTAGTCTGTTTTGTTTCAAAACAAGTTGTTACTTTGAGTTTAAATTTGTAGTTTTAAAAATTAAAACGTTTCACTTAAATGTTTCAATGTAATTCTATTTGTATTATTCTGTCTGCCTCTACTTGCTTTCCAAACAAAAATTATGCAGCAGCTTTTGTTTAAGCCAGCAGACCCAGGACCAGCTTCGATCTTCTGGGTTTCATCAACACTCAGGGCTTGATAAACATATGCTGTTGGATTGACAGATATTATTATTATTATTGGCAAGAGCACTCCACATAGGATTGAACACAAAGCGGTCAAGGTTGATTGCTGATCCAGCACTCACCGATTCACTCCACTCACTCACTGGCTGTCTGTCGTCTCCTTATCACTCTTCTAACGCTGCTGCCATGATCACAGTTCCCGTGAACGCCTCTCACCGATTTCACTCACATATGGCAAGGGCTACCTGTTTTGTCTCATCCACACTCACTCACCAACTCGCTCGGTCACTCAACCCACTCAATCACACGCCGACTCGACCACCGCACTTGCAGGTCGTAACAACACACTCACCAACTCACTCATATCACTCACTCACCCGATCATTCAATCACTCGCCCCACTGCGGGTCACGACACTTCTCTTTCTGCTTCTACACGAATCTATTAAGTCGATAGCACTGCTTGTTGCCGAGAATATAACATTTGTGGACGTTGCGGCTGTGCTCGGCAGCGGTGTTAAAATATATATAAATATAAACGATGGGGGCACGCGTAACTCCGCTTCGGAGGGGTGTACGGGAGACGGGAAGGTCAAAGCGGAGGAGGAGACCTCGGTGTTGAGACGCTTGGCGCGCCGCCCGTAGCAGTCTGTCTTGGAGGGCTGCACCGACAGGCGCTGCGGGATGCCGTGCGGCTTGTACTCCTTGTCCTTCTCCCCCACGTCGTCTTGCTGCATCCGCAGGGCACGCAACCACCCACGTGTACAAAAGACAAAGATCCTCCGATTGGCATCTAACAGACCGCCAAGGCAAGTGGTGTTAGCGGGCACCTATGAAGGTCGGCACGGCACACGAGGGGGTGGGTGGCCAGCGCCACGCCCGGCCGCCTTTGTCTCCCCTAAGAGGCGATGTTTACCACACGCCGCACCAGCTACTCATTTGAGGCCGAGTCGACCAAGATGGGGCCTAGGATCGGTTCAGACAATCACCACTGGCGCTGGCCATGAGCGGGAATCGAACTGGGGTCACCGGGTTCGTAGCGCAACGCGTTAACCACGACATCACCACCGCTCCCAACGTGTGCACCCCATCGCCGACAGCCAGAGGCTATCCACTGCTGGATCAAAGCCTCCCCACAACTATCATTATGATCACCGTCGTCATATCAGCCACGGTCTTGATGGAAGGCCTCTCCACACAGTCATAAACTACAAGCACGTGGTCTATCCACTGCTGGATGAAGGTCTCCCCCACATTCAATGCTCTGCCCCGTTGGTCGTGGGTTTTGATTGACCATACTTCACCACCCTGGTCAGTGCGGGTTGGCGACGGGCAAAGGCAGGACCAGTTTAGGTAAAGCTCACCGCTGGCATTAGCTCTCGCTGGGAATCGAACTCGGATGCCCGTTTATAATCTGGAGTGCTACTGCTCCCCTTGCTTTGCAAGACATCTGTATCACTTCAGTGAAAAGCTTCTGACAAAAATAATAATTTAACATTTGGGGAATTCCTGTTATTAGACCCGTATACACTCAATGGTTGTCCTGCAAAAAAAGACCTGACGAACCATATTTGTTCTTTTTTTTTTTAGACGGGATTTTTGCACGGCGACGCCGTGGTTAGCACATTGCACTACAAACCCGGCGAACCGAAGTTCAATTCTCGGCTATGGCCAACATCAGTGGCGAGCGATACCCAAACTGGTCCTGCCTGGGAGCTGCTCCCGTCACCCCTCCCCCCTCCCCAAACAGAAACCAATAAGGAATCAAAGTGCTTTGTATATATATATTTTTACTATTTTAACAGGTAAGGCCCACTGAGCAATATAGCTCTTTTTCAGAAGCGCCCTGGACACAAATGATAGCTCAACGAAGTGGCTTATCACGTGGACAGGTATAGCAGCCAAATATTATAAACGCATGTTTGTAAATGCAAAGGAAAAAACCGTAGGACCCAGATGAAAATCCATGCGACTACGGGGGGGAGAGAGAACATGTAAACTACAAATATACAGCCGGCGCCGGGGTCGGAATCGAACCCACAACCTCCTGCATACCAGGCGAGGGCGTTAACATCTCACCACTTTGTGGGTTATCAAGTTTTCTCTTTTTTTATTGTGGGAAGACCTTCGATGGCAAAACGGTGGCATTACCTTGTCGGTGGGAGCGGCAGAGCGAGCCAGAGACAGCGGCAGCTTCTGCTTGGAGAGGTTCTTGAGCGTCTGCGAACGCACGGAGCAGGGCGACGAGTCACCCAGGAATATTTACCGAACTTAAACTCAAACTACAACATTTTTATTTTTTATTTTACTGGGTAAGGCCCACTGAGCTATACAGGCTCTTTTTCAGAAGCGACCAGGCTATCCCAAATGATGGCTCAACATGTGGAAACGTACAGCAGATAAATACACATTGATTCTAAATGTGGAGGAAAAAACCAGAGGACCCGGAGAAAAATACACACGACCACGGGGAGATAAGACATGCGAACTCCAAATACACAGGCGACAGGGTCGGGATTGAACCCACGACCTCCTGTACACCAGGCGAGGTAGTTAACATCTCCCAGCCACCGTGATGATGATGATGATGAGAGAGAGACACGCAAACTCCAAATAAACAGCAGTAGGCGTCAGGGTCGGGATCGAACTCATGACCTCCTGCATACCAGGCGAGGTAGTTAACATCTTGCCACGGTGGCACCCGCGAGAGAATGCTGCGGAGCGCGCGTCACGTAGCGTGTCGCGGTTCCCTTGGCCTGCCGTTCCCCCTCGGCTACGGCGCGTTGGATCACGGAAACGGGTTGGCCGCAGACCTGGTTTCAATTACAATCCTAATTGCCGACTTCTTAATAAATTCCAATCCCAATGCAGACGCAACCTCGGCCAAACAAACTAATTGCAATTTGATAATTGATACCAGATGTGGGCTCTTGTGGTAGATATGGTGGGGATGGTTATGTTTTTTTTTAGTGCTTGGGCGATTTGTTGACCTTTCTTGTACTCTGCACTCCTATCGTGTCCTTGTATTGTTTGTTGTTGTAACGTTCTTACCCGCCCCTACTGGACATCTGTGAAAGAGCTTTATAGCTCATCGAATTCCTCCAGTATAAAGATGTTGATTGTGAATGGTTGCGACAATAGAAATGTTTTAGGAGGAGAGGCTGAGGGAGATTCGGGGTGGGGGGTGGGGGGAGTGGGGAAAGGACAGAGGGGGTGGGTAAGATAAGAAGAGGCAGCACTATCTTAATCCTTAGGTGAAGCCGTGTGCAGAGAGGGGGGGGGGGAGAGCAAGCCCTAGAGACAGAGAGAAAGACAGACTTTGAGAGGTCAAACATAGAGGCAAAGAGAAATTTAAAAAACACCAAGTGAGAAAGCCAAAGAGAAAAAGGCGCATACATAGAGACGTAAAGACTCAGAGAGAGACATGGGGGAAGACAGAAGAACGGACGGGAACTACGAGAGACATTGAACAAAAAGAATGAGACCAAGGGAGACACCAGCACAGAGTCCAACTCGGAGAAACAGGCAGCTGCACACAAAGTGAGCCGCTTCAGAACGACTACACGCAACATCATTAGACCTCCTTTGCCAGCACCAAAATGTAATAATAGGGTTTTTCCCCTTTTTTCTGGCAAGAAAACTGAAACCTTTTTACTAGGATTCATGTCTGCATTAACCACAATACCTGCAGTCAAAATGCAAACAAAATGCAAACAAAGGCCTTTTGGCGTCATCTGGTCGAGCACCAATTGGGTCGAGGCTCAAAAGAAAGCCGTCCCTTTGTGTGGGCCAATCAGTTTCAAGGACAATGCATATATTATCATAGTATGTATTTTGTTTGCATTTTGACTGCAGGTATTGTGGTTAATGCAGACATAAATCCTTGTAAAAAGGTTTTAGTTTTGTTGCCAGAAAAAAAGGGGAAAAACCCTATTATTACACGCAACATATTTATTTGTTTGAGAGGGACAGAGCTGCAAGTGTAGACGCAAAAGAAAACACAGGTGGTGGTGGTGGAGAGAACAGCTGCTCAGGCTTAAACACACAGCCCAGAGCCTATTAACAATAACAAAGGCACCCCGTATAGCCTTTAACAGACTATTGGGGCACGTGGCGTTTACTAGCAGCACCTATACGAGGGCCGGCAGGGAGCAAGAGGGGGTGGGGTGTGGCCGGCACCAAGCCCTGGGCCACCTTCGTCTCTCCGCAGCGTTGGTGCTGGTGCGCGTGCGAGCGAGCGAGGGGAGGGGAGCGAGCGGGGCGTACGCACGTGGAGGCTGACGCCGGCGTGGAAGAGGTCGTAGGGGTAGAGGATGCGCTCGTAGTGCGAGCGCAGCAGCGAGCCGACGCCGCGGTGCGCCGGATAACCCATGCGCAGGGAAACCCGCGCCCACTTGCGCTCGCGGCTCAGGTACTCGAAGCCGCCCTCCTCCATCACCACCTGCGCAAAAGGTGGGGTGGGGGGGGGGTCGGTGGTGACGGCGTCAATGGCAACGGAAAGTGGCGCAAACGCACGGTGCCGCACAGGCACGTAGACATTGATGACGTCTGGTTGCGTGTGCGTGCGAGTGCCTGTGTGTGCATATGAGGATCGGTAGTGTAGTGGTGAGCACATTTCGCGCGCATACACAAGCACGCAGACAGACACACACACACGTGCGATGCATACACAAAGTTAAAGATCCCCGTATAGCCTCGAACAGACTGTTGGGGCAAGTGCTGAAACGGCACACGAAGGAGGTGGGTGGCCAACACCATGCCCAGCCGTCTTTATCTCCCCACCAGTGCTGATGTTTACACACCACGCCGGGTACTCGTTTAAGGCCGATTTGAGCAAGGAGGCCCAGGACCAGTTTCACATACTCGCCGCTGTTATTGGTCACGAGTGGGAATTGAACTCGGGGCGCTGGGTTCACAGCGAAATGTGCTAACCACTATGCTGCCGATCCTCATATGCACACACAGTCACTCGCACAAAACACGCAAGCAGACGTCATCAATCAACACAAGCACACAAAGAAAAACATCACGAGTTACGACCAAATCACCCTGCATTCAACGATTTGCCAGCATCGTCTTCTCATAAGCACAACAGTAAACCTGTGCAGAATACATCATCATACCGCACTCAAATATTAACCGTCAAGCATTGATGGCTGCAGCAGCTGACAGCGTGAGTGCTAATAATGCTGCTGACGACGACGACGACATCACACGCACACACGTCCTCACCTTGCTGAGTGTGTAGAGGTCGAGTGTCCTGCGCTCCACGATCGGGATCTTCAGGGTGGAGCCCTGGAGCTCCCAGAACTTGGCGATCTGGTCCAGGAAGTTGAGCTTCACGCGCGTTTGAGCCTGCATGCGAGCGATAGTCACCAACGTCATCAGCCGCAGCAGCCACAGCATCACCGTCGGCCATGATCAACCCACTGGCAAGGGATCCGTACGGCACTACAACGATCGCAATAAATCCCAGGGAAGTCTCTCGGCACCATAACGATTTCGGTGACAGGCAGAGAGAGGCGGGAGGAATGGGGGGGGGGGGGGTGGAAGTGGCAACTCAGCAACTCTTGCCAACCTCCCCGGCCTTTGTTTATAAAGACCCAACCGGGTGCACGCACAGTTGAATCAAGGATGCCAGAGGGTGCCGGGTGGCTCCGAGGTCAGAGATGCCAAGCCGGCACCGCTGAGATCCTGGGTTCCAAACCAGGTTACGGCCGCGGCCTGTAATTAAACCGGGTTTGCAAGTGCCGCGAGTTGATGGGCTTAGCTCCGACATCAAAGGCTGCGCAACCAAACCATCACATTAATTTTGGTTCTGCATTTCATTTGGCTCTAGCGCCCAGGAAGAGCTCCAGTCTGTCGCCAGGGAAAGGAAGGTCTGTACCGACCTACTCGACACGCTGCCGCAGCGTCCCGCACCAGGACAAGCGGACCTGAGAAACGAACGAATGAACATTTCATTTGGCTGAATTCCAGCTCGGATAATCAATAATGTCGGATTGACTGCCGCGCAATGAGCATCGCTCTCATACGCAGTGCAAATGGGAAGAGCCGCCCTCGACCTTGTATGAACCAGAGGTCACTTGAAGGAAACTCAAGAGGTAGCTCTGTGTTTTTTAACACGGATATCTGCATTGCTCCGCGAGAGTTCCATGACGCGATGTCGATAACACCGATGGGTTGAGATTTGGGGCGGGGGGGGGAAGAACAAAAATAATGTTTAACAAAGAAGAAAAATCATGCATGTGAATGGATTCTGGAATGCTTTCTTTCCAGCATGCGTATGTCCCCGGGAGTGTGGAATGAGCAATAAGTATGTTGAGCTTTAAAACCACACATTAAGACGGTGGCATGCGGGGCACTGACTGATAGACATCCGCATAATGGGGGAGGGTGAGCATTGACTTCCTTTTAGTGGTTTTGTAAAAACCTTTTAACGCCGGGGCTTTTTTTTTTAATAGCAACAATGTGATACTGAAGTTTCGTTCGTACCGGATCATCCTGTAACAAGCGTTATCGCACATCACCATGATAGACAAGATGGACGGAGCTGGTGGATTAGCGTTAAAAAGTAACCCAAGGCAATAGCTTGGTGGTGCGGCACGTACGTACGTACAACTTCTTTTGTGCCGCACGTAGCCAACCGTGCTAAATCGGAGGTGCGCCGAAGGACAACAAGCTGAACACAAAAAGCAGTAGTAAAGAAATTAGTTTTCAATCACAGACCTCGAGCTCGTTGAGTCTCTGGATCCTGGGCGTGAAGCGGAAGTTGTCGACGTCAACGGCAAACGGAGGCTGCCAGTCCTGCAGCGGCGAGCACCACACGCACGCACAGACAGACACGCACAGACAGACACACACACCGACGGTGACGGTCACAAACGGGGAGCATATCGGACGGCGAAGTGAGCCAGGTTTGGGGAAACCTTTCATGACTGTGGATGGAAAGGGCGAGCACACATTCAACAACAAGAACCGCCATTCAAAACTAAGCGGCGGTGATGTCACCACAGCGCTTTGTGGCGGGCAATATGCACTTTAAGGCCATGTGAAGTGTCAAACACCTACTGGCAAGGAGGTCACATGAGGTTGACTGACTGAGATGACTGGCCGATGCACCATCTGTGCCCCCCCTAATATGCACACATTCGTACACACACACCACACCGCAGTCACTTCTGTCAATGCAAGAGGCCTATTGCAGTGACAAAAGCGACCGATAACTAAAAATTAGAAGCTGGCAGTGTTGTTGCCAGGTTGATAATATTGCCCCTCTACTACCCAATCAGTGCCCCCTAACGTGCCTGCAGTGACGGATAAATATGACTTGTGGGCCGTTTCAAAGTGGTAGGCCGCAGGCAGTAAAAAATTGAATCGCGGGCTGTATGAATTTTAAGTCCATGGCCGTATCCGGCCCGCAGGCCACAAGTTTTCTACTTAAGAATTAAGCAGATGGTACATTGGGGTGGTCTGAGTGTCGCCTCAAAGCCTGGGTTCAAGCCATGAGTCTAGGTGCGAGTGTGTGTCTCTCACACAGGGGTTCGTAACGGTCGTGAGAGACAGCACTGTGAAGATTGTGGTTCGAGCCCTCGCGTTTGGTCGGGTGTGTGTCGCTCTCAGGTTCATAATGGCCATGTCAAGCAATAAGCAGACCTCTTGGTTCCTAGGCACAAGGCATACATTTTGTTCTCTCTATCCGGGGGTTCACAACAGCCGTGTTGGGTTACTCGCAGCTGTAAACATTAAGACGTCTGGGTCAAGCTCATGTTAAATTTACAGATTGTGTTCCATCTCGTTGTTAAATAAACTTATTAGCCTCTCCACGCGTCTTTCCCTTGGGGGCCCACGAAGGCCGCGATTGAGACACAAGAGCCAGAATGCCTGAAATTCCTGGAGTCTAACGACACAAGGAGGGCCACACAGAGATAACAAGGAGAACACCGCACTGCTGAGCCACCCCCGCTGCCGTTTTGCCCTTGGGAACTCGTGAGGCCGACCTTGCAATTACTGCCTCCCCGCTCCACCCCACCCCAAAGTGCACAAAGGAAGCACAGAGACATCGCAATCTTCAGCCACGATTAATCCACTGCCGGATGACAGCCTCCACAAAACCCCTCTACACCTGTCACACGCTCCTGCAATGTGAGAATCATTCTATCCAGCTCGTGCACAGAAAGGTGATCTCGTTCGCTCCGTCTCCGCGGTTGCCGTCCTCCTGGGCGTGTTTCCCTCCTCTGTTTAGGGTATTTGGCTACTCAAGTTTCTAAGTGATAAGCCACTTCATTGAGTTATAATGTGCGGCCAGGTCGCTTATGAATGAAAGCTACATAGGTCAGTGCACCTCACCTGGTAAAATAAAAATATATACTATTAGCAGTCACTATGATGTCTCTTGCCGATCCCCTCTACTCCAAGTGTTTCCTCTCGTTCTCTCAATTTAAATCTGTGGAGAGCCGCACGCTTTGAGTTGCACTCCGAGACGGAAAGAGGAACACGTGGGTGTTAAGAGAGAACGTGCGCGAGTTGGAGACACCGCGTGAACAGTGTTGGAAAAGTGAGCGGGGGATTGAGCAGGACACATCACGGCTACAAGGGACGGACGGGCCTGTGGTCTAAACGGACAATGAGATCACCCCTCGTGCGTTCGGAGCTGGACAGATTCTCACATCGTGAAATCGTGCGAGACGGCGGCAGGCGGCAGCTTGATGAGGCTTTTCGTTCAGCGGTGGATAGAACGTGGCTCAGATGATGATGCTAATGGTGACCACTGCGGCATGGTTAACATCGACAGATGGTGCCACGCTGTTACCCACGGGGCAAGGGTCAAATGTAAAGACCCAAGAAAAGCTGTCTAACCAAATGAAGGTCTGCTGTAGCGAACAACGGATTGCTTTATAAGACTGACACAAACAGCACTGCACTCTACCTCGACTTGCAATACGATACAAACACAATGCGTCGATTTATCAATAAGAATCGATTCTTAACACCTACACGTTACACGCATCGCCATCACGCACGCGAGAAATTATTATTTACGTCTTGTGCACATAATATAAAGATTATACGCCAACGTTACATTTGGATGATCGGCAATTTAACTCGGGTCACCGGGTTCGTAAGCTCTCCACCAACGCTCTGTGCACACGCGAACAAAGGAAGTGACCCACAACATGGCCTACAGACTGTTTGTGCAAGTACTGTTAACAAGCACCTACTAACCCGCCCATACCATACATCCGTGTAAAAGAGCTTCAAAGCTCATCGGATTCCTCCTGCATTCTACGTAAAGATTCTGATTTTGAGGACCGGCTCAGCACAGAGACATGCAACATCTGTTTGCACGTCAGACCTGGGGTCAATGTATACTGTCATGACAATAACGAAAACAATGCATTTCACATCGCTTGTGCAATTGTAATGACTTGCAAATTCAACAATAACATTCGTGATCCACCCACCCATCCTTGGTACAACTCTTGACTCTCCAGGCACACCCAGGGCCTTACCCCCCCCCCCCTCCCCTGGTACTCCACCCCCACCTCCTCAGTGCTAATTCACTGTCGTGTGTGCCTGCACCACCGGCATTCCGGCATCTGGAATGCCCCCCCCCTCGTCTCTGGGCTGGTTTGACAACTGAGTTGTGTACACAACTGTTCCCACACCCCTCCCCACCGATTCCCTCCGTCTCCTGCTCTCGATGGCAAAGACACAAGCCATGCAATTTACTTGCTCATGACCCAACGCAGAAGATCCCTTGGTGTGATTTTCCACGAAGCTCATGGTCCACCCTAAACCACATCCACTGCATAAACCATGGCAGCAGATGCGGATACCTGATGCACAAACGGAAAATTAAAAAAAATGCTCCAGTGTGCGACTGTGGTCATCCAGAACAGGCCATAAAACGTAAAACGACGCAATGCACGATCCGCAAATACGAAGGAGACATCACAGTGCTATTCCTCCGCTACTCCTGACGCGGGTATCTGTCTTGAACCACCTAAATGTAAAATTGTTGCTCTGCATCTACATCGGCCACTGGAAGAAAAAAAAGGACGACTTGCTCATGTCCACTGCTGGTGGACAAAGACTTCGCAAGAAGAGGAAGCTCCTGAGAACGCACGCAGAGGGCACGTTGGCCTACTTCTCCATGCTAACCAGACGCCTTGGAAGCGGAGGGATTACTCACGCGCGTTACCCCACCACACGCGACTTGCCCCTTTTGCCAATCCGCGGCTGGACGGCGGCTTCCCGACACCCGTGTGGTTGTACGAGGGATATTGAACCACACCGTAACTTCCCATCACGCTTGGTCAACGCGCTCGAGTGAAGAAGGTGTGAAGTGCACAGACGGTTGGAGCGGTGAAAAGAAATAATGGATGTTGATCATTGCCCACCCCAAGCGGCCCCGAAACCTATAAGACCTGTTTCGTGCTTAGTGGTGGCCTATCCGAGCACTACTAAGTCTGCTTAGCTTCCAAGATCTAACAGGATCAGGAACATTCTGGATAATTTGCTCGTGTTCAATAGGATATCGATCGCATTCAACTTGAACATATTTACCCCAAAAACACATTCTTTCTTACACACGCCATTCGCTGCACGTAGCTAGGGTGTTGAATATTAAATGTGTCGATTACCTTATTGAATCATTACATCTCAAGCGCTAAGTCTGAAACTAAAGGGGTTTGTGGGCAGATATTTAAATAAGGAGTGCAGTTGAACAGGTAGGCAAAGTGTGGTTTAGGTAGGTGCATCAGCAAACCGATATGTAAACACTGCAACTGGTCAGATAGTTTAAAAGGCTCAGCTGTGGACAGGTAGGTTGTTGTAGCGCATAGAAACATTACCACACAACGTGTGGAGCGGTGGGCCCCGGCGCTAATGCATGTTGAACTTCTTTCGCACCGTACGCATCGAACCGTGCTAATCGGAGGTGCGCAGGACGCAACAATGAACTAAAAGTTCGACTCGCTGCCGCGGGCAATATCAGTGGCGAGCGACATCTTGAGCCGATCCGAGGGCTACCCCACAGCGTAGAAACATGAAGTACTGCCACGCAAAAAAACCTCTCCGCGACCCTCACAGATGCACGAGGGGGATTGGGGGAGTCCCTCATCCAGCGGTGGAACGATGATAGCAGCAGCAGCAGCAGTGCCGTCTGTACTCCTGCTGCATTACCGCGTGCGGCCGTTGTGCGGTTAGCGGCACTGCTGCCGTTTCTACGAAATCCGACCACCTCCCCGCGTTCATTTTCCGGCCACGGCTCAACATCAGTGGCGTTTTGACAACCAGTCTCCCCGCCACACACACACACCCCATCCAAACCCTCTGGCCAAACAGCCCCCATGAACGACAATGTGTAAGAGGAGGAGATCATCTAGCAGCGGATGGACACTGCACGACCGAGAGGCCCACACAGTATCTTGCAAATGGCCGATGTTGTGGATATCGCCAGGCCACGCGCCGCCGACCTATCGCAAGTTGGATCCCCCTCGCTCACGGCTAACATCAGTGTCCGAGGAGATATTATTTCATGTTATTCTGCTGCTTTATATTTCAACGTGATAAGCCACTTTCGTCCAGCTATCAACAGGCCAGCTTCTGAAAAAAACGAATAGCTCCATGGGGCCTTTACACGGCAAGATTGATTTTTAAATTGCTTCGTTTTGTATGGTACAGCTTTGTTTTTTTTAATTAAAAAAGGCATGTTTATCATTCCTATACTTTACACGCCTATTGTGAGACGTTGTCTTGTCTGTTGTAACGTTCTGTGACTCGCCCTCACTGGACGTGTGGAAAAACACAAGCATAAAAACTTCGGGGCTCATCGGATTCATCCAAAATAAAAACAAACAATTTCGAAACCGATCCTCGCGGGCGGAGGGCATCCCCCACACTCGCCTCCCCCAGCGTGGTGAAGTATGTACCACCTCCACCCCCTACACACACACTCTCCTACCCACCAGACCAACACGACCCCCTCGCAGGCGACAGAGAAGGCAGCCTCACAGGCGGCAATCCCTTCCCCGCTCCCTCCATCATCATCCACTCATCCAGCAGTGGATAAAAGCCCGAGGCGTTGTTTTGTTGTTTTACCGCGGGTGGCCGTATCTTGCAGATGCCCGTCTTCTCGGCGATGGGCCTGATCTTGGCAATGAAGGCGAGCGGCTCGGCGAACTCCTCACGACTCGGCTCGAAGACGGGACACTCGGGGGGCGCCGCAAACTCCTCGTGGTCCCCCATCGCGGCCGCTAATCGGAAGGTTGATTGGGGGGCTGCGTGATTGGGGGGCTGCGTGCTTGGTGGGTGGGGGGGGGGTTCGTCCGATCGTGCCCCGCCGCCACCGCCACGCCGGCACTAAATCCGCATCGCCACCGCTGCCCTCGTCAAGCAGCAGCAGCAGCAAGACAACAGGGCGAACGAAAATAAGGGCTCAGTGTGTCGTTAAAAACATTAATAAAAACAAACAACAACACATGTGGCCGATTATTTATCGCCTGAGCCTCTGCTGTACTGCGGGCGCTCGAGTGCGCTTGACGGAAGGATACATTTGAGATAGTTGCGGTGGTGGTTGGGTGGTTGGGAGGAAATCCCGTTTTTGTTGAAAAAGACGAAATTGTTAAAGAGACCCGAATTAAAAAATAAACGTTATAATCGTTGTCGGTTTTTAGCCGAACGAAATCTCCTCTCGCTCACGCGCGCACACAAAAGCGGCCCCCGCGGCTTGCAGGCTGTGCTCAGGCCCCGCTTTGCAATTCCCACTGCACTCGCGCGTGCGGAAGGCGACGCCCATTGGGCGCCGCTCGAGTCACGCGGCGACGCGCTCGGCCAATGGGCGGGCGGCTCGGGCGGCGCGCCGCGCTTATCCGCGTTGGGAAATCGAAAGGGGACCGCATCACGACCGTAACAGCGGACGGAGAAGGGTGGTTTATTTTTGTTGTTGGTGGTGGCGGCGGTGGTGGTGGTGGCGGTGTGTAACTGCGTGACGGCTGTGCGGTTGTTGACGCATTTGGGGTTCGACGCGAGAATTCGTTCCGTTTATTGGTCCGCTGCCTTTTTTGTTGATGTGTTTTTTTTTGCGGAACGCGAAGGGCGGGTTTCGCGTCGTTTCGTCGCAACGAGGAGAACACAAAACAACAACAACCACCACCACCACACGAGACGTTCGAGGGAAATGTGGCCGGCTTGCGTGGACTCGGGAGGTCGGGCCGCGCTTGTTTCTACGACGGCGCTACATCGCGCGCACGAATACACAATTCTCATGCGCGGGTGAGCAGGCGCGACGGCGTCTGTTTAAAGGGGCCGCGTGCACTGGGCGCCCCCCCCACACCACGCGGGCGGTGCGCGCGCGCCCCCCCCCATACCACGCGGGCGGTGCGCGCGTGGTGTTGAGGGGGGGGGGGGGGCCGCGTGGTGTCTGGGGGAGCGCCGGGTGATGTGGGGGGCGCGTGGACTGGCTGTGGGCAACGCCATTGGGTGGCAGTGCCAGGCTAGGTAGGGGTGGCGGCGTATGGCGCATTGCGGATGGCGTTATTCCGAAAATTGCCTCGCGCGTGTCAATAAAAGGTCTAAATACAGAGCGCGCGGTATTCCTAAATTGAGTAGCCATAAAAGCGCGTAAACCGAGGATTGCCTGTACAGGGACTACTCCACTTACGAACGTTCGACTTACGAACGTTCATAGATATGAACAAACCTGTCCGTATGTCCAGTTGCCTGTTGGGACCGAGCGTCGCAAGTTCAGCCGCCGCGCAATAGATGGCGGTGTTGGCATCTACATCTGCAGAACGTGAAGGACCAGCGGCATCTACACCTGCAGAACGTGAAGGACCAGCGGCATCTAGATCTGTAGAACGTGAAGAACCAGTGGCATCTACATCAACAGAACGTGAAGAACCAGTGGCATCTACATCTGTAGAACGTGAAGAACCAGTGGCATCTACATCTGCAGAACGTGAAGAACCAGTGGCATCTGCAGAACATGAAGAACCAGTGGCATCTACATCTGCAGAACGTGAAGGACCAGTGGCATCTACACCTGTAGAACGTGAAGAACCAGTGGCATCTACATCTGCAGAACGTGAAGAACCAGTGGCATCTGCAGAACATGAAGAACCAGTGGCATCTACATCTGCAGAACGTGAAGGACCAGTGGCATCTACATCAACAGAACGTGAAGAACCAGTGACATCTACATCTGCAGAACGTGAAGAACCAGTGACATCTACATCTGCAGAACGTGAAGAACCAGTGGCATCTGCAGAACATGAAGAGCCAGTGGCATCTACATCTACAGAACGTGAAGAACCAGTGGCATCTACATCTGCAGAACGTGAAGAACCAGTGCCATCTACATCTGCAGAACGTGAAGAACCAGTGGCATCAACATCTGTAGAACGTGAAGAACCAGTGGCATCTACATCTGTAGAACGTGAAGAACCAGTGGCATCTACATCTGCAGAACGTGAAGGACCAGCGGCATCTACATCTGTAGAACGTGAAGAACCAGTGGCATCTACATCTGCAGAACGTGAAGAACCAGTGGCATCTGCAGAACATGAAGAACCAGTGGCATCTACATCTGCAGAACGTGAAGGACCAGTGGCATCTACATCAACAGAACGTGAAGAACCAGTGACATCTACATCTGCAGAACGTGAAGAACCAGTGACATCTACATCTGCAGAACGTGAAGAACCAGTGGCATCTGCAGAACATGAAGAGCCAGTGGCATCTACATCTACAGAACGTGAAGAACCAGTGGCATCTACATCTGCAGAACGTGAAGAACCAGTGCCATCTACATCTGCAGAACGTGAAGAACCAGTGGCATCAACATCTGTAGAACGTGAAGAACCAGTGGCATCTACATCTGTAGAACGTGAAGAACCAGTGGCATCTACATCTGCAGAACGTGAATAACCAGTGGCATCTACATCTGCAGAACGTGAAGAACCAGTGCCATCTACATCTGTAGAACGTGAAGAACCAGTGGCATCTACATCTGCAGAACGTGAATAACCAGTGGCATCTACATCTGCAGAACGTGAAGAACCAGTGGCATCTACATCTGTAGAACGTGAAGAACCAGTGGCATCTACATCTGCAGAACGTGAAGAACCAGTGGCATCTACGTCTACAGAACGTGAAGAACCAGTGGCATCTACAGAACGTGAAGAACCAGTGGCATCTACATCTGCAGAACGTGTAGAGCCAGTGGCATCTACATCTGTAGAACGTGAAGAACCAGTGGCATCTACATCTGCAGAACGTGTAGAGCCAGTGGCATCTACATCTACAGAAGATTATACAACTTTGAAAGCCATTACCCGTGTTTAGTGTACATGCCGTACAACATGTTTGGCATCGACAGGAGTAAAGTTGGACTTACGAAAACATCGACTTACCAACAGACCTGGAACCTAACAAGGTTCGTAAGTAGACGAGTCTCGATTAAAAAAAATACTGCACGAGGAATCCGATGAGCTATCAAGCTCTTTTTCACAGATGTCCAGGAGGGGCGTGTAAGGGCGGTAATAATTCGGCTATTGTGGGCACGAGTTGTCATCTTTCGTACGGCGGCTGATGTAGATTCAGAGCAACAACTACAATTTCATATTCAGAATCAGACGATGTATTTATACTGAATCCGATGAGCTATAAAGCTCTTTTTCACAGACGTCCAATAGGGGCGGGTAAGAACGTTACAACAACAATACAAAAACACGACAATAGTGCAAAGCTATATTTGAAGCTTTCGTGACTGCAAGGATCCATACTCTTTGGTTCTATTCGGTAAAGTCACGTAGGTAAAAAATAAAACAACAAAAATCACGACGTTTCGGCCGCAACACAAGTAGCCTTCTTCAGGTGAAGGAACAGAACTGTCGGGACTACGAATCTTAGCAGCGTTAATGGAAGCTCTGTCGTCCCGACAGTTGTTCCTTCACCTGAAGAAGGCTACTTGTGTTGTGGCCGAAACGTCGTGATTTTTGTTTTATTTTTTACCTACGTGACTTTACCGAATAGAACCAAAGAGAATAGTGCAAAGCACAGGACAGGCAAACAACCCATAAAACATGCAAATAAAACGAAACCATTCCCCATCGTACCAGGCAGAGCCCACTGAGATGTGAACTTATTTTTCAGAAGCCGCTTGGCCACAAAATGATAGCGCAACAGGCCGTCAAGGCAGATGACCGCATCAGGAGCAGCGGGGTTATTCGCTGTGAAGTCTCCTTTATATGTGTGGATCGAGCATCGCGTCGCTGTACGTTGTTATGATCGGTTCTGAATGACCACAAGTCGCGCATTGGAGAAGTTTAAAAAAAAAATTCCATTTGTGCGACAGGGTATCCGCATCTGCCCAACGTAGCGACTGTGTAACCCCGTGGAACGCGACGGGCAAGGCGTGTGTATAGTCAAGGATGTAACGCGTGGACACAAATACAAATTACAGTAAAGGGGAGCAAAGGGTGAGCGAAGGAGAGATGAGAGGAAAGGCACCGCTGCACGGATGAGCAGTGGGTTGTGTTTCACAGCGGGCGGCGGGGAGAGGAATGGGATTCAGAGTTGGGATGGTCACCCAGAGGTCACGTGATTTACTGCAGGCTTGCGCTTATTTTGATCTTGAGAAGATTGTAATGTACATGAAGGGTCATTGCCCGAAACGTCGCCTATGAGTGTATTTGTTTGACCTCAGCCTTTTAACGCCACAGTGTTATTAACAGTTTGGCGGGGCTCTGAAAGTTCTGGAAGGTTCCCGCAGAAATCCCCATTAATAATTTAATTTCCGGAGCGAACACCGTGTGGACTGCTGGCGCCTGTAGAAAGGGCACGAACTTGCTCAAGTTCACGACCACGCCACGGCAGGCGGAGAAGAAGCACGTGGGGAAATGTTATTTCACGTGTCATTTGAGCGCCACGGTGGCTAGGAGATGTTAACTACCGCGCCTGGTATACAGAAGGTCGTGGGTTCGATCCCGATCCTTAGGCCTGTATAGTTGGGGTTTGCGTGTTCTCCCCGTGGTCGAGTGATCTTTTTCTCCGTGTCTGGTTTTCCCCTCCACATTTTCGAATCAACATCACGCGTTTAAGAGTATTTGGCTGCTAGAAATGTCCACGCGATAAGCCACTTCTTTGAGCTATCACTTGTGGCCAGGTCGTATCTGGAAACGAGCTGTGTAGCCGGTGGGCCTTACCTGGTAAAATAACATAGCATCATCAATCAGGCTATCCGCCTGATGATGCTGTCCGCCTGATGAAGCTAGTTGTAATTACTGGCGAAACGTCGTACTCAGATTGTAAATTTTGTGGATTTGCTCTCCAACACACCGGTTAGTGCTGTTATAGTAACGAATTGGCCACGTTCTGTTTACGTGACAAACCTTACTAATTGGCTGTGTCGGGTGGTGGCGGGTTTAACGACACATTAATATTTACGCGATCTAACGCAAAAAAATACCTAGATTATGGAAAAAAAACTCACGTAGTTTTATAGTTTTATTTTCTTACAGTAATTCACACCCCTGGCACAATTGTTCAAGGCCACTGCTGGCGGAGCAGGGTCTCCACTCCAATGTGAATAATTTAGTCTACTCTTCCACAATTGTCATGGTCTTTGAAAGAGGTGAGCGTGTGCGTACTCACACTTTACCCCCCCCCCCCCCATCAGACGTAACCTGCCGCCGTTCAACTGCGGTGTGTACAGAGGCTGCGGCAGGAGGTTGGAGTTGGGGGGGGGGTCAGTTTGTTTGAACTGCTGCGCCGGGAGTAGGCAGCGAACCGTTGTTGCCCTCTGGATTGAAAGTCTTGTGACGTGCTAACCCAGGGGTGGGCAAATTTTTTGACCCGCGGGCCACAATGGGTTCTAAAATTTGACAGA